TTACGCTGTGAGCCGGTAAACAAAAAAAAAAAAAACATTTTACTCTGGTAAACTCAAAGTTGCGTTCATTCATTGGCAGCAAATGCCACGATATTCAAAACTGGTTTCGAGGGGAACCAAAGCGCCTCCCTTCTCTCGCCATGCACTTAATTTATTGAAGATGTCAGCGATATGGCAGCCAACTGTATTTCGATGGCATTATTATGCAAATGTTTAGAACCAAGTCTTCAATTATATATATATTTACGTTAATTCGTTCGAATATCGTCAGAATCCAACTTAAGGCATTCCGATTGAAGTCATTTGCTACAAATATAGCTGGTTGCCGTAATATATTACTGAATGGCATAAAAATAATTTATTTTGCTATGCAAAACAAATGCACAAAATAATATAAGAATATTTATTATGCTTGATTTGGTAGATGTCCAAAAGCATTGAGCCAGATCTCTATATCTGTCAATTTTGTCCATAACATCAAAAGAAGAAGATGCAATGCTGGCGGTCGACTGCTAGATACTCTGTTCAGTTCCAGTGAAAATGAAGAAAAGCGTATAAACCAATGGCTTCACAAAAAACATTACATAATTAACAATCGGCAATGACGTGTAGGTCACAAATCATATTAAGTTGTTATTTGCAGCTTCGCCTTTCACATTTATGCATAAACATGGGGCAATTGCAAAAATTGAATTTAAGCCAATTCTCTTTTGTCTTTGATTTGCCCAGGCACGTTTTTCAGTTGTGGATCTATCCTTAAATTAATATGTTGCAGCCATGACCCGGCATAAATATATATTGCCAAGGCCGCTAACTTAATTAGTAACAACTGCAAATCTCTTTTTGGAGGGTGTTAAAAGACAGGAAAGGAAATCATATTGTATTAAAGTGCGCCAAAGATTTCCTTCTCCACAAAATGCTCTTGATTTGCAGGCACGTTCATCTCATTCATGATAATAACACTTTATACTTCGTAAATAAATGTTGGCAAAGAGTTTGCTTATAGTTTGGTTTCAAATGAAATCAATTTGTTGAACCTTGGAGCAGACAGATATCATTAGTGGCGAATATCATTCAACGATTTAAGGCGTCAATTGGTTTAAATACTTCGGCGGCATCGTTTTTGACGCATTAACAGATGCAGATACAAACAGCTACACACCGATTGAGATGCGCATAGATACCCCAGATGCTCTCGGCGTTAATTAATTAAATAAAATAAAATAAAACAGCAGCGCCCCTTCATTGGCTGCAAGCTGACGACCAACTTTCGGTTTCAATGTTTGCCCATTGAATTAATCGTTGAAAACCGGCAACTAACTGGCCAGTAGCAAAAGCACCGCTACGATTCCACTTATATTGAGAGGTCGCCGCTTCAGGGCTAGGTATGGCAAGGGAAGGCAGGGGAAGCGAGGTGAGCTCTTCATGTTTACATGATAGTTGCACACTTGGCTGCAATATTTGCTACTGCAAGCTTATTGCAATAGCGCACTCGAAAAGTTAAACAACGCGCCTCTTTTTGCGACATTTTTGCGATTTTAAAGACATAACTCACTCCTTGTTTGGTATTTGATGTTTGCATAGAAAACAAGACTGTTTTAGCGACAAACTCGACTGCACATAATTGGGCAATCATATCTTGTGTGGGCAAACGCTCACTGATTCATGTGGAAGCGCTGACATTTTATAATAATTATTGACAGATTCGTGTGATTTGTATTTGCACTTCATCGAAATGTTTGCAATGTTTATGTGAGGGAGGCCACAAATCCCATTTTAGCCAAGTGCATATCAGTTAGAACTTAAAACTGAATGCCCTTTGCAGTTTATGAAGTCAGCCTCGAAAAATAATTGTGTTCAACTATTCATTGCCGGCGTTCAACTAATGTGTCGCTGTTCCGTAATTGGTTTATGTGCACGTTGAGCATCGGTTAGCTTTGACCTTCTCAGCGCTTGACAGTGTTTGTCAAAGACAAACAAGACAGGCCAAAATGAGAAAATTTGGCCAAGAGACAGCATTGAAGCCGGCTACCGGTTACCTTAGCTGTGGCTGTTGGCTGTTGGCTGTGTGTAGCTGAGATTCCCCCCACCTGCCGTTGACTGCTCCACAAACCAATGCGAACTGTTGATGATGAAAGATAAAGAAAAAGACTTATCTATGACATGACGATCATTAAATAATCTTGTTTGTACCACTAACTGTTATATCATTTATCAACCTTAAGACTGAATCAATCAAACTGAAAATAAAACTATGCTAAACCCAATTAAGTCAAATTTAGCGTATAAATTATATGTAAGTAAAAAAGTTGCATAACACTTTTTAGATATTATTTTGGTTTGTTAGCTATAATATAATAGATAAAAGATTTAATATTTATTATATTTGTGAGTGTCAATGCTAATGATTTACATAGAACTCCTCCGCAGAACAGGTTAAAACAAGCGCTGAACCACCCATATTTGTGAGCTGCTAAGTTTCGACTAATGCAACGAAATGAAATATGTGATGATGATGACATATGACTGCTGCTTTAATTTATAAACCATAAGTTACTCATAAAATAATGTGTTTTAAAAGCATCCATTCATCATGACAACAAGTTGCTTAACTATGCAAATTGAGTGACAAACAGAAGTGGCGAATTTTTATGTTTCTTTTTATGCTCACTATTAGCTCAGTGCAAATATTTATAGGTATTATTATTATTATTTTTAATTCATTGTGAAAAATTGTTTAGAGCATAAGTATTTACGTATTCAGACTACATCTGTGAACATATTGAACAATATGAACATCAGCTAGTTTAGCAAATCTACAAATTCAAAAGACATCCAATGCGAAGGAACATTATTTACCATAACAAATCGAATAATAAAAAAAAACAAATAAAATTGCATAATATATTCAAAAACCCCAATTGTATATTTCACACAAATGGAAACAAGAATATATAAATTGGAAGAACCCGTTTGGGTGTCTGTGATGCTATATCAAATCAGGTTTCATAATTAACCACCAACTATAATGAAAAACTGGACTTTTGCGATAGAATCGTGAGTCAGACAAAGGTGGCTGAATGAGACTCTTTGTTAAGCGTCTGTAAATAAATACAAATATATTTGTATATATATTTATATAAATATATATTATATTGAGCTTATAACAAGATTGAACAATACGATTTGCATATTTGTGTAACACGGCACTTAAACCACGGTCCGAAAACAAGTTAGTGTTTTCTATAATCAAGAATATAATCAATATTCAAGCAATGTCAAAAATAAACTAATCTTATTAATTTGGCGCTAAGAAAGAAATATGTGAACAAAAACAAAACAAATAATAATCGCATACAAATACAATCAACACTATTGATTTCTTTATTTTCAGCCGAAAAGAAGACCCCAATGATATATGTGACTACAAGTCTCATTTGCATTGCACATATTCATATCAATTTCAAAAGTGCCATGTATGAATTGCACGCAAAATAAATGATGCAAATTGCTAAATAAATAGCAATAAATAGCAATATTTCACAGAAGGTCATGTACATTGGCTGCCTGTGTGTTTACATATATAATATATAAAGTGGCATACATATATATGGAATATTTTATGTGCAACTTATTTTTCAGCTTACTATCTTCGCTATATACACATCACACTTTCCTAAAGTCAACAATTTTGGAAATTTATTCCGAATATAAAAATCTATGTAATTCCAATCTAACTAGACAACAAAATCTCTATAATGCCAATGTATCAAATTAAATTGAAGAAAACATAAATCGATGTAGCCAGCAATTGACTTATTTACACCCTGATCAACGCATAGAATTTTATTCTTATTTTAAGCATAAGGGTAAGGTTTATAAACATCAACTGATGGGACTGGGCCAAGTGGGCTCAGAAGAAGCAAATACAAACAAATATATACATATGAATGCTACAAATTTCCAGTCAGAAAACAAATCTAGAATTAAAGGAGAATAGATAAATTTAATATCTGTCCAAAAAGTTTCGGGCGCAATTCGTTAGGAATACAGGACTACCATGGAAACTAGAGGCAATCTCTTCTGATTACGGGCCGTGAAGGAAAAATGTATATTTTATTTATTTATTTTAATTTACGTATTTCTATTAGGTAGATAATTAATTCGAGCTTTAAGTAAACTTCGTCTCATATGTTTGTATCGATGCTTGAATGTGCACAGGGTTATATAATGAATTAGGTGTTGATATCTCAAGTCAATCTTTGAGATAAACAAACAAAAGATCAGGCACACGAACCGATGGCACTCAAAACATTAACATGCCTGATTGTTCAATAATAACATTAAAGCGTTGGAGTTGCTACTATTCGCTACAATTTGATAGCATCTCAATGGGTATACAATTGTGAAAAAGTAAACAACTTAATTGATTATTCGGCTTTGTGAAGTATTATTGATTGAAAGTTATTTAAAAATCTTTAATGTGGCTTTTAAAGACAATTATTGCTTTTTGAGTAGACAGATATAGATTCGGTTCTTCGACTTTATTGAAGATATGGAAACAGGTTTCCAGCAAGACGCTTATAGCACTCCAACAACAACTTACAAAATATATAAATATATGTAAATAAAAAAATTAATAAAAATTTTTTTGCGCTAATTTGCGATCTTAACTAATTAGTATATAAAAAAGATGCCGTAATTTCCCGTTATTAGTGGAGGTCGTTCAGTTCGAGAGTTTAATTTTAAAGTTTTGGATAGAGTTCGGTTTGCGTGTTTAATTTGATACTTGATTTTTTGGCGCAGTCGTCGGACCATGAAACAAACCTCTCAGGAATTGTTATTGGGTTTAGGCGTTTGAATAAATTTAAAACAAAACATAGAAAAATAGATAAGCCACCAATTAGCATAGAGGTACAGCCTAGTGTTCTTTCGAAAGTTTTTGTATAAATACTTGAAACCACAGTGCCGCCAACAACAGATCAACAACAGGAACAGACATGGTCAGTTCGAAGAAGAAGTTCCCTTATATAGTTCCAGCCCTTCGCCTAATATTAAAGTGTGTGTGTTTTTTTTAATATTTTTTTTTGATTTTTTTTATATATCCGCAGAATTTCTGTGTAATCACATTGGCTCTAATCGGCCTGGTCGCAGCTGATGTTAGTCACCTGCAACATGGAGCCTCGGGATATAACTATGATGTCCCATCCGTATCTTTCGGCTCCTCCTCGGCCTCGGCCTCTCTTCCTGGTGGCGATTCCAGCAGCTATCAGCCAGAGCATTTGATTCCCCAACATTTGAAGACTGCTCAGGCCGTTCCTGGTGGCGATTCCAGCAGCTATCAGCCAGAGCATCTGATTCCCCAGCATTTGAGGACTGCTCAAGTCATTCGTGGTGGCGATTCCAACAGCCATCAGCCAGAGCATTTGAGGACTGCTCAGGCCGTTCCTGGTGGCGATTCAAGCAGCTATCAGCCAGAGCATCTGATTCCCCAACATTTGAAGACTGCTCAGGCCGTTCCTGGTGGCGATTCAAGCAGCTATCAGCCAGAGCATTTGATTCCCCAACATTTGAAGACTGCTCAGGCCGTTCCTGGTGGCGATTCCAGCAGCTATCAGCCAGAGCATCTGATTCCCCAGCATTTGAGGACTGCTCAAGTCATTCGTGGTGGCGATTCCAACAGCCATCAGCCAGAGCATTTGAGGACTGCTCAGGCCGTTCCTGGTGGCGATTCAAGCAGCTATCAGCCAGAGCATCTGATTCCCCAACATTTGAAGACTGCTCAGGCCGTTCCTGGTGGCGATTCAAGCAGCTATCAGCCAGAGCATTTGATTCCCCAACATTTGAAGACTGCTCAGGCCGTTCCTGGTGGCGATTCCAGCAGCTATCAGCCAGAGCATCTGATTCCCCAGCATTTGAGGACTGCTCAAGTCATTCGTGGTGGCGATTCCAACAGCCATCAGCCAGAGCATTTGAGGACTGCTCAGGCCGTTCCTGGTGGCGATTCAAGCAGCTATCAGCCAGAGCATCTGATTCCCCAACATTTGAAGACTGCTCAGGCCGTTCCTGGTGGCGATTCAAGCAGCTATCAGCCAGAGCATCTGATTCCCCAACATTTGAAGACTGCTCAGGCCGTTCCTGGTGGCGATTCAAGCAGCTATCAGCCAGAGCATTTGATTCCCCAGCATCTGAAGGCCGTTAATGAAGAGACTGTGGATGTGCAGGAATCGTTCAACATTGGAGCTGACACCTACACACCGGAGAAGTTCATTCCTGAGGCTGACCGCATTGCCCACTACAACTACATCCATTCGCAGGCCGCGGCTGCTTTGCCGACATCTGCTGCCGCTACTCGGGTCGCTCCTGGTAGCGATTCCAGCAGCTATCAACCTGCCCATTTGATTCCCCAGGCAGATCATGCGGAAACTGTATCCGAGTCGTTTAACCTGGGCGCGGATACTCAGACACCGGAGCAGTATATTCCCGAGGAGCATCGAATTGCTCACGCCACCTCAATCCAAGAGCATACGCCAGTTGTGATTGGTGCCAATACCATTACACCAGCGCACCTTTACCAGGAGCCCACATCGAATGGCATTGAGGAGTTTAACCCTGAAACTCATGTTCCCGTTGCAATTGGAGGCGACACGATTACACCAGCTCATCTGCAGGCCAAATACTCAAGCGGCGCCTCCTTGAGAGCCTCATCCTCCTCCTTCTCCTCCTCGTCCTCCAGCTCCGGCGCCAGCTCTAGCCATGGCACCCAATACGGATCCAATGGCGGCTATGTTTACTAAACTTTTGCATTGTGAACAAAAAAAAATAAAAAATACATTCCCACCTTCAATATTCAATTGTTTTGTAGAGTTTTACAGTTTTGCAGCATTTGTACTTTCATAGCGAACTAAAGCATTTGAAAGTGTTTTCAAATAGCATCTTGAGTTTGTTTATTAGTTTGACATTTGAAATTATAGCATCATTAACTTCAAATGTCAAACTAATATTCCGCTCAAACTAAAGATATTCCGACGGGCATCAATATTCATTAGCAAGATGTAACAAACATATTCTATTGTGCCGATTATGGGATAATCTTGCCAAAATAACTATATTTATTTTTATATTTCTATAACTCGTTTTTTGTTTTGTTTGGTTTTTTTATATTTTGTTTTTGACATTCTTCTATTGTCGAAAATATCCTAAAAAATAATCAACATCACATATTTGGATAAAGGAAGCAAATACGTTTGAATAAAAGATTTACGCAACCACACTTTCATTAAAACAAAAATAACCCAAATTTAGTTTAATGTGTATTTTTAATGAATGTTAGTAAACTATATCACTATGCTAATAATAAAACTAGTTCAAATCCGTTAAAATCCGTATACATAATGTGTATTTTGAAAATCAAATATCAAATCTATTATCTTAATAAACAATAAATTGGTAATTTGAGATGAATTGATTATGCAAGACGCGCTAAGTTAATTTAATGCTGATACATGTTAATTCTAACATGCTATTGAGACTGAGAGGCTATTGACTGTTCAGTCAGAAAAAAAAAAGGTTTTCTTAAGTTATTGCTTTTTAACGATTATGTTATTGAGTATTCCATATTCAATTCTACTCTAGCTAGGTCAAACTTATCCAATCCCGCAACAATGTTGCACAATTTCCATTGAGACTCGTAGCATAATTACAGCCCACGAATCACTCAGTATCCTTTTCTCAACGTCAGCTTTGTTTGGGGGTAATTAAAATAATTAAAATATTAGTATTGTAGCCTGTTTCTTAGTTAAGCAAGCATATTGGAGTTCATGAACCTTTTGACAAGCTGGCCAAAGTAAAAGTTGATCTGTGACTCCCGCACTGCGCTTCCACAGCGATGTGATTATGTAAAACTCTCGCAACCTCTATGTGTGCTGTGAGTGTGTTGGGTGAGTTCTCAAGGCCGATTGTCTTCTTTTATTTTTAGAAAGTGCCTCGTAATGCAACACAGCGGGACTGGGCCACAGTCACACTCACACACTTACACACACTGACTCATACCGACTGCATTCTTGGCCAAGCGGGATGAGGGCCAATTTGATCGCTTGCCGCTGGCCAAGGCCTTCCAATATAAACTGGCCGTGGTCTACCTGTGTCGAGCTTATAACCCATTTATTTTCTTCTCCAACTTCAATTAATAACTTAAATTGATTGCAAATTTGTGGCTTCGCAGCTCGATACCTACAACCCAGTCCGCACAGACCCATAAAACCCATGACCTTCAAATCAAATTGCTCGTGCGCAGCCTTTAGCCCCATCTCTCTTGCCACTCTCTCGCTCTCTTTCGCTCACTTGCCTTTTCTGTGTCGAACGTCATGTAAGCTGATGATTCGTATGAAAATTAGCTGAAAGACAAGTATTTAAATATTTATTAGCCGGTTAGATTTTGGGATGATGACTGTCGCACTGCCCCCCACAAAGTTGTCCAACAGTTGAACCAAAATTGGTTGCGGAAAACTTTTTTGTAAATGCGTAAAACTTGTTTACGTGTGTGATTTTTTTTTTTTGTCTCTTTTTTTCTGACATCTCTGTATTCACTTACCTCGGCTTTTTTCTTTTTTTTTTTGTCTTCATCTCTTTGCCCGTTGTGTATTTTAAATGGAAGCTGCAGACGAAACCGCTACGAACTGCTAGCTGCTTCTTCTCGAAATATGCTGCAAGTTGAGTGATTTTTTTCGCTATAAATTGCCGGCAAGCTTTAGGGATCAGCATCAGTTTCAGCGTCTAGCTCGTCCAGTACAGTCGTAGTCGTAGCTATCAATACAAACATGGTTAGTACAACCACACCCTTGGACCATCAACTGTTTCAACTGTTCACAATTATTATTTTTAATGTTTTTTTTTTAAATATTTTTTTGTAACTGTGCAAAGTGTTTTACTGCTATAATTAGTTGTACCGTGTTGTTCCGTGTGTAATAATAGTGTTTCGTTCATATTGCAGAAATTCCTCATTGTGTTCGCTTTGTGCGCCTGCGTGGCGGCCGATGTTAGCCACCTGACCAGCTATTTGCCACCTAGCCAGAGCTATGCTGCCCCCAGCAACGAGTACCTGCCACCCGTGCAGCAGACATACAGTGCGCCGGTCGTGCAGCAGACCTATTCCGCTCCAGCTGTCTCCTACGCCGCACCCTCGGTTGGCTACTCGTCTGGTGGTGGCTCATACTCGTCCGGTGGTGGCTCATACTCGTCAGGCGGTGGCTCATACTCGTCCGGCGGTGGAGGATACTCGTCTGGTCTTGGCTCCGGCATTGGTGGTGGAATCTCGTCCGGTATTGGCTCATACTCCGGCGGCGGTGGAGGATACTCGTCCGGTCTTGGCTCCGGCTTTGGTGGTGGAATCTCGTCCGGTATTGGCTCATACTCCGGCGGCGGTGGTGGATACTCGTCCGGTCTTGGCTCCGGCTTTGGTGGTGGAATCTCGTCTGGTATTGGCTCATACTCCGGCGGCGGTGGAGGATACTCGTCCGGCGGCTACAGTGCACCCACCAGCGAGTACTTGCCACCCGTGCAGCAGACCTATTCCGCTCCAGCTGTCCAGCAGGTCTACTCTGCCCCAGCTGTGAGCTACTCTGCCCCAGCTGTCCAGCAGAGCTACTCTGCTCCAGCTTTCCAACAGACCTACTCCGCACCAGCTTACCAGCAGAGCTACAGCACTGGATCCAGCTACTCCGGTGGTGATGTTGGTACCCAGTATGGCTCCAACGGCGGCTATGTCTACAAGAAGAAGTAAGATGCTGCAAACTGTTCACCAAATCGAATCAACATAATTGTGATTGACATCTGACATGTTTTTTACAATATTTATTATATGATTTGTTTTTTTTTTTCAACCCCCCTTTGTGTAAATAATAATTAAATAAAACCCAAGACAAAAAAAAACTCGTTTCAAACATTTTAATATCACATATTATTGTATAACCAGATTTAAAAATTAGTACGAATTTTAGCACTATATTTACATACAAACATTCACAAGTATGAATGAATGTGGTTGGTTGAATTGAGCGAATGACATTTGGGGCCAATTCACACATTCGAGTGGGCAAAAGCTCTCCCCGTGCTTTTTATGACGGAGTCAAAGCTAACATAAAATATTGCATCGCTTTTAAGCTCCGAGGCTTAAAAGCTCAACGAACGCTTTCTGTTTTGCACAGCTTTGATTTGTTCCTAGCAAAGCTCGCTTGAACGGAACGATTTCGGTTTCAGTCATAGGTAAACGACTAACGGATACCCTTAGTGGTAAGTTGCGTTTTCAATTTTACAAAACAAAAACTTTTTCGCCATGTCTATGAAAATGTATTCTTTTTTATAAATTGCCTTTATAATAATATAGCTTTCAAATTTAACATGTTAAGTTTGTTACTTTGTTTTCAAATACGACTGATACTTAAAAACCAGGAAGAAAAGCTCTATTTGTAACAAAGACTAAAATCAACTATATACTACTACTACTTGTTAACTAAATGTAAAGTGATATGGTTATGCCGATTGCCAGAATTCTCAGACTTGGAGATTATATTTTAAAGTTATCAAAGCGCAATAAATATTTCAATATACAAAGATTAAAACAGCAGTTCCGAAACAATCAGAAACTATCAGTCACAACAGTCAATTAATTAAATAATTAATACTTCGAATTATTTTGTATCGAATCGATTAGCTACACTAGAATCATAGTAATTTATGAATTTCAAAATCTTATTTAACAAAGTAACATATTTAGTGACATAACAAATATATGAGCCTATTATACAAATATATATAAATTCTGGTTTCAGCTAAGAACCAATTTTAAAATGAAACAAATAAGAATGCTGTCGTCGAGTGAGCTCGACTACGAAATATTGCCAAACTTCCCTTTATAGAGCTCACATATTTTTATTCACAGGCTATAACTTGAGTGTTATTTACTTAATCCATACAGTTCATCAATAATATATCAAGTTATAATATAGATTAATTGTGGCTCTGATTGCTTTAAATTTAGAGATTTTGGTTGATATTCACAGAACTGGGGCAGTTGTCGACAAATTGATATAAGCTTGATCTGTGCAGGGTATACGAGAACGTATAATTAAAATATGACGTCTCTTCTTATTGGAATGTCTCTATTTGATTATTATGTCATAGATAGTGATCACTGGAGTTTATTTTCCTCCATGCCAAAACTGGAACTGGACTATTAAATACCAAATCAAACCAGTTGAGAGAAATGCTTTTGAATAGACCTTATATGCAAAATCACTGGGCATTCGATAACATGAGACAGTTTAATAAATTTGCCCGTCTGCCTGCCTGCCTAATTAATTTTTATAGTTCAGTTTTGACGTCTCAACGGATCTCCGGACGCGCCCCATTATGATGCAAAGCAATCGAAAGTGAAAAGATACGGATATGAAATACATATTTATGTAAGTATTGCTAGATGACAATATAACTGGCGAACTGTGGCATCGTCTTATAAGTGGCCACTTCCACTGCCAACGCCGCACAGTCCACACTCCACTCTGCCCGCTCGAGGTTGAACCTAAACGCTTAACGACAGCGTGCCACCCGTAATGCCAATCCGAAAGATGCTAACAAGGAAATGGGTCGACGGGCCCCTGCTGCTCCTCCTCTTAGTCCTGATCCTGCAACAAATTAACGCAGACGTCAACCAGCTGTCCAATAACTATTTGCCGCCAGACAACGATAAGCCGAGCAGTAATCAGATATTGGCGGACGAGGAACCTCAGACGGAGACGATACAGTCCAATGATGGTGTTTACTCTCCGATGGCGGGTCTGGTGCTACCCCCGGGTTACGCCATACCTCCAGGAAGTAATCTGCCACCAGCGCCCATGACGCCGCCCAACTTTCCGCTGCCCATTTACCCGCCCTTTTTCGGATTTGGCAGCGGTGGTGGTGCGCAGGGCTTTGGATTGGGTGCGGGTCAAGTGTCGCCTGGCTATCAAGCGCAGCTAGCCGGTGGGCCTTTCCCGGTTGGAGGTGCTCCACAAGGTGCACAGTTTCCAGTTGGACCACAGGCTGGCGGTTTTGCTATTGGGCCGCAAGGTGGACAGTTCACGGCTGGACCCCAGGGTGCACCCTTCCCAGTTGGATCACAAGCTGGACAATTTCCTGGTGCTGGACAACAGATCGGCCCATTCCCAGGTGGACCTCAGGGCGGCCCATTCCCAGGTGGACCTCAGAGCGGCCCATTCCCAGCTGGACAACAGGGCGGCCCATTACCAGGTGGACCTCAGGGCAGCCCCTTCCCAGCTGGACAACAAGGCGGTCAATTTCCCGGCAGTCCCTTCCCAACTGGACCCCAACCTGGCTCGTTCCCAGTTGGACCCCCACCCGGCTCATTTCCCGTTGCACCACAGGCTGGACAATTTCCATTCATGCCAGACTATTTAACCACACAGGGCTTGCCCGGGGCGGCGATGCAACTGGCCTTCCAGCAGAATCTCGGCGGGATGTTTGGAATGCCAGCTGGTTTCGGTAGCCCGCAACAGCCTACATATGGCTTTCAGAACCAGGTTAATGTGGGTCAACCCTTCTCGCCCAGCTTCGGCATACCGGGACAGCACTTTTATCCGCAGCCATTCGCCGACGAGCCGCAGTTGGCACCGAATGAGAAACCAAAGAGCAGCTCGGCCAAGTCACTGGTCAAGTCAGTGGCCAAGTCAACGGCCAAGTCAGTGGCCAAGTCGCAGATAAAGGATACCATCTATTCGTCCAATGGCGGTTACATCAATAAGCGTACTAAATAAGTTACAGTGATTTTATAGCTATCGTAAAGCTAAGGATAAATTATTAAACACGCTTTTTTGTTTATATTTGATTATCTAAACAACTTCATCACTTTGTGATTGTGTTTGTGTTTTGTTTTTAACGACCGTAAATCACAAGCCAATACGAAATATTGCTTTTTGCTTATGGTAATCGTATTGGAACAATAAAAAATAAATAGAAATGATGTTTGAGCTAAGCTTAACTTATTTTGATTACAAAGCTATTACACATTTAGCAAAGTTGATAACTTGATCACTTTTGTATTCAAATCAGTGTTAATGGACAGCTGCACGTGTTTGTATTAAAAATGTGAAAATTAGACAATTTGCTATTAGAGATTAAAGACAGAAGTGATTAAATTCAACGTTTAATATATTAATAAACCTCGTTTTTCTTTCGTTGGATTCCATGGTATATTTGCATACAGTTATAAATCTTCATGCAATTTGATGATATTTTATGATATTTTCTTTGATTCAAGATTGGGCCGTCTAAATTATTTGATTGATCCAATTACATAGACCGTCTCTTGGTACAACGCATCTTAATAAACTAAGCATTACTACTTTATGGTTGTACTTCGACAATGCGTTACATAATTCATGAACAAAGGTTTTCCTTCTTTTGCAATGGATCTCATTAGTCTCAAGATACCAATAATTTGGGTTGGGCTTAAAAACCTGCTCTATTTATTTATTTATTTTGTTTCTTTTTTTGGAAAACTTACCAACTCTTCCGTGAAACGCCTACACAAATGCGTGTTCGTATATTGACGTGACAAATCCAACAGTTTTTAACTAGTTTGCTTTTATGTTACGTATATGCAAAGTCATTTGACAACGGCCAAATCCCAAACTATTTTAACGATTGTTTGAGACTGTTTTGTTGTTCATTTCTATGGGTTGTTTTTTTTTTTAATTTAATACTATTGTTATTATTCTTCAATTCGTAAATTTTTATTACATTTTATGTTTGTATTGTATCTATTAAATAGTTTTAAAAAAGGGGTCATAAAATAGTGTGAATTTGTGAAACAGGATGATGGCGGCATCGCGGACGTAGATACTTGTATATATTTATCGTTGGCTATATACATATATATGTATTAGCGCCCAAACATTAATAATATAATACCACTAGGCATACAGCATAAAACTAAACATAACAAATGCTATTGTTGTATTTTTAGTGGTTATTCCCTTGTAGAGGGTATTATGAATATGTCTTCAAGCTTGCAAACGAGACGATCCCGACCCCATAAAATATATCTTGATAAGACTTGCTATATAAACATCTATCAAGTATAACTCCAAAAATGTGTAATATTCAGTTAACAGGCACAGGAGAAACAAGTGTTATAAGAAAAATATTTGTTAAAATCGAAATATTTCCAAATATGTGTTTAAAATGAAATTAATAACTTTTTCTTGTGTTTTGTTTTTTATTGTTCTTTTTACCTATGGGACCGCTACACATAGAAGCTTATTTTTTTCTGGAGAGTTAATTGAATTACCTTTAGTATCACATAAAATAAACAATGGTTTGATGGAGACAGTGAAAATTATAGATTGGTGTTAGATACATTTCCAATTTACAGTAACTGAAAAAACGAATGTGTTCCAATGTCATATAAGGCTCTTCTTACTGTATCTAAATGCAGGGTATCTTTTTGAACAGTGAACACTTAAGTGTTAACTGCTTTAATAATTTCTTTTGTATTAATGCATCTGCTAATTAATTGATTTATACAACTTTATTCAACAACTTTATTCAGTGGCTTGTCAATAGGTTTGTGTTTGTGTTGTATGTATGTATGTAATATGATGCATAGTATCATTCCAAGCCATTCAAATTGCTCTTCTTTGTAATTCAGCTTGTTAAGGCTCTTCGTATTGCCAATTAGTCAAACGTACTTAATGCAACACTCAACTTGACATGATTGTCATGAAATTTCTAACGCATTCAAGGCGACCTCTCCGGCGCCCTAACATATACATATATATATATATATATATATTGTTTATTTGTCTGCAAACAATACAAACCAGTAGTAGCCGTATAGCTATCTGATGTGAGCGGGTATGTCATCTTCGGCGTTCCTCAGATAGCGCTATATCTTGTTTTGTATGTTTTCATCATTTCATCGATGTGGTCTTGACAGTCGATCGAAGCGTGTAAAAAACAATAGGTGCAAACATTTTGGTTGCATTGTCAAACTGATTTTTTTTTCAAATAACTCATTATCGGATTCGATCTGGCTGACTAACTGGCTGCCCCTGGTCTTCATTATCATAATAATAAGCGTAATTCTCTTAACAAATTTGAACACACCCACAAAACGTGTCCCACACCATATGCGTATTTTACGTATGTTTATACTTCAACTGAATAAACATATACATATACATATGTATATTGAATAATGGGCTACGCCCAATTGAGTCAATTTGACGTCTGAATATTTATAATGTGCAGTAAAAAACTATGTTTTCACATTTATCTTTGCATATGTAGCGAATAAACAAGTTGACATATTTATTTGTGATTTTATGTTTATTATTATTTATTCTATGCATTGCTAATTTGTTGTGAGAAACCCATTTGAAAATTTCTGTATTCGTCAGTGCTCAAAATCAGAACCTCGATTATAACTGCTGAAAATATCAAAGTTGTACCATCGAAGCCAGCGTTGACACCCAATTGTGGCATGCAACTTGGGCTTCGTTGTTGTGTCACCAATGATGCTCAATGATTCAATGCCAACTGTCTCTGGGGGCTCTTGGAGCTTGGTTCGCTGCAATTCGATTTCGTAATCTTTGTGTGAAGTCAACGCACGCACTTTAAGCATTACAGAAAGGCGTCAATTGGCGTTACCGCAAACAAGGCAAACCAAGACAAACAGCGAGCATGCAAAGTTGGCCAAAATGCAAATGTCCATTGTATACATGACACATTTAGCCACTGTGGGCAAAATCTTGAGTGTGGCTCTGGGAAATTTGCAAGTATTCTTTTTTTTGTTGTATTTTGCTTTTTATTTTCTGGCAGTCAAGCGAAAAGAAAGCAAATTTGTGCAACACCCCCAAGTTGTCGGCTACTAGATGGGAGACTTGGTATTTGAACTTGAGATTTGGCATTGCGTGTTGAGCTGGGGGCATTGTTTTGGTTTGGTTTGGTTTTTGTTTGTCTTTTTGGGCATTTATTAATCAGCCCAAAAGCAGCAGCCAAATTGCACGCTTTTATTGTTAACAGCAACATTTTTTGACATTTACATATTCACATATAGCAGTAGTGACGCTGAACCAATTATGGCATCGCAAAAGACAAACGTTGACAATGTTGAGGCCTCCATCATCTGACCATCGTCTTCAGCGCATTGGCTTTCAACTATAAATGCCCATCGGACCTCTCCGGCCGACATCAGTTTAACGGTTTCGTTCGTTCGGTGTAGCACGCACAGCTGTCACTCCACGCAAGATGGTAAGCGATGCACCCACGTGTCACAATCATCAATTTTACATTTTACATTTTGCATTTTGCATTTGCTCTGCGCTGTCGATTTACCAATCTATTTTTTGTATTTGTTTTTGTTTCCGTGTCAGAAACGCATTGTGATTATTTCCGTTGTTGTTGCTGTTGCCATCTTTGGCCTAGCTGAGGGCCGTCCGGAATCTAATGGTTATCTGCCACCTGCACCTGTCAAGGATATATTCAGCCAAGTTCTGCCCGTGCAACAGGGCTTCCAGAGTTTTACGCAGCAGCAGCAGCGGCCCATTGCTCAGATTGAATCCATCCAACCATCCGTCTCGTTGGGCAGCTTCTCAATTCAAAGTGATGGCCAGCTTGGTGCCATCAATCAGCAGTATCAGACATCCGCTGCTCCGGCTCCGGCTACGGCCGCCATCAGCCAATCCATAGCCGCCGCAGAGGTGCCCGTCAACAACAACTATGGGGGACAAGCGATTCCCACTCAACTCTTTGTGCCAGCGGCCTCGCCAGTGACGTCCATTGCGGTTCAGGGGCCAGCTGCTGGAGTGCAGCAACCTCACAATGTACCAGTTGTCGCTCCAGTGGCTCAACAAACATTCTCTGCCCCAACTCCGGTGGTACAGCAAACCTACTCTGCTCCAACTCCGGTGGTACAGCAAACATACTCCGCTCCAGTTCCAGTGCTTCAGCAGACACACTCTGCTCCAGCTCCAGTTGTTCAACAAACCTACTCTGCACCTGAGCCGGTTGTACAGCAAACCTATTCTGCTCCAGCTCCAGTGGCTCAACAGATATATTCTGCTCCAGCTGCTGGGGTCCAACAGACATACTCTGCTCCAGCTCCGGTGGTACAGCAAACCTACTCTGCTCCAACTCCGGTGGTACAGCAAACATACTCCGCTCCAGTTCCAGTGCTTCAGCAGACACACTCTGCTCCAGCTCCAGTTGTTCAACAAACCTACTCTGCACCTGAGCCGGTTGTACAGCAAACCTATTCTGCTCCAGCTCCAGTGGTTCAACAAACCTACTCTGCACCTGAGCCAGTTGTACAGCAAACCTATTCTGCTCCAGCTCCAGTGGTTCAACAAACCTACTCTGCACCTGAGCCGGTTGTACAGCAAACATATTCTGCTCCAGCTCCAGTGGCTCAACAGACATATTCTGCTCCAGCTGCTGTGGTCCAGCAGACGTACTCTGCTCCAGCTCCAATAGTTCAACAAACTTACTCTGCGCCTGAATCGGTGGTACCACAAACCTATTCCGCTCCACCACGGGTAGCTCAGCAGTTTTACTCTGCACCAGCTCCAGTGGCTCAGCTAACTTACTCTGCTCCAGCTCCAGTGGTCCAGTCAACCTACTCTGCTCCAGTTGTGCAACAAGGCTATGCTCGCGCACAGGAGAGCCATTTTATTCAAGCTGCTGCACCAGTAGTTCAGCAAGCTTATTCTGCGGCACCTGCTCCAGTGGTGCAACAGACCTACTCCGCACCCGCTCCCGTGGTGCAGCAGACCCATTTCTCTCCAGCCATCCAACAGACACAGCACACTGGATACAACTATCAGGCACCAGCTCCAATTGGCGCTCCAGTACAGCAGAGCTATACCAGAACTCAAGCTCAGATTCAGGTTGCCGCTCCGGTGCAACAGTTGCAGCAATCGCTTGTGCCACGCCCACCCAGTGCAGTTCATATTAATGCACCAGTCGCTGCACCCTTTACCCAGTTTACGCCCACTTATAGCCACACCCCCTCATTTATCCAGCAGCACCAACAGCAGCAGCAGCAGGTGTCCTATGTGCAAAATACAAGAGGTGTAGTGCAAGCTCCCTCGGCTCCAGCAACCACCACTGTGATCAGCAACAATCCGGCCATCTCGGAAATTGGCACCAACTATGCCAGCAACGGTGGCTATGTCTACTAGAAGACGGCTTAGATGCGTTTGAACGGGTAGCCCCAGAGACGCCCGAACTCGCATCTGCATTTATTGATTGTTTCATCTAGCCAAATTATAGCCCTAGTTTTGTTAACCAGCTCTTTAGCTGCTTTTTTTTCATAAATAAATAAAACGAATTCAGTAGTACTTGTAATGCTAATAATTTTAGTTTTTAGATCCAGCAATGTTATGAGAAAGTAAGAAAACAACTACAACAATTCATTTCGGATGTGAGTTTTTGGAAAAACCTAAAAATAGAAGTCCTGGGTCTGGGTTCATTCGGGTATTTGTTATTAAAATGCAATCAATTATGACTGATAAATTATTGCACTTTATTTCTGTTTTTTTTTTTGTTTTGTTGATTTCTCGGAATGAAATTGGTTTTTATTGAAACTGTAATTCAGAATTACTCATCAGCAGCTACCTGCTGCTGTTGATTAATTAATGCCAGTCTTTTCAAACTGTCTGAAAAATCCCGCAGTGTTTTTCAACATTTGCCGCAAGGGAACTTTGCTCCACTGTTGCTTTCGTCTTGATTGATTGTCCATTTTGAGTGATTGCAGGGCATGGAACTCAACCCGTTGGCAATCGCGATCCAAGATCTGAGATTCGCGATTCGCGACGTCTGTCGTTATGAATGGAGTTTCCAATAACGTGCTTTATGACTCGCCTATTAAATGGCCCAGCTGTATGTGGTCCGTCTGCGGCCAAAACATGTTTCACTTCCAATTCGTAGAGTACTGTGGCTAATCAACGCAAACGAGCGACCAATCATCAGAAGCGAACGTCACTAAAGATCTCCATACAGGCTTAAGCTTGTTCTGAACTTTGATTTTATTAGTTATTGTTTGCATTTGTATTTTTAGATGTTGGTTGGTTTTCGCTTCTTTTTCGTAAATTTTATTTATTTATTCATAGAAAGCTTATAATGAACGATATTTTATGAGCGTCCATAAGTTCTTGTTCTCTTTGACATTTGTATCAAGATCCGTTGAGGCTGTCGACTATAAATATGTTAGGATCTGCTAGCAACAAATTAGTTCTTTGACCACCTTTGTCAACGCAGCAACACGCAGTCCACTATGGTGAGCACCGATTCCAATTGGAAAACCGCTCGATTTGATTTGAGTGCACTCTTTGCATCCTGTAAATCAAATCGCTCAACACTCACCTACTACTCTCTTTTAGCAATTCTTCGCCATCGTTTCGTGCGCCCTTGTGGCTCTGGCCGCCGCCGATGTGAGCCACCTGTCCAACACCTATCTGCCACCTAGTAACCACCATGTTGGCGCCGCCAGCTACCAGGCACCTGTAGTGCACAGCTACACCGCCCCAGCTACCAGCAGCTTCACCAGTGGTTCGTCCTATATTGCCCCAGCTGCCTCCGTCCACCACGAAACCTATACTGCTCCCGCTACCTCGTTTGCCACCAAGACGTATTCTGCTCCAGCTACCAGCTTCACCAGTGGATCATCCTATGTTGCCCCAGCTGCCTCCGTCCAACACGAAACCTATACTGCTCCCGCTACCTCGTTTGCCACCAAGACGTATTCTGCTCCAGCTACCAGCTTCACCAGTGGATCATCCTATGTTGCCCCAGCTGCCTCCGTCCAACACGAAACCTATACTGCTCCCGCTACCTCGTTTGCCACCAAGACGTATTCTGCTCCAGCTACCAGCTTCACCAGTGGATCATCCTATGTTGCCCCAGCAGCCTCCGTCCATCACGAGACCTATACTGCTCCCGCTACCTCGTTTGCCGCCAAGACGTATTCTGCTCCAGCTACCAGCTTCACCAGTGGATCATCCTATGTTGCCCCAGCTGCCTCCGTCCACCACGAGACCTATACTGCTCCCGCTACCTCGTTTGCCACCAAGACGTACTCTGCTCCAGCTACCAGCGGCTTCACCAGTGACGATTCGTATGTTGCCCCAGCTGCCTCTTACCAGAGCGCCACTTATGCTGCTCCCGCGACCTCGTTTGCGACCAAGACATATTCGGCTCCAGCTGCCACCTACGACACCAGCTCGTCGTATGTCGCCCCAGCTGCCTCCTACCAGAGCACCTCTTATGTTGCTCCTGCTGCTGTTTCTACCTACACCGCTCCCGTTGCTGCCGCCAGCTACAGTGCTCCAGTGGTGAGCAACTCCGGAGTTGACACGACCTACGGTTCCAACGGCGGATACGTCTACTAATTCCATTTGATCAATCGAAACCAATGCAATGCAAATTTTTCTTTTTTTTTTTTGTTCAATTTTTTTTAAACATTTACTTTAACGCTTGACAAAGAAGAATAAAAACATGTCTTAATCCACCAAAATCCACATCTATTTATTTCCAAACAACTTAACCACAAACAAATATCTAATTAACCAAACAAGTTTTGTGGCAAAATGAAGGAAGAATATATATATATTTTTATATACATATACAAACACAGACCGATGGTTCCTATAAAAGTTTTACTAAAAAGCATACATATTTATTGTATACTGCCTTCGATGATCTTATATTGGTACGGGAGTATTATAAATGGATCTGATCAAACTATAATCTCGCACAATTGAGAACTTTTCTGGTAAAACATATTTCATATATTTGTCATCTGAAGTGAATGATAATGGCAGTAATTTATTGTAAAACGAAATATACTTAAGACTGTATACAAAAATCGTGTGTGAGGGAATCAAAATCCGCTACTCATTAAGCTCGTTTTGAATGGACGACGTATCCTCCACCTCGTTGGGAGTCGCCACAAACAGAATGTTCAACTTGCTGCTGATGGGTCGCATGGTATCTTCGTGCTTCACATTCAGTGTGCCCGATTCCAAACTGAATGAGCCCACCAATTGGCCGGGCTTGATGTAGTAGTTGTGCCCCATCGCTAAGGGCCGATTATCCGTGATGAGGTGATACACCATCGATGGGTGTGGCTCCGTCTCAGCGTTGCTCATAATCAGCTTTGGCTTCGTTGTGCTCACCATTTGTGGCATTGCCAATATGTGAGCCAGCAGCAAACTGCCGACCAACGAAAACAAGCACCATGAAACAAGCTGCATAACTTTTATAACAGATGCAAGAGATTCAAGATACAAGAACAAGATACGAGATACGAAATGCGAGATGCGAGATGCGAAACGAGGCTGTTGACGGTACAACGCAACCAGTGGAATGCAGGCAATGCACTGAGTCTGGTTCTGACAGACAGCAGCATTCTTATACTAACTTATATCCTGATGCAGCAGGGCAATGCACCGCACACACCGACTGCAGTACCGTTCTCTCAATGCAAGCCCTTCTATGCGCTTCTCACTGCCTCTTCCTTCTTCTTGCAGTGATCAGAGCAAGTCGCCCGTTATTCGGGCATAACAAGTTTTCAAGTCCCATTACCATTAACCCGATTTCAATTTCGCACTAATACAAAAAAATAAAATTATGCGTATATATATTATATACATATTCAATAGTATACACGATTTACACACACATATACACAAATGTAGGATAAATACTTTCGGACCGCTCTCATTCCAGCAACAGCAAAGGAATACAAAGAAGACAAAAATACAGCAAAACAACAAAAAAAAAAAAGGTTTAAAAAATTACGCAACACAATAAATAAACCATTTTTGCCAATTTAATTTGTCGTTTCAGGTTTTATACAATATATGTGGATATGTATGTGTATAAATATATCTCGGATGGTGCGTGTATTTTCATGTTAGGTATAATACTAGTAGTGACATACATATATATACATGTATGTATATGTATACATATATAATATAGATATAATCAGCTTTTCGCTCATTTGTGTTAGTTATGCCATTAATTGAATGTATCAAATTGAGCTATATGCTCTGTGCACGAATCGGCGACATTAATTTAGTACCACAAATATTAAGTAAACAATTACAAACAATGAAGATCATAGATATTCATAGATCTCAAGCAGCTCAAGCTATTTATTTCCTAGTCGCGTGTGTGTTTTGACTACCGTATTCTTACTTAGCTGCAATTAATATAGATAATGACAACAAATTGACTGAAAATTTTTGAAAAATAATCTATTGTGATCGTAAAAATTTGTTAATTGGTTGTCATGAGTGAGAAGATGAATTAGGTTTGCAAAATGCCTTGAAATTCGGGCTGTATTCAAAACTTTGAATAAATGCTTAATTATATTATTTATATTTATTCTTTAATTGCTTATATCATCAAAACCTGCATTCAAAAGTTGTTTTCGTTTTTTTTTCCTTAGTTAAGATAGTGAAAGTAGCTTATGGTGATTTAACCTGCAGTTATTTCTAACAAACATCTGATTAAAAAATGTTGATTTGTTTTAAGATTTTTTATTTATTTATTCTTTCACGATTGCACTTAACTAACCTGTTATTTCTTGTTCGAGATCGAGTTAATGAATTAATAGGTTTAAATAAATTAGAAAAAAATCATCAAAAATTATAGCATAATAAGCAATTAAGATTTTTTTTAAACCAGAGTAGTAATTAATGAACAGAGACATGAGCAGCCAGAATGCACACTTATTTAGAGTTCTAAATTTGCATAGAACTTAATACATTTTTGTTACGGTTACTATTTTCATTGGCTTTCCAATTAATTTTAGCACAACTTCCAAGTTTCAACTGCTTTGTGTTCTTATGCTACATTCGGGATTTCGATGTTTTAAAAAAATAAATAAAAAAAAATCAAAGCTTGGACAAGAGAAACTAATAAAAAAAAGAACCAATTTGATAAGATTGGTAAACTATATTCTCTGTAGTTGTTGATCAACTTCACTTTTCGTCAAGCAGCCGCCGTTTCGTATCGGAATCGTTACTTCAGTTCACATGGGCCTTTGACGACCAACTGAAATGTCGGAATTGAGATAACGATCTGCAAAGCTGCGAGCATTATTCAAGTTGGCGCCCATAAACTAAGCTTCGTTGTTTCTTATGTTCCTGTTTCTGTTTTTTCTTAGTTTGTTTTGAACAAAAAAAAATCACTGGCACACCATTTGGTGTACTTATTATAATTAATGTCCAATATGAGTAATCGTAGCTATTAGCTCGCCACAAACATTATAGCCCAGGTAATGTGTCAGGTTTCGTGGGCCCGCAGCTTCACTAGTCGATGCTACTCTGTCAAAACCCATCTCATCGGATCCGAAGTGCTTTTGGCTTACTGAACTCGCGTTCGCTTCAAGCTGTCAATAACCAAGAAAAACGAAGAAAAAAACAATTCAACTAATGAAGAACAAAATAAAAAGAATAAAAATCGGATCATTAATTACACTTTCGTGGTATTTGCATTTATATTTGTGTTTGTTTGGCCCGTTGACTTCCGAAATGGACATAGCTAAAAATAAACAATCTATTAAATTCCACGGCATCCTCTACAATCGCGTAATTCTACGCTTACACTGTGCAACAAAACTGGCGGCCTGATAGAATTTGCATTGATATGAACATGGAATTATGAATCGCTCATGTACGTATGTGTAGCTATTTTTATAGTTTTATGTTTTAAATATGACACAAAATGTACGGTAAATGAATAAAACAAAAAACACGATTTTACTCCAACCATAGAATATATATGCACCAACCCAACAAGCGTGAAATTAAAAAGTAATTGGCTAAAACACAAACTTCCGCAGTTGACGAGGCATTTTGGCACCTCTTCACAGCCCCTTGGCTAAATGGTAGACTGGAATTCTCACCAGAAAATATTATTATTTAATATGCATTAAAAGTGGCACGTTGTGCGAAATCTTTAATCGTGTTGGACTTAAGTTTCGGCTGACTAGTTTAGATATTGGATTGAGTTACGTTCTTGAACTGTTTGGATTCCATATGAAAAAAAAGATTTGTACTCGCTGTTCTTTTGTTTGGGGCCGCTATAAAAGTGTTGCCTCGCAACTACAGTGGCATCAGTAACCGCTTGGTAAGCATCTAAGCAACTCCACCTCCAACTCCAACTCGACATGGTAAGTCGCACTCGACCACCGTTAAACTATCTAGCTTCAAATCACAAATAACTAATCATTAATCGCTAATCTTAAATCTTATTTTCAGCATTCATTCGCCATTTGTTCCGCTCTGCTGGCCCTGGCCGCCCTAGGCGTTGCCAGTCCTTTGAGCAACACCTACTTACCGCCCAAATCCAATGCATACAGCAGCTACAGCTCCGCTGCCGGCTCCAGCGGAGGTATCGGCTCCTTTGCCCCGGCAGCTAGTTACTCGGCACCATCAAGCCAGTATCTGGCTCCAACCACATCCCTCAGCAGCCACTCGACCGGAGGTGCCTTCCAGAGCAGCTACTCTGCTCCAGCCGTCTCCCACAGCACGTACTCTGCTCCAGCCGTCTCACATAGCAGCTTCTCCGCTCCAGCCGTCTCCCACAGCAGCTTCTCCGCTCCAGCGAGATCTCATGGCAGCTACTCATCTTCGGCTTCTGTGGCAGCTCCTTCTCGGCAATACCTGGCACCAGCCGCTTCCCATAGCAGTTTCTCCGCTCCAGCCGTCTCCCACAGCAGCTTCTCCGCTCCAGCCGTCTCCCACAGCAGTTTCTCAGCTCCAGCCGTCTCTCACAGCAGTTTTTCCGCCCCAGCCGTCTCCCACAGCAGCTACTCTGCTCCAGCAAGATCCCATGGCAGCTACTCATCTGCGGCTTCTGTGGCAGCTCCTTCCCGGCAGTACCTGGCGCCAGCCGCCTCCCATAGCAGTTTCTCCGCTCCAGCCGTCTCCCACAGCAGCTTCTCTGCTCCAGCCGTCTCCCACAGCAGTTTCTCCGCTCCAGCCGTCTCCCACAGCAGCTACTCAGCTCCTGCCGTCTCACACAGAAGTTATTCCGGTCCTGCTGTCTCCCACACTAGTTATTCATCCCCAGCTCGTTATGCCTCCTCTCGTGGACTTGGATTTGGTGGCTCTTCGGGGCGTAGTGTTGGCCACAGCTTTGGAGGATCCCAGCAGGCCTTCGGGGGATTCACTTCGGGCCACAGTAGCTCAACAGGTGGAACTCGGTATGCCTCCAATGGTGGATATGCTTACCGTCATAAGTATTAAACTGATCTCTACTCTATGCAATCAAAATGGGCAAAAGGTTTAATATTTCATATAAATATTTTTTTTTTTAACATTTTTCACCTTATTGTATGAAAAAAATAAAGTTTTTAATGTGCACTTGATAAAGATAACATGTCAGCATTTTTATATTATTCTTCCAAATCAGCTAAGAACTAATAAAAGCCTTTTTGTGTTCTGTAATCTAGTTTGATCTATTGTGTCCCCTTCCTCCAGCAGCCCTGATTTTTGAACGATTTCAAGAAGATTCGTCGGCTTGAAAGTTTCTATGTCTTTCGCGCTGAAGATATTTCTCCCTCAATTGCTGCATATTCTGCTGGCTAAGGTGGCGCAATCCGATATGATGTGGTCTTCTCCGCATTGTCATAAAAACTAATTATGTATGGGTGACTGAAAGACATTTGATCTGTGTTAGACCTGTTGCCTCTGCCTAGTTTTTTTCTTGTTTGTCAATGCCAAATGTTGCTTTGCAAATGTTATTTGGCAAAGCTGAGGATTATACGGAATATTATTTATACACTCAGAAAAAAATGAGGATTAGCGCTTCTTAATTTCAAGGTGGATTTTCAAAAATTTAGAAAAATTATGTTTAATTCTCACGGTGGTTTTTCTAGGTGTGTACCATAGAATTCATATATTAGCTTTCTTGTTGCTTAAACATTTTTATCTTAAAATTTCACATATACATTTCAAACAATTTGTAAACGGGTAAATTGTAATAAGAGGTGTGTTCAAAAAGTATCGCGAATTTTGAATTTTCGCGGGTTACGTATATTCGAATTTCGATTTTTTTTTAGCGTTATGTTGGTACTCATGTCTCTCACTTATGCCGACAAGCTCGGCCATTTTGAATGTTCACTTAATTGTTGACAGCTGCTTTGCTTGCACGTGTTTTGGATCGTCTTCGATTTTTACCTATTCAAAAAAATGGATCAAAGAACCTGTATCAAATTTTGTGTGAAAAACGAAATTAAGTGCGCGGATGCATTCCGAATGTTGATTGTGGCATACGGAGAAGCTACCTTGGACCGAAGCAACGTTTATCGGTGGTACAAAATGTTCTCAGAAGGCCGAGAAGATGTGAACGACGAAGAGCGTGCCGGACGCCCGAGCACTTCAACAACAGACGAAAAAATTAATGGAGTGGAGAAAATGGTATTGGCCAATCGTCGAATCACCGTTAGAGAAGTTGCTGAGGAGCTAGACATATCGATTAGCTCATGCCATTCGATTTTTATCAATGATTTGGGCATGAGACGGGTCGCCGCGAAATTCGTACCAAAATTGCTCAATTGCGACCAAAAACAGCATCGCATGAACATTGCTAATGAGATGTTGGACTCTGTCCGCGACGACCCAAATTTGCTCCAGAGGGTCATAACTGGTGACGAATCGTGGGTTTATGGTTACGACGGTGAAAACAAAGCTCAATCATCTCAATGGAAGCTGCCGCACGAACCAAGACCGAAAAAAGCGCGCCAAGTTCGGTCGAATGTGAAAGTTTTGCTGACAGTTTTCTTCGATTGCAGGGGCGTGGTGCATCATGAGTTCTTGCCACAGGGTAGAACGGTCAATAAGGAATATTACCTGCAAGTTATGCGCAATTTGCGCGAAGCAATCCGCCAGAAACGCCCGGATTTGTGGAAGAACAAAAATTGGCTTTTGCACCACGATAACGCGCCTGCTCACACATCGTTGCTTGTGCGCGACTTTTTGGCCAAAAACAACACACTAATGATGCCGCAGCCACCGTATTCCCCAGATCTGGCCCCTGTGACTTTTTCTTGTTCCCTAAACTGAAGAGGCCCATGAAAGGACGACGTTACGCTACGCTTGACGAGATAAAGACGGGATCGAAGGAGGAGCTGAACAAGATAAAAAAAAATGATTTTTTGAAGTGCTTCGAAGATTGGAAAAAACGTGTATAATATCTCATGGGGATTACTTTGAAGGGGACAAAATAGATATTCATAAATAAATAAATAATATCTGAAAAAACACAAAATTCGCGATACTTTTTGAACACACCTCGTATATCAGTCGAGAGAGCTAATTTCATTACCATGTGTTAATTTCGGAGAGAATATCTTCCAAGAATCCGTAAAGTCGTTTCTAAAAATAAAAAATAAAACATATATTTTGGATTGTCGATTCAGGGTAAGCCTTTCAAATTTTTACAGTAAATGATATTTTATATTTTGAAATAATTTTAAAAACAAATACTGAATCTAAATTTCAGGTAGATCTTTTTTCTGCGTGTCGAAAACTTATCAGCTCATGATGAATTATTGTGAATATCAACAAAATATATGATTGAAGCTCTTTATTAATACAGGTTACAACAAAATGGCAATTCTAAATATGTATATACAACAAAAAAAAAATAGTGTGTGTGTTATGGATGTGTGTATATGTATATGTGTTGTGTAAGCAATCGTTGCATTGTTTATTTAATTGATTGTGGTCCAGGCATTGTTGGCGATGTAGTCATCCTAATAAACATAACCGCCATTGGCAGCATATTTGGTGTCCAGGCCACTGTAGCCAGGGCTGCCGAAGCCAGAGCTGCCAAAGCCCCTCTGTGCTGGCAGATAGGTGCTAGACGGCGTGGCATAGCTGTTGTACTGCGGCCCGGAGGCATAGTTGTTGTAGCCGGAGCCAACCAATGGGCCGGAGTAGCTGGAACCAAGGCCAGAGCCTGAATAGTAGCCAGCGTTGCCGTAGCCCCCATTTGAGTAGCCCCCGTTGGAGTAGCCCCCGCTGCCCGTATATGTGGATGGATACGAGTAGCCGCCAGCACCGCCAACACCGCCAGCACCGCCTGCACCGCTCTGCGGTGGCAAATAGTTACGGGAGAGCGACAAATGAGAGACGTCCGCAGCACAAAATGCCAGAGAGGCGATCAAAGCGATAGCGGTACTAGTGTGCTAAATAAAAAAAGAAAATAGATGGGTAAGATTTGGTAAGACTTGGTATATATGCATATTGAAATGTTTGAGAAACTTTGAAGTTAAGGTTAACTGCACTGCTTTCGAATTATACTTTTAATTATGATGTCACATTTCGATTCCTATCATATATTTTATTATTATTTCTTATTTTATGTCCGTCGGATCTGCTCTTTAAGGCTCTTTAAATTGTTCAAGTGTAAAAAGCCAAATAATACAAATAAAAAAGAAAATTAAAATCATCTTAATATCAAGCATTCAGTGCAACTTACTAACAATATTTAATTGGATGTTGTTTATATCTGAAATACTTGCCATATTTAGGATTGTAGGGTCTTTGTGTTGAGTGTGAAAGATGAGTTATTCACTGGGTCGATGCTGTCGAATGACTGTTGATCATTTCGGCATCGGCGGGGCATTTTATACTTTTCTAAACAACATTTTTTAACTGTTTTTTAAATGGAATACATACAAATATTATGCGGACACATTTTACAACTAATTTTAACGCCTCAACCTCGCGCTGCGACGAACATGTCGATGGACAATGCTCATTACTCAAGCCAAAAAAAAATGAAACTGAAACTGAAACTGAACCTGAACCGCTTAGAAGATGTTCAACGACATGTTTGGATGTTGGTTTTTTTTTAGATTTTTATTTCATTTTTTTTTTTGCGGATCCCACGATTCCACGACTCACTAATTGTGACGAACACCAAATGCATTTTGGTAGTTTCTGTTTTGTGGTTACTGTTGTTTTTATCTTTGTTTTTTGCTTTATGACCCAGTCACGCCCTCACCCACCTCTTTCTCTTTCTCCGTCTATCTCCCTCTCTCTATCTCTCTCTAACTCACTGTTTCCGTGTTGATGAGACATGTGAAACGTCGCTAAGTAATTTTTTGGAGGGTACATCGTCTCTTTAATTATACAATTTATATTTCTTAAATCTAGCTCGGGTTATTGTTTTGTGTTAAGTGCCCTTGTTGTTGTTGCTGTTTTATGACATTTGGCGGTCGCCGCTTTAAGGCTTTGGTCTTATATGAGTCGCCACTCATAAATCTAACCGTTATTAATTGTGACTTGAGCACACTGCGGCCCATGTGTTGTGTTGAATATACACAAAGGGTACATAAATATATTGTTTTGCTCTTTTGCTAAATGCGTTGCCGAAACATTTCAAATGTTAACCATCCATCCATGTGGCAACTTTGAAGTTATAGAGTTGCCAGTTAACCTGTTGGCCTGCCCAATTCTCTGAGATGGGCACACTGATCCTGCCCATGCACATTTGCAGACACACATTGCAGAATTTATAAACGCAAAGCAATGTTCCACGCAAGACTGTTGAGCAGACAATTCACAAAAGCTGGATTCGTGAATCGCACACTTTCTTTACGGATGTAATCAAGGATACCTTGTCGAATCTTCGAGAAAACAGTCTCACTAAAAAGGAGCATGTGATGCTATCCAAACTCAATAAGAAGTGGCTGCAAAACTACAGCGCCAAACAGCATATGCCAACGCCTGACGTTGATGCGGAATATGTGGAGGTGAACACTCTCGATGACAATGAGGAGGTCGCCTATCGCATCAACGTTCCGCCCTTGAGGCGTCACTGGAAGAGCACCAGCTTCGATCTGAAAGTGAGGGGAGCGGTGTGCAAGCAGAATTTGATTCAGCCGTTGATTACCTGGCAGCTGCTGGACAGCATTATGGATGTGCCCAGTGACGAAGGCACTGTCATATTTCAAAGACACATCGATAATATGCTTCAACAGGTTGACAAATAAATAATTATAACGATTGATCAACTAAGGAAAATAAATTCGCTTACAGCAACACTATAATGGAAAAAAATTACTACAATCTGTTTTCTAACGACATTGTATAGGCAAATGTAAAACAAGGTCAAATTGTCTAGACATACAGCATTTATTCGATGGGTACACATACACGCATACATACAAAGATGGGTTCCAACGGGATCGTGTCACAGTACGCAGACGGCTGTTTGAACAAACAATTTCGCATTTCGAGACAATGATACCCTGTTATAGACTTGCATATATTAAGAATTCATGCGAAAAAATCTACTTTCATATTTGTTAAGCTAAAATTTTAATTTTTAGGTCCGATTTCTAACGACATTGTCTAGCAGAAATCTTAAAAGGGATATCATTGTCTCGACTTACGAAATTGTTTGTTCGAACAGCCGTCTGTTGTCTGCTTAGTGCTAATATTCGCATCATTTCGGGTATTTTATCGATGACGGAAATCGGTCACACTTAGTATAACGGCTTCTGACCGAATGTCGAAATTGCGAATGGCCAATTGAATTGCGATGCAATTGGACTTCGTTCAGTTCGCTTTTCGCTACTCAACTCTCGAGATCGATTTGCGTGTTTTCGTTTCGTTTATTAGTGTGGAACGTTTCGTTTATTCTGTGTTTTGTTTAATATTTAACGTATGAAAAAGTGCACGTTGATTGAAATACCATAAGTCGCCGATCTTCAAGCACAAATCAAATGTGAGTTGCACTCCAGCTTAATCTGTGCACCATAACCTCAAATGTACACGTGGTGGTTGATTTTTTTTTATTTTGTCAATCTTTTACAGGGCCACAACTCTTCTGGGGAATCATGTGCGACGAACAAAAGAGTGCCATGTGCCATGCGGACGGAGCCAGTGGAGGAGGGCGAGCAGCATCGCCCGACGGCAATCTTACTGCTGGCCTCTGTGCTCGTTTGCAATGCTGCTGCTCGTTTGCTGTGCGACTGCTGCCGCCACGACGGGATCAGCGGACACGCGGTGCCATGCAGATCAATTCCAGTGCAGGAACGGAGTATGCATCTTACAGGCGAAGATGTGCGACGGACGTAGAGATTGCACAGACAACTCGGATGAATTGGAATGCGGCAAGTGCCAAAAAAAAAACACACCTAACCTCAATTAATCAGTATCTAACCTCCAAATTACTCTCTCTCTTTTCTCTCCATCTCTCTCTTTTCTCTCCATCTCTCTCTCTTTTCTCTCCATCTCTCTCTCTTTTCTCTCCATCTCTCTCTCTATTTTCTCTCCATCTCTCTCTCTATTTTCTCTCCATCTCTCTCTATGTCTTTCTCTCTTTCTTTCTATCTACCTCTCTATCTCTCTTTCTCTCTATCTACCTCTCTTTCTCTCTATCTACCTCTCTATCTCTCTCTCTACCTCTCTATCTCTCTCTCTACCTCTCTATCTCTCTCTCTACCTCTCTATCTCTCTCTCTACCTCTCTATCTCTCTCTCTCTACCTCTCTATCTCTCTCTCTATCTTTATCTCTCTCTCTGTGCAGACTACAAGCTGTGTCGGCAGCCGCATTGGTTCCCGTGTGCTCAGCCACACGGAGCCTGCCTGGCAGCGGAACTAATATGCAACGGCGTCGACAATTGCCTCGGCGGCGACGATGAGCTCCACTGTCCGCGCCGCCTGGTCAGCTTGGGCAGGCGGAACTGCAGCCAGTACGAGTACATGTGCCAGGATCATAGCTGCATACCTCTCGACTTTATGTGCGACGGCAAGACGGACTGTGCCGATGGCTCCGACGAGACAGCCGGCTGCAAGCAGTCAGCCACCACCTGCACCACCGGCCACCTTTGCGCCAACGGACGCTGCCTGCAACGCAAGCAGTGGGTCTGCGACGGCGTCGATGATTGCGGCGATGGCAGCGATGAGCGCAACTGTGGTAAGTTCAAAAATAAGTAATAATTTGATAGAAATAATAAATAAATAATTACATCGATATCCACTTTGACTTGGCAGAGAACTTCTGCCTGCCGTCGATGGGAAAGTTTATGTGCCGCAATCGTGGCAGCTGCCTGCCACTGGCCCAGGTCTGCGATGGTCAAGCCCACTGCTCGGACGGCAGCGATGAGAGCGAGGCCTGCAAATCGAAGCCCGATTGCGGCGCGAAACAATGTCCGCCAGGCGCCACCTGCCACATGATGCCGACGAGCGGTGCGGAATGCTTGTGCCCCGAGGGATTTCGCCTGCTCAAGTTCAAGGAGAAGTGCGAGGATATCAATGAGTGCGAAGAGCGTGATGATTTGTGCAGTCAGCGATGCGAAAACACATCCGGCGGCTATCGCTGCACCTGCGACGCCGGCTACGTGCTGGATACCAGCAACAATCACACCTGCCACGCCACCAACAGTGTATCCGGCGAGAGACAGCAAGCACTGCTGCTTTACACCACCCAGGTGGCTGTGATGGGAATGCATCTGAAGCAGCAGCCGCAGGAGCGCAATCACATATTCACTGTGGCGACCAATCTGACCAAGGTCATTGGTGTTGCGTACGACGAAGAGCACATCTACTGGACGAACATACAGAACGAGGCGGAGAGCATTGTCCGAGCCCGTTCCGATGGTTCGATGGCGGAAATCTTACTCACCTCGGGACTGGATGCACCCGAGGATTTGGCCGTCGATTGGCTGACGCATAACATTTACTTTTCCGATAATATAATGCGACACATTGCGGTTTGCTCGAACGATGGCATGAGCTGTGTGGTGCTTGTCACCCACGATGTGCATCAGCCGCGCGGCCTGGCACTGTGGCCACAGCGTGGCCAAATGTTCTGGACAGATTGGGGCGATAAGCCGATGATAGCACGTGCTTCGATGGACGGCAGTCGATCCCGGCCGCTGGTCAGCGACAAAATTCACTGGCCCAATGGCATTGCGCTCGACATGCACGAGGAGCGAATCTACTGGGTGGACGCCAAGCTGGGCAGTGTGCAAAGCGTGCGACCCGATGGCAGCTCTCGTCGTACTGTCCTCGATGGCATACTGAAGCATCCGTATGGCCTGGCCGTGTTCGAGGATCAGCTGTACTGGTCGGATTGGGGCACGAAGAGTGTGCACGCCTGCCATAAGTACTCCGGCAAGCAGCATCGCATCCTGGCGCGAGATCGCACCATTTACGCCATCCACGTCTATCATCCGGCCAAGCATCCGCAAGTGGCGCATTCGTGCGATTCGGCGCACTGTTCGCATCTCTGCCTGCTAGCTGAACCGGAGTCGGGCGGCCACACGTGCGCCTGTCCGGATGGTATGCAGCTGTCGCCGGATGGACGACGCTGCCGACAAACTGAAAAGAAGCAACGCTTGTACATCGGTCTGCGCCAAGTGCTGCTCGAGATCGAGCACACGTCCTTCGGCCGGCATGTAGTGAGTGCGACACACCACCTGCACTGCCACATCAGCGACCTGGTCTACAACAGCGTCAACGGCACATTGTTCATCGCCGACAATCTGCAGCGGGCACTGTTTGAGTATACGCCGCAGGAGAGCGAGCCGCGGCTGACCGCCTTGATCTATCGCAATCTGGGCAATGTGAGTGGACTGGCCTTCGATCATCTAGCCCACAATCTGTATTGGGCGGACATGGAGCGGAGTGTCATCGAGCTGCTCTCGCTGCGCACCGGCCATCGGGCGCTTGTGCACTTCTTTGCCGGCGATGAGATACCCATTGGACTGAGTGTGATGCCAGCAGACGGTTTCATGTTTGTCGCACTCAAGGCACGCCGGCACACGCACATCGATCGGCTTGCATTGAGCGGAGCCGGCAGCCAGACGCACGTCTTCGAGGATGATTTGGGCGACGATGATATCCGGTTTGTTGTCGACCACGAGACGCAAACGTTGTACTGGTCGGACAGCGATACGAACCGGATTAGCTTCAGCAACTATCGGCAGACGCACGCGCAATTGTTTCGCGGCAAGTTTCGGCGACCCTATGCCCTGGCCCTGGTCAATCAGGATGTGTTCTGGAGCGAACTGGGCTCAGCAGCCATCTACTGGACGCACAAGAGCAACATGGGTGCCAACAAGCGCATCGAGATCGAAACGAATCCCCATTTGAGTCCGGATGCTGTTGTTCCGGCTGCTGCCGCATTTTCCATCCACAGCACGCTGCCCGTTCGCATACCGCTGGCGGGCACTGTGCGAGTGTCGTCTGCGACTTCGCCTTCGTCGCATCCCTGCCAGCATGCCAATGGCGGCTGCTCCCATGTGTGCGTAAGTGCTGGACAGTTTGGCAGCGCCTGCCTCTGCCCAGCCGGCTATGTCTATCGCGATGCCAACAATCGCAGCTGCACCGAAGCCTTGGACTGTGAGTTCCGTTGCCGATCCTCGGGCGAGTGCCTGACCATGGCGCATCGCTGCAATGGGCATCAGGACTGTGCGGACAGCTCCGACGAGTCGGACTGCGGCGATCCGCACAAGTCCAACACCAAAGTCAAGTGCGGCATGGCCGAGTTCACCTGCCACGACGGTCAGCAGTGCCTGGAGAAGAGCAAGCGCTGCGACGGACATAAGGACTGCCAGGATTACTCCGATGAGCTGCACTGCTCCCATTTCGGTAGGTCCACCTTAAAGTTGAACTTAATTGAACTGAACTGAATTCATTTTATTAACCAGATAAGACGAAGCTGTGCCACACCCATCAGCACGCTTGCGACAATGGCAAGTGTGTGGATTACAGTCTGGTGTGTGACGGCACCAACGATTGTGGCGACAATTCGGATGAGTTGCGCTGCAAGTCGGCGGCGAGCTGCGAACGTGGCATGTTCCAGTGCAGCAGCGGATCGTGCATTGCCAGCAGCTGGGAGTGCGATGGCCGCATCGATTGCAGCGATGCCTCCGATGAGCACAACAAATGCAACCAGCGACAGTGTCCAGAGAAGATGCATCGCTGCCTGCTCGGCCAGTGCCTCGACGAGCGTTTCGTCTGCGACGGTCACAACGATTGCGGCGATCTTTCCGACGAGCTCAACTGTGGCAACAGCCCCACTGGCACTGCCGCAGTCAATATTAGCTGCGGCACCGTCGACTTGCCGCGATATCAGTGCGCCAGCAATCTGCAGATGTGCTTGGATTTGGCGGTGCGCTGCAATGGCAGCGCTGAGTGTCCGCGCGGCGAGGACGAGGCCGACTGCGGCGAGATGTGCAGCATCTATGAGTTCCAGTGCGGCGACAGCAGCAAGCAATGCATACGCCTCGAGTTCCGTTGCGACAAGGAGCGCGACTGTGCCGACGGCAGCGACGAGGAACACTGCGACAAACACAATGAGACACAGCTCGGCTACAGCCCCTCAGCGGCTGGTGATCCGGCAAGTGGCAGGCGTGCTTGCAAGCCGCATCTCTTCGACTGTCACGATGGCGAGTGCGTGGACATGTCGCGGGTGTGCAACGGCTTCACCGACTGCACCAATGGCAACGATGAGGGACCGCAGTGTGCGAGCGCGTGTCGCAAACAGCTCTGCCAGCACAATTGCCAGGCGACGCCCGCCGGTGCTGTGTGCACCTGCAACGAGGGCTATCGGCTGGATGGTGATCATCGCAGCTGCGTGGACATCGATGAGTGTGTGGCGAGCGGTGGTGCTGCACAGCCATGTGCACAACTGTGCGAGAATATGCCGGGCAGCTACCAGTGCCAGTGTCATGCCGATTTTATGCTTCGTCAGGATCGCAGCAGCTGTAAGAGCATTCATGGTGGCGCCACACTGCTCTTCAGTAGCTACAACCAGGTGCGAAATCTGAGCGAACAGCCGGTGATGCTGTCCGTGGCCTGGTCAGTGAATGATTCACGCATCACTGGCTTCGATGTGGACATGCAACGGCAGCTGGGCTACTTTAGCAGCGAGGAGCAGAATGCCATCTATCGCCGGGACATGGATGATCACAGTCGCATCGCGGCTCTCGCTCTGCGCTCCCCCACCAAAATGGCTGTCGAGTGGATGACGGGCAATGTTTATGTGATTAGCGGCAGTGCAGCGCCGCAACAGATCAGTGTCTGTAGTTTTGAGGCCAAGATGTGCGGCATCATATTCCAGATGACGCCACGCTTCAGCCTGAAGGCATTGGCTGTGGATGCGCATATGGGGCGACTGTTCTATGCGGCCATACGCACCGAGAGCTTCGGCCAGCCGACCACCCAGATCCATATGGGGCGACTCGATGGCAGCCGGCGGGAGTTGCTGTTGCGCAAACAGCGCAGCTATGTGACAGCCATCGCAACGGATCCGCACCAGCAGCAGCTCTACTTTGTGGATCTGCACAGTCGCACGCTGGAGATGATTAGCTACAAGACACGTGGCACTGGCAAGCAACGCTATCCGATTGTCCTCATCCAGAAGAGCAATGCGCTGCTGCGTCCAACCGGACTAAGCATCTATGAGAACCATGCATACATTGTGAATTTGGGAGCCAAGGAGACAGTGCGCTGCCAGCTGTATGGCCACCGGAGCTGCAAGGCCATCAATTTGAATGTGCTCAATGCGCAGGATATTGTTGTTGCCGGCTTGTCGCGTCAGCCGAGAGCTGCAACCAATCCCTGCCAGCACGCCCGCTGCTCTGGCATGTGCGTCCTGGCCGATTATGGGTACGAGTGCATGTGCGGCAATGTTGTCGTTCTCGAATCGCAACCCTGTCCGCTCGGCACCACCAATGTGCTCGACCTGAGCACGCTACACCCCGGCGGCAGCGATCAACTATCGGTGGACAACAGCAGCGGAGCTGGTACCATTTGGCTGCTGGCCATGCTCTGTGTGATTGGCGTGGTTGCCGCCGGCTTTGGGTACATGTACTATCAGCATCGGCAGCGCGGTCATCGCGATCTCAACGTTACTATGCATTTCCAGAATCCGCTGGCAATGCTGGACGGCAAATCGATCGCAGAGATCGACCACCACAGCGAAGACAACAACAGCCCGGGGATCAGCACGACCAGCACAGCCGGATACTTCACACCCGACGAAGGGGGAACGAATCAATTTGGGATATCCAATATCCTGCAAACATTACTGCGTCGCAGGCAAGCGAAAAGCGGCGGCGACTTTACTGCAGAGGTTCCGCTCGAAAACAGAGGAGTAAGTACGATCAGCTCGCATTATACCCCGTAAGAGAAGGTTCCCTAATGAAATGGACAAACAGAAATAGAAATCAATTTGAAAATCGGTGCAAGGTAAAATTAACTTGATCTCTCCAGCATAAATATATATATATACGCTGGACAGATTAAGTTCATTTTAGATGGTCGATAACACTTTCAACACCTTTTTAAATCAATTTCAAACTGCTTTTATTCAATTATTAACGTTTATCGTTTTATCTGTCAACAGTCGAGCGAAATACAGTCGCTGGTCGGCGAACGGAGAAATTGGGGAACGCCGATCATCCTGGTATCAGGGCCTGACGATGATGCCGCCGCAGCCGAACGCTACGGGGGAGATTACCCAAGTGATGATGTGCATGCACGACTTGTACCATAAGTGATCAATCTAATCCTAATCTATGTGCACCTGTTTAACGTTGTAGTTAATTTTTGTATTTTGTATTAATTATATTTTTGCTTTGTCTATTTATTTAACATGTACTTTAGTAATTTAGGGGCAGCGCCAAGCAATTGTAATCGTAATTATAATCAATCAGTATCAAAGCACAATTCAAACAACCGTCTTCTTTAATTCTTCATAATGCAGTGGCGTCCATGTATATAGTCATATTGTTATCAAAGGAAAGTGTCAGTTCTTTTTATCATTTCATGTTCTGACATTGGCACGCATCACAGATTTTATTCTGCGTCCTAAGACTATGCTATGGATTCAAAGAAGTTATTTAGATTGTATATTGCATCCTAAAAGTATGCTTTAAAATCTAGGATTTTCTAAGCAGTGTGCCGCATTTGATTATTATATTAATATGTATTCCATAAGCCTCGACTTATGAGATATACTTAAGCACCTCTTAAATGAACTGATCATTCAACCCATGGCACCATGGCATTATTACCTTGAATTGTCACATTTCCCCGGATGTTTTCGGCTTTTCCATCGAATTGGAAATCATTTGATGGTGATTAAGAATATATATACTTGATGGTGTCCGAGATGAATGCGTGCCGCCTAAAAATGATATAAAGAAAAAACGTAATATTATTTATTAGACAAGGCTTGTTACTGTTGTTGCTAAGAACAAAATTTACGAAACTGTCGCATTCACGAAAAAGATATCCTCCAAAAGGCGTAGATCGTGCCTCACGATTGCATCTCTAGCAGCAGCGACGTTGCCGGTTGGCTAATGCGCAGCTTAGCTGTTGTTGTTTCCATTGAAATTGTTGCTGTTGTATTGCATTCATTGCGCTATGCTCACCACTGGCTGTTATCACAACAGCACACACACATACAATCCGGTTAGCAGCATAGAAAGAGAGAGCGACATCAACAGTGTGTTATAGTCACGTGTAATAGTCACTGACGATACATTACACAACACACACATGCACACATATATGACGCGTCGCTTAACAGTAACGTAACAGAGCGCTCGTCGACCACTAACAGCGTCTGTAGCTGTAGCATCAAACAGCAGCAGCAACAGCAGCAGTACCAAAAGGCAATAGGCAACAACAACAACAACAATAGCAACAGCAACACACACATATTTGTTTATTTACATATGTATGGCTGGCTGACTGGCTATAGAGGGCTGGTGGTGGCCGCCGTCGCGACGGCCTCTATTATAAAATAGCTCTACTCTCACATTGAATTTGTCATTCGGCGACAATTTCTAAGCATTCAAAGACATTTAAGGCGTACCGTGCCTGCCGCGTCAGCTTAACAGTCACATTCACAGTCACAAATTCAGAGCCTTTAACGTTAGTTGACTTGCACTCCTTGCCGCAACAGTTCAACTTAAAAAGTGTGCGCGCTTTAAAAAAAAATAAATAAATAAACCTGAATATTTAAATAAAAACCTTGAATCCTTTCTCAAAATTTAAAAAAATGCCTTTCGCAAGTGAACAAATACAATCGGTGGCCAGCCAGCAGCTGTCCAAATCGGACACAATCAAGCTGCGTAACAAACACATCGGGTTAGTACAAATCAATTATTAATAAATTACTTAAGAACTTTAGAAGATAGGTGTTAACTAAGTGCAATTTTAACACTAAACAATTACATACACACACACACACATCCAAATACAGCCTTGCGTTTACGTTATGTTAAATGCCCTGTTCGCACTTATGTTATGTGCATGTTAGATGACCTTCCGTCAGGCGCTTTCGCTGTCAAGGTCAACAAGCGGCATCCCCATCACGACACAGTCATCAACGTAATGTTCTTGTCGTATTCGTTGCTGCAGTCTTTGTGTTTGTATATGTGTCTGTGTGTGCGTTTCTGTGCCGCGTGCCAACTGGGAAATGCTAACAAAACAGTTTTTTGGCTGTTGCCCGCCGCACAATTGGCCGAAAGTAGCCGCATTTATTTTTGGTCTTTATCGATTTTCTAAACAGCTCGCGTCTTTGACAATATTTAATATATACATATATTTATATATATATATATATATTTAGATTGGCATCAGACCGGCAATTTGATTGGCTGTTAAACAAAAACAATAAGCCTAAACAAAGACCAAATAAAATGATTATTATCCGCAGTTTAGCTAGATGGCTTTCGTTAACACCTATGATTATCAGTGGGCGAACAATAGATGACGATTTTTCGTACTTTGGCACAGGCCCCGACTGTATTAATCGGAATAGTCGAATCGGCGAATGGGTGAAGGCATATCAAACAAGTCGAGTGGCAATCGCTTAACATTTATATATGTATATAGAATATTTATGGGTATAAGTAGATGAGTTCACCTCCAATCAGCATTGTTAGCCAATGCTAAGGCTATTTATAATTGAATTTTGTACAAACACAACAACAACCAAAACAACAATTTTCACTTATCTTTGCAATGCACTTAAACAACCAATTTGCACCAAAATGATCAAATATCGTCAAATATGGTCAGTCAAGCCTGTCAACTCTTCTATCGCTCCGATCCGTTGAAGATCGTTCGCGGAAAGGGTCAATATATGTTCGATGAGGAGGGCACACGCTATCTGGACTGCATTAACAACGTGGCACATGGTAAGTGAACTAACTTAACTAACTATCTCAACAATTCCAGGACTATCCCATCACAACTAAAACAAATTGGCAAACGTTAGCTATAAATCGCATATGAATATAAATATATAAACGACGTATAAGAAATACGGCAATGGCCGACCTCAGGTCAACGTGACAATCGCCAAATTGCGATTTGAAATTTATGTGAATCTAACAGCAGCAGCAGCAGCAGCAACAGCAACCAGAGCAAACATTAGTCGCATTGGTTAGTGCGTGCTGGCAAAGTAAGTGCTGGTTCCCATCCATTCCCTCATTAGCAGCAGCAGCAGCAGCTGCTGCTGGCAAGTTCAAGTTTATGTCTGACCGACAGCCGATCGCCGAGCATTAGCGGGCGGCATGTTCAGGCCCCGATTGAGGGGCTTTGTGTGGCTGGATCTGATGCCGTACGAATGACGCAAGAATATTAAGTCAACCTTATCGCTGCTTCTGATTCGTCGCTTGGGGCCGGAATGGGGCCGGTCAACGAATATTCAGATGCTGCCCGCTTTATTTCGGTTTTACACTAAAAAAAAATACTAATAATAATAATAACAACATTCAACTATGACTGACGTGAGCTCAATTTGCGAATTAAATAACTGAAATTGTCGAAATTGGCGCACTCTTATCCCAGATTTGATAGTTCCTATTTGAAAAGGGGAACATTTCATCTCAATTTGCTGTGGTCACAACGTAGCTGTTACTGTTACTGTAACTGTTACGGTTACGTTACGTAAGTGCCACATCCGCACTGTTAAAGCTTAACAGCTGTGCGCAACTTTCGTTTTTATCAATTTCACTAATTGCTGGTGCTGTGGGTGCTCGCAAATAAAAAGCATAACGTTGCCATGCCGATAAGCGCCACAAATGCTGCTCCTGCTGCCGACTTAAAAATAACCAATGTATTCACATACGTAATTCGTTCTACCCAATGTAATGCGATAAGGTCGATTGCAAAGATGACGCTAATTATTTATAGATAATTTTGTCAGGCTAAACACATTGCCTTGAACCATTTTGAACAGTGATAATACAAAAACAATATGTTTTTAAATAGCATGCTGTAAATGCGTATTATTATTATTAGTATTATTATTATTATTGTTTTTAATCAGTGACTGAATCGAGTAAACTAAACTCGTGCCTTAATCAACTTGCTAATAATAAATTGATCGCTTCTATAGCTTTTGAGTTCAATTTCAATTTCCATTATAATTGCGTCTATTGAGTATATCAATCATCAATTATCAATCCGAAACGATCGCAATACTCAAAACTCCTTTGGCATTATTGTTATCTTCAAAGTGCTTTGGCAAATACAATCATCATACGAAGGCTATTTCTGTGCACAAGTCGTAAACGTGATTTCGATTCCAATGCGTCTTTGCTGCTATATCACTCAACAACAACAAGTGTCAATGAAAAAAGAAAAACAATAATAAAACTATTTTTTTCAAAAACGTGCTGACAACAACAACTGGCAAGAACTTGTTATTGTTGATTAGGAAACTTCAATCGTTACGCTGTTGTGTGATCTCGTGCTACTTTTCTACAATGACTGTAACTGCTCGCAGTGGTTGGGCTGGCTTATCAACTGGTGCACATGTATGTATGTATGTATGTGTGGAACTGAGTGGCGACGGATCGCTGCCCTGAAACTGGGCTGTTCAGGCAACATGTGAACGTCTCGTGCCGAGTGGAAATCTACTTGAGATAACAACAATAACAGCACCAGCAACAGCAACAGTGAATGCAACTGCAACTGCAACTGCAACTATAACGCACTATGCCTGATTGTCCGGCCAGCTGGCTGTCAATCCGTCTGTCCGTCTGTCTGTCTGTCTGTCTGTCCGTCTGTCTGTGTGTGCCCAACCGTCCACAATCAATATTTGTTCGAGCCTAACAAACTGAGCTGAGCAATCAGCTGTGGCGTCCGTTGCGAGTGGAAAATTCTGTGCAAGATAATGTGAAAATCACTTTAAGCACACACACATATATAAACAAAATATGTGTGTGTGTGTGTGTGTGTGTGTGAGTCTCTTGGCATACTAGAAAATGCGGTCAAAAGCGGCTAAAGAAAAATCATAGATAATTCTTAATATTACGTTGCGTAAAATTAAAACAGCACTTGGCAAATTATTACAAACCACAGCTTTTTTCCTTTAATCTATTTAAAATATTTAAAAAAAAATACATATATATTTGTTGATAAATTGTTGATTTTTCACATTTATACTTAAATCATAGATATCTAAAGTAGATGATAAATATGTTGAATAATTAGCGAATGGCTCTTGCAAGTAAATTCAAGCACTAATATTAATCATTATCAGCATTATCGACTCCAGCCAACTAATTAATTGATTCATCTTTCGTATTTGGTAATTTCGTTAAAAAATACACTTTGCGATAATGTTGTGCTTTTCAAAATAATTAATTATATCAATGACGAAATATTATTCAAATGATTGTTTACAATCTGCTATGAAGTCGAAAGCATTTTCCTTTTGGCTTATCAAATGTTTTGCGCATCATCTGCTCAAGTCGAGATCGACGAACAGGCCCTGGTCCAAGATATTCAGGCCCCGGGCCGGATTGCGGGTACCGGATTGCGGGTATGATGACGTCGACTGATTACAGCCCCCAGTTAATCGTGTTTGGTCAGCACTCGCTGCGATGGCCTCGACTCGACTTCAACTTCACCAGTTTTAGCTGGCCGCCTCGAGAATCACGTGAAGCACACGCGATGTCCGTCGCCCCGTTGTCCCCTTCAATCCGTCTTGGACTGCCCGTTGACTTCCACTCGCACACAGACATATGTCCATGTAGATAGATATGTGTGTGTGTTGTGTGCTGCCGGGGATTTCCACGCGCGCTGATTAAACCAAACCAGTGCGCAGACAAACTGAAGACAAGTTGGGTAACAGCAAGTGAATAACCAGTTGCAACGGCCTTAATTGCAGACATTCAAACAGACATAATAGAAATATCTTGCTGACTTAGTGATTAACATAAATGTAGGACAAAACAACAAATATATATGTTTGTATATCGTATATAGTAGAACTACAACTCGATAATCCCCAAACAACAAACAAAATCAAAGCAATAAATTTATTTAAAGAAATAAATAAAATAATATTAATTAGCAAAGACAGAAATGAACTTAGAGGAAAATCGCAATTGACATTTTGGCAGAAGTGGGAAAATAATTCATTTGAAACATAAGAAACAAATTCTTTTTATTGCGTTTTATTTGTTTTATCTGTATTTTGCTTAAGGATTCGCATATATTTGACCATAGTTAAATGAAATGATATTCTTACAACTTACAGTTGGCCACTGCCATCCGGAGGTGGTGCGAGCTGGTGCTCTGCAGATGGCGACCATCTCGACGAACAATCGATTCCTGCACGATGAGCTGGTGCAGTGCGCCCGGACGCTGACCAGCAAGATGCCGGCACCGCTCTCTGTTTGCTTCTTTGTCAACTCCGGCTCAGAGGCCAACGATTTGGCCCTGCGCCTCGCTCGCAACTACACCAAGCGCAAGGATGTCATCACACTCGACCAGTAAGTCACACTCAGTGCGATTGATCGATGCGAGTTTCGAGTTGGTTTGGAGTTAATGTTTCTTGAATCTTTTCATTTGCAGCGCTTATCACGGTCATCTGCAGGCCGTGATGGAGATCTCGCCGTACAAGTTCAATCAGCCCGGTGGCGAGCAGAAGCCCGACTATGTCCACGTCGCACCCTGCCCGGACATCTATGGCGGCCAGTTTACCGATAAGTTGTATCCGAATGCCGATCTTGGCGCCCTCTACGCCCAGCCCATTGCGGACATCTGCCAGCGTCAACTGGCAAAGGGACACGGCATCGCTGCCTTCATCGCGGAGAGCCTGCAGAGCTGCGGCGGTCAGATCTTGCCACCCGCTGGCTACTTCCAGGCTGCCTACGATGCAGTTCACAGCACTGGCGGCCTCTGCATTGCCGATGAGGTGCAGGTGGGATTTGGACGTGTTGGCAGTCACTATTGGGCATTCGAGACGCAGCACGTTGTACCGGACATAGTGGCCGTGGCCAAGCCAATGGGCAATGGTCATCCGGTGGGCGCTGTGGTGACCACACCGGAAATCGCACAAGCCTTCTGTGACACGGGCGTTGCCTATTTCAATACGTATGGCGGCAATCCGGTGTCCTGTGCCATTGCCAATGCAGTGATGCGCGTCATCGACGAGGAGGGTCTGCAGCAGAATGCCCAACAGCTGGGCGATTATCTGATGAGTGAGTGCAGCCAGCTGAAGCAGGAGTTCGATTCCGTTGGCGATGTGCGCGGCATGGGCCTGTTTGTGGGCATTGAGCTCGTTGTCGATCGCGAGTCACGTACCCCCGATACCAAGTCAGCCCGATGGGTGGTCAATCGGATGAAGCAGATGCACAAGGTGCTCGTCTCCAGCGATGGGCCCAACGACAATGTCATCAAGCTAAAGCCGCCCATGTGCTTTAGCCATGAGAATGCCGATGAGTTTTTGCTAGCGTTTCGCGAGTGCCTCACCAGCCTCATGCAGGATCAATTGCAGGCAGCAGCAACGGTGGCGACATCATCGAGCCTTGCCACAAACGGTGCCACCGCAGCCGAAACGTTGGCGAACAAGACGAAAATGTTCGAGCGGCAGGATCGCCTCATCAAGTCTGTCTGAGTGCGGCATCCCGCGGCATCCCTAACACTGGGCATGTCCTAGTTTTTAGTTAACACCCACACCCACACACAAACACAAACGCACAACATTTAAATATTTAAATTTACCTAAGTTAATTCATATATTTTTTTTTGTTTTTTTTTTTTTTTTATTTACCAGCTGGCTTCAGTTTTTAGCCAGCTATTAAGCAATATATATTTGATTAGCTCTACTTCTAGTATCTAGAAATGTAGAAATTATGCACACCAAATATTATAATTTTTTTATATTTGTGTGTGTGTGTGTGTATTTTTTTTACAGAAAACCCAAATATATACATATATACATGAATACATACATTTACAACCATTTTTTACTGTATGCGTCGTATACAAAAAGAAAAGGTTTTATTCTTCACATTTTCCTGCGTTTCAATGAATTGTTTTGAAAATCATCTTTCAGTTTCACCACACCAAGTACAAAGTACACTTTACCTTAAACAATAAGTACAATAATATAATAGATAAAAGCCAAGAGAAAAACAATCAAATTGTTGTTGCCTGTTTTAGATGTATAACCAACTATTTAATATACAAATGTGTTTCTATCATCAATAGCAGTGATCCAAAATAATGTTCACACATAATACAAATAATTAGAAACTTAATTTAAGTGCTTTGTTTGAGTTTGTTGAGCTTACCAATAAAAATCCAGATATTTCCATATACTCTTCTATATATTATTGTATTGTAGGCATATCCTTTCAGTCTGGAGTTTATCAGGACAGAAAATGAACGATGTTTCCCAGGATTGTGAAACCGGAAATGGATTGGAAAGGGACAAAAATCCCGATTTGCAATTTTTTAAGCCTCAAAATATACATTCTGTATTCGGAGTAAGCAAAATGTTCAGTTAAGACTACTTACCACAAATCAGCACAAATATCATTAAAACAACTGTTGAATATATGTTTTTTTTTGGTTTTTCTTTCTTTTTATTCGAGTTTTTTTTTGTTGTTGTTTTTTTTTTTCATTTCATTGTTTTAAAATGTATTTCGCTTGTTCTTTTTTGTTGGTTTTCTTTTTTTACTGTGTGTATTAAGTTTCCGTTTCATTTGTTTCTGTAATATAGTTGATATATATATATATATATATATAAATATATATATATATATATGTATATACATATATATGTATATATATATATACATATTGTATATATTGTATATTAAATTAGTTAATAATAATGCGCATTTCTAGCTCTCTCAGCCGCCTCCATTGAAAACTATTAAAATTTGAAAAATTGTCTCGTCTGCTCAATTTTGGGTGTGTGTTCTTTTTGGTTGTGTTTTGTTGTTGTTGGTATTTTAACACGATTAAAAATCATATATATAATGTTTATATCTGATAATTGGTTTTTATATTATGTATATTATTTATTAACTTTTAATGGTCATTTTGTTTATTGTTGTATGTTTAAATATATAAAATAAGCATTTCTGTGATGTATTTTTTTCCTTTGCGTTATCAATTCTTTCTTTTTAAATTTTGTATGTATATTTAGTTAGTCATATTTAATATGGGTTTCGTTAAAGTTTTGTTTACAATTTGTTGTTATTTTCAAAAAAGAATTGTGTGTTAAGTTTTTGGTATATATATATATTTTTTTATATAGATTTTAGCATTTTTTTTTTTGGCAGAGTTCTTGTGTTTCTTATGTTTTACAAAAAGCTGTAAAAAATTGTAGCAATTCTTGTAGCAGTGTAAAAAAAGAGTAGAAAGAGTCTGTGTCTGTGTGAGTGTGAGTGTGTGTGTGTGCGTGTGTGTGTGAGTGTCAGTACGTGTGTGTTATTTGGATTGAAATCTTAAAGCTTTGTTCGTTTTGTGGAAAGAAAGTGCAGGGCAGGAATAATGGAAAAGGCACACCGAAAATAAAGAAATAAAACATTAACACAACGATAGAATCAAATGAAGTTGTAATGAAATGAATTAGTTTAAAATTGTGGGTATTTTTCTACGATTTGCTTGACATTTACAGCGGTGTAAAAAAAATGCTTAATGCGCATATTTATTGTTAATAATATATTTGTATTAACTTTCAACATGCCCAATGCATATACTTGTTCTGTGTATAAATATTGTTTTTTTTATGTTTTTTTTTTTGGTTTTTTTTATTGATTTTTTTTTTGGTTGTTGTTTAGTTAAAAAGAACACTTTCCTTAGCGTTTACCTCACTTCTACGTTGGGTTTTATTCGGTTTTCGTTTAATTTCCATTTCCATTTCGTCTTCCTTTTTTCTTTTCGAATAAAACGCTTAAATATGCAATGTAAATAAGTATTGTATATAATATGCATATACATATAAGTATATACATATGTATATTTATATATGCACATGCATATGTACATTTTTTGTATATAATAGTTTCTTCTTCGCATATTTCCATATATATGTATAAATAACGTCGCTTCATTCTAAATATATACATAAGGATATATATATATATATGTATATATATATACATGTATATATTTATATATATATATATATACATATATGTATATAAGTATACATATATGAATTATTTGTTATTTTTGCGCGGTTTTCATAACTTCATTTAGCAAGCTGTTGTTATTTGTATTTTTTGTTTCTTATTTCTTATTTTTTTTTTTTTTTTTTGTTTTTTACAGTGCGCAAATGTACAAATAGCAATGAGTAACTTAAACAAAAAATCTAAATAATATTTAGTTGTATATATTTATATATAGATTCTTATTTTTGTATATATATAATATATATAAAGTTGCCAATGCCTCTGCACACAAGTTGCTGAGAGATGAGCTCCAGATGTTGGGGATACTTGAGTTATATGCCGATCGTTGGACAGACGTTCTTCTTTTTCAATTTTCAATTTTCGATTTTTAATTTTTAATTTTCCTTTTTTCTGTTTCATTTTCATCTTTTTAGTTATTTCAATGCTTCACTTTTCGCATGGAGGGGCATTCAACTTCGGCAACTGATTTGCTCAACTTGAGATACATTTCTTTCATTTCTCGCTTCACAACAAACAATTCGTTTAAAATGTTTAACTTAATTCAAACCGTCTATTCCGTTGACGATTGCTACCAAAAAAAATCTATATATATATATACATATATATATATATATATACATATATATATGTGTGTGTGTATGTATATATATATATATATACATATATATATATGTATGCATGTATATGTATGATGCCTATACTCGTACTATACGTTTGGAGTTCTACGTTTAACTGTTATCATAAGTATTTAAAGTATGAGGTAATGTTTTATTTCGACTTAACTATAACTATGGGGCCGCCAAGCAGACAGAGCGAAACGGAAATGAACACATTTGCCATATCAAATTTACATGTGTATGTATGAATGGATATATATTTCTTTATATATGTATATTGTTATGTTGGCATATCGTTCGATCTGTGTGCAAGCGCCCCAAGTAATATATTTATATATTTATATATATATATATATATATATATGTATCCATATATAAGGCATACATACGCGTATGTATGTAAGTACATAACTGTAGATGAGCCTGGGTCTGACTCAAAAGCGATCGCTCTTTGGGAGCAACTGCCTGGAGACTGTCCACATACACTTGTAAAGAGCTAAATATGTATTTATATATTGTTTAGCTTTTATGTTTTTAAGTTTATGCTTATTCAATTTGCTTCTATTCAAATTTGCATTTAGTTATTTAAGGTTGACGTGGCTGCCCATGTAACTTAACAATATTGCAGTATATGTGTGTGTGTGTGTTTGTGGGTTTGGGTGTGTGTGTGTGAGGCCCTTTCTTGAACTTACAGAAGAGTTAAGAGAAATGAAGATTCCCAAAGAATCTAAACAACAAACAAAAACAATATTAAAATCAACAACAACTTCGCGACTCTAAATAAAAGTTAAGCAAAAATCATTAATAAATAGCTTAAATTTTGAATTTAGCTTATAGCATAGCGAATGGAATATTTTATTACAAATATGTACCTTAAGTTTTGGTAAATGCAAAGGCTCACTCCTCTAAAAGAAATGATTTTCGATTATATTTATTTGTAATTTGATAAGGAAGTTCAAGAGTGTGCGCGCAGTTTAGTTAGTCTGGAAGTGAGTTTGATTCTATTTGATACTTTTCCCTCAATTGTAATGGTTGCATATAATCGATGTCTGCTGAACATGCACATATATATATATATATATGTTTGTATGAACAAAATGAACTTAAGCTAAATGGTTACGCTCACATTGACATGTTCCCTAGATTTATCCGCAACAAACCATTAATAAAGAACAAATAGCAGAATGTTATATACAATTTCACAACTGCATATTTTTATAACACAAGTCAAGTCAAGTTTTATATGAGATTGTCACCAAAAAAACGTTTGCTATATTTATGTAATATTTGAAGTTTGGATATAAAATTCGTAATACATATTGAGATTAACAGCAGATGGAGGATAAAACAGAAAGAATAATAAACTATAACTAAACCAGTTTGCAAAAATATAATAATAATTTGTCAATTAACAGATGATTGCTTTTCAACCTTTCGTTGGTGGTTTGAGACGCCGATCGGCAGGCGGGTTTATATGGCAGCATTTTTTACTTTAAAGTTGTGTTCTTCACGCTTTTTTTTAAATGCATTTAAGAAATCTTTCCCACACTAAAGTGTGCACTCAAATGGAATGTGTGAAATGCCCAGGCGCTTAAAAGTATGCTATGGAAACTCAAATACAAGAAACAAGCTCTCATCAAATCGACAGTTGTTCAGCGAAGGTAATATTTTGAGAGAAATTTGTTCCCTTGGCTTGTGGAAGAATCGCTGGAGATAGAAGAAGAAGACATGCGATTGTAAGATCGTAATAGTCAGAGACAGATGTTGTTTGTATGTATGTGAAAGTAATCGTGCCTGTGTAAGTAATTGATTTAACTATGCTCTGGCCTGTGGTGCACTGGATGTATGTAGGTATGTGGGAATGTGGGTATGTATGCATATATGTATGTAAGTAATGTACAAATATTTAGTAATATATAATATAAGTATTTGTATATATACGTATGTGTAATGCTGAACAAGCGTTGTTACAGTTCCTTATTCTTCTCACACAAGGATGCTCTCCTCTGCTTTTGTTATTTTTTTCATGGAAAAAAGTCAACTATATGCATATATACACAAATATATATATATATATATATATATATATATATATATATATATATATATATATATATATGTACGTATGTATATATGTAGCTCTATAAATATTTATTTATGTATATATATATATATATAATATATCTATTCCATAATATGTATGTACTGTATTGTAAGTTTGTATATAGATACAAATGGTTCATTGCATTCTAATTTAAAAACGGGTTTTGCTAACTTTTTTTTGGTTTCTTTTGTTTTGCTTTGTTTTTTGTTTTGTTTTGTTTTTACAGTGTTTTCGAGCTGCATGTAAAGTTCTATTTTCGATTTGCTTCGGTTTTCGATTGTATAAAACTGTCCACTAAAAATGTACAACTTACGCGATTGCTTGCAGAATTTCGATTTCATGTGTGTTTCTACATACATATATAGATTCATATGTATTTGTTGACATCATAAATAAGTGGTACACATGCACTTATGTATGTATATAAAAACACAAAAAGAGTTACAATATTTATATAAGAATAACGTAAAATGCGCCGAGCGACTTGTTTCATTCATATTCATATTCATATTCATATTCATATTTCATATTTCATATTTACAGTGTATCGTGTCAACGTTGCCTAAATGCGTTCTGTGGCACATCCACAGGAGCACAGTGAGTGGCAGCTGCTCCACAGCTAACTACTGGCTCCTGATCGTGGTGCAACCAGCTCGCAGTTCGCATGGCATGGCCTGGGCTTAAATATGTACACATTTACACATGTACCAATCTACCCAATGTACATAACTACATTTACAAATACATACATATATATACGTATGTATGTATGTATGTATGTGTGTATGTGTGTATAACATGCTTGCTTTAATAGCTACTAACAGAAAGTGGCAGTTTCACATTATATATTTTATGTCGCACTTATTGTAAGCTTCGAAGTATGTTTGTATGTATGCATGTATGTATGTATCCATGTATTTCTGTATCTGTATCTGTATCTGTATCTGTATCTGCTTTGGCCCAATCTACAGCCATCGATCACCAGATTAATATGTACATATCTATCTATGCAGAGATCATGTCACTCACTGTTACTCTTCCGCCGCAGTCTGCGATCTCAGCAAGCTCTTCAACCAGCTCAAACGTATACGTAATAATAATAAAATTATCAAATTATAATGGAGGCTGCCACGCTGTAAGCAAAGAAAACTCTAAGCTTAAAACCTTGAAACATATAATAAAATATAAATAAATTGGCAAACTAAATAAAACAAACTTGTAAGTTTTTGTGTCTTGCGTTTTTTCTCGGTTTCTTTCGTTTTTTTTTTTTTGTTTTTTTTTTTTTAGCTGCGTTTTGAAATAAATCCAAAAAACCATATTTATTCAAAACTGCATTTGATTTGTTTTGTATGAAATATAAAAAAATTGTTTTCCGTTTTTTTTTTTTTGCATTTTTCTTTCTTTTGCAAGAAAATATATATGTATAAATTAAAAAATAATTTTTGCATTAAGGTATAATGATTTATGTGTAAGATAAAGCATACTAAATAAAACTCAATCAAAAATAAACAATTGCTAATTTTTGTCGCACTTCGTTCTTTTTACAAGTATAACTGTGTGTAAATATATATATATATATACATATATATATATATATATATCAAATACAAGGATGTATGTGTTATGTCGTTCTTATATTTGTGTGTGTGTGTGTATTTTTGTGTAAACTCTTTTTCTAACAAACATAAACATAATTCTGCGTAAAGCCCAAGATTTCTCTCAGCGGGCTCCTTCATCTGGCTTGGTTCGCTTGTGTGTGTGTGTGTGTTTAATTAAAATAGCAAAATAATTACAATTGATGTAAACTTATGTATGAATTTTGAATTGCTTGAATGTGGCCTGTGTTCTTGCTTGAAATGTGATTTCTTTTTGTCTATTGCGAAATATTTGAAAAAGTTCATGGTAAACATACAATTTGATAAGCTAAGTTAAGCAATAAAGAAAGGGCGCCTTCGTACAGGAGTTCATTCATTCCTGCTTGTCAAATGATGCTCAAAGCTTGGCAATATTAGAATCTTGTTCACTTGAAATCATAATCATTTTCTCAACAAATCGCTTGTGATGAATATACATATATATATATATATATATATATATATAGATATATATATATATATATACCAGACCAGACCAGACCACAATATGTTGTTTTTAGGGTTCTGCTCCTTGCTTTGTTTTTTCCTTTCGTTACGCTTTAAATTGATCGGTGAGTGTCTAACTTATTGAAGAAATTTGAAAATCCTAAAAATTGCTTAGCTACATTTGAATATGTTTATATATATAAGAGAATATATATAAATATCTGCCTTAAATTATAAGAAAAATATAAACCTAAGAGGGGAAAAACGCGTGCAATTTTTATAAGTAGTTAAATACAAATAATAGACATATGAAAAAAAAAATATATATATATATATTATTTATATATGTATATATACATATGTATATAGCTATATAATATATATGCATATTTGTATAACTATTTGATAAGTAGGTGTCTAAAATAACGTTAGTTTAACTGAACACATTTTGAAGTGAGTTTTGCTGATTACTGTGTGTGTCTGTGTGTGTGTGTCTGTGTGTGTGTGTCTGTGTGTGTGTATGTGTGTGTGTGTGTGTGTGTGTGTGACTGTGTGTGTTAAGTGTTTACTTGTGGTGTTGGCAGAAATCTCAGTCTAAAAATGCACACACATCAAATGAAGTAGTCATTGCTGTTGTTGTTGGCTTTTTTTCGCTATAGATTTAAATCAAAAATAATAATTAGTTAATAAAAGAAATTATACATATATATATATATATGTGTGTGTGTGTGTGTATATATGTATATGTATGTATATAGTGCAACAGATAAACTATAACATGAACTAAGTGCGGTGGTGTGTGTGGGTGTCAAGAGAATGCGTGGCGTAGCGCTGAGATCGCACTGCATTTGCGTCCTGCTGCATGGCCAACGATGGCGAAGGCGACAGCGACAGCGACAACGACTGAGGTGTCGACTGCAACAGCAGCCAGAATGCCATACCAATGCCCAGGGCCAATACGAACAGCAGCAAAAGCAATAGATGCCCCACCTCAAAGGTGCAAAGACGTCGCCGTCTTTGTCGATGCAGTTGCACAGCCAATAAGGCAGCAGCCCCCAAAGGCAGCATCGGCAAAGCTACAGCACAATCTGCTTGATGTTGTCGTTGTTGCTGCTGGTGCTGGTGCTGCTGCTGCTGGCGCTGTTTTAGTTGCTGTTGTTGTTGTTGCTCTTCCAGCCTGAGCATGAAACGAGCCAGGCGCAAAGCAGCCACGGGCAGCATCAGCGATACGTTGTTAAAGCTGCTGATGGTAATGGCTCAGCGGTTGCAGCTGGTGGTATGCCGCATGCGGATGCACGTGCGAATGCTGATGCTGATGCGTATGCGGATGTGAATGTTGATGTTGATGCTGATGTTGATGCTGATGCGAATGAGACTGCGCATGCGCAGAATGCGGCAATTGTCGCGCTGCAGCCTGATAATATCCAGCAGTGGGCGGCAGCGTCTGATAAGCATGTGCCGGCAATGGCTGGTGAATCGCTGATGTTGCCATCGGCGGCGTCGCAACCACTGAACGCTGTTGAGCCGTCGACAGCGATGGTCGCTGCTGTTCCACAGCGTGCGTCACCAGGTGACTGGGACGAAATGAGCGATCGCAATCTTGGCCAGTGGATGGTAATGGCATTGCTATTGTTGTTGCTGCAGCTGCAGCTGTTGTTGTTGTTGCTGCTGCTGCGGCGGCTGTAGCTGCAGCGACGGCAGCGACAACTGCTGCATTGCTTGTGGGCGTCTCCAGCAAATGATGATGTCGATGATGATGATGGTGATGATGATGATGTGCCTGTGCCTGTGCAGATGTCGGATCGTTGTTGCTATTAACATTGCTAGCATTGTTGCTGTTGATGCTCTTGATGCTGTGGTTGCTGCTGCTGATGTTGCTGAGGCCGCGATTGCCGTTGCTGTTGTGGCTGGAATTATTGCTGATTGTGACGCTGCTGATGATGTTGTTATTGACATTGCCAGGCATCGTGGACGTTGTGCCCAGTGTCCTTGATTTAACCAGCGCTGCTGCTGGCGGCGGCGGCGAAGATTTTTCGCTGCTGGCGCCAACTGTGGCGACGCCTGCAATTGTTGCCGCCGTTGTCGTCGCCGTCATCATATTGCAGGAGTCAAGTCTTTGTCATTTGGAATTGCTTTGTAGTGCCGCATTGATCTGTGTCCACAGCTCCTTTTTGCACGACTTCGAGCTGCAAAAAATTAAAATACCAAACAACAAATTAAAACATATTGCTGAGATTGCAACACTGGCTTAAGAACAGCAACAGAACAGCAACAAAATGCTAGTAATATAAAAAGTATTGTTGACAAGTCCATATATTATATAATTAATTCAGATACATCAGCATATTTGTATGTAGTTCTTGTTATATTATATGGCACATGTCAACCACTTTGGTCCTAGCCTTGACTTGATATTCTCAGTGAAGGATCAGAGAAACGAACTTAATGCATATGGAATGCGATAGCAAACTGACCGCTTGATGGACTGCAGCCAATCCTTGAATTGTGCACTGCCTTCGGGTGTGATTTGAAAGGCAGCTCGTGCTGCAACCACAATGCTCGCAAATTCCTCATAATCGCTCTGAGTCAGATGATATAGCTTCTGGTGTATGCACTGAATGTACCTGCAAAACACAAAATCATCAGTCATCAGTTAATCAGTGGCCAACACAACAAGAATATATATCGCATCACAACTCACATTTGCTGGCACTTCTGCACCAAGGGCGTTAGGGCCGACCGCAGATGCTGCATGACCAGCTGATGATTGTTCCTGCCCAGATAATGGGCCGATTCGATGGCCACATCATGCAGCACAAACGGACTCACAATCGAATTGACCGCACAAATGCAAAACTGATGCAGATACTGTGTGCCCAGCCTCTTGCTAATACGCAACAGCCATTTCACATCCTCGCCATACGGCGGATTCCGGGCGTACTTTGCCTGCGGTCGATCGTCGTGAACGCGCCGCGCTAACGTCTCCATGGCCAGCATCCCAACATTGTACGCAGCCAACAAATAACGCAGCTGAGTCGATCTAGAGAGAGATAGAAAGAGAGAGAGGGAGAGAGGATGATAAGAACATGTAACAAAGTCAATTATTTGATCGATCCGACATCGTCAGTTAATCAGAAACTTACGTGAACTGATGCGGCTGGCGCTGGCGCACCGGCGGCTGCGATGGCGGCTGCTGATGCTGTGGCGGCGGTGGGGGTGGTTGTTGCTGCATAAACGGATACACGGCATGCTGGGCTGGATGTTGTGCTGGATGCTGAGCGGGATGTTGACGCAGCGGTACGCCCACACCACCATTCGGTGGCGGTGGCGGCGGTGGTCCATAATAGGCTGGCGCCATTTGACCCATGGGCGGACCAGGCGGGCCCGGCTGCAGTGTCTGATATGCCTGCGGTGGCAGCGGCTGAAAGGCGCCCGGAGGCGGTGCCTGAAACGCTGGCGGCGCCTGATGACCCACCGATGCTGCATGCACCACAGCTGTGGGTGGTGCCAGCGACTGTTGTTGTTGTTGCTGTTGCTGCTGCTGTTGTTGTTGTTGTTGTTGTTGTTGCTGCTGCTGCTGCTGTTGCACGTGTTGCTGTTGTGTGGACGGCGGTGGCGGTTGCTGTTGCGAGTAGCCAGCGTAAAGCGGCTGCGGCGGTGGCGGTGGACCAGCTGATATATACATCTGCATCTGGCCAGGCGGATAGCCGAGATTATGATGATGTGCATAAATGCTCTGGCAGAAGGTATACGGCCCATAAGGCGCGAGACCAATGGGTGCCAATGTGGCGACACCCGGCTGGAATGGCTGCGGCGCCGAACTGACCACAGGCGGACCCGCCAACGGACCTCCTCCACCAGCAGCAGCGTTCATAAGCAGCTGCTGCTGCTGCTGCTGTTGTTGCTGATGTTGCTGCTGTTGTTGCTGCTGTTGTTGCTGCTGTTGTTGTTGCTGCTGCTGCTGCTGCTGCTGTTGTTGCTGCTGCTGCTGTTGTTGCTGCTGCTGCTGCTGTTGCTGTTGCAATTCATGCTGCTGCTGAGACTCGATGAGCGCACTTAAACTAACCGCCGAATGCTCCATCTGGTCGTCATGCTGCTCATGATCCGCACCGCTGCTGTTGGGCGAGTTGCGCGTGTAGAGCTCGTACCAGTAGCGTGCCACCTGGAAGAGCACCTCCGGATAGACGCCACCACCCTTGGCGGCCGTTTCGACCGTGAGACAGGCACGCTCTAGCATTAGATCGCTCTGCTCCTTGCACTGCAGTATGGCGCGCTGTATCTCATTGGGATTTAGGGCCGCTGCATGTGGCAGCACGGATAGGGCCAGCTCTGCAGCCGGATAGACCATATTGCTGTCCCAGCCACGGGAAGCACGATCCGCCATGCCAGCCGCTTCGGGCGGCGTCAGATGCGCCTCCCACGTATCGATTAGAAAACTAATCGCTGGCGCCCCAATCTCCATCGCCTGGCCGAGTATCCAGGAGACGTGCGAAGAGTAGGTGCGCGACAACCAATTGGGACTGACACAATTGTGCAGTCCGAGCGCATAGAGGCCCAGCTGAAAGGCGCACATATGCAGAGCCCGATGCGAACCATGATGATTCTGGCTGGTGCTGGCCTGTGTGAACAGCGATGTGGAGCTGTTGCCACCCGCTTTCGTCAGCACATTTTTGGCCAGCTCGAACATGAAATGGGCGCTTGCCTCCGATGGCTGATTGGGTATCGACGGATAAGCGCGTTTGCCTTTATAGCGGCTCTCCTTGCTGCGACTGCTGCTGCTGCTGCTGCCATTATTATTGTTGTTGTTGCTATTGTTGCTGTTATTGTTATTGTTGCCGCCGGTAGTGTTGCTGTTACTGCTGCCATTGTTATTATTATTGCTGGCCGTTGTTGCTGCACCGCTGCCAGCTGTTGCTGCAACTGAATTATTAGCATTGTTGTTGCTGCTGCTGCTGCTGGAACTGCCGCCCGGCTGTGCCGCCACTAGATTTTGGGCTTGTCCATTGTTATTGCTGCTGCTGCACGATTGATTGCTGCTGCTGGCCATGCTCAGGGCACACATGCTTAGCTCCAGCTCGGCACTGGTCGAGCTATGCGGCCGACTGTTGCCACCAACGCTGCCATAATCGTTGGGCATCAGTTGTTCACATAGATTGATGATTCCAGCAACACCACCACCACCACCACCACCATTACCACCGCCACCATTACCAGCACCACTATTTGCTGCATAGTCATGCTCATCGCGTCGCATTGGCTGTTGGCTGCTGGGCGTACGCACCGGCGGATGGCTGGAGTAGTAGGCGGGCAACAGTGGCGACTTGAGCAGCGTGTGTATATCCCGATCCAGCAGCTTCTCCATTATCTTGGCTATCTTGCGCGGCTCATCCTTGTAGTGTGAGAGTAGCGCCAGTGCCAAGTCGCCCCGTTGCCGACGTGTGCCTTCGCACAACAGCGGATGCTCCGCTTCCGAGACGTTCGCCTTCAGGCCCAATGCTGCGACTGCTGCCTCAAAGCCCATATTCTCCTCGTTGTGCTGCTTATAGATTGTCGCCGTATTTTGACGGCGCACCATGCCACCAGCCAGATCAGGCATGGCATTGGCCGTTGCCATCTTTGAGGCTGGCGTCACCAGTGCATCGAATATGAACGATGCCAAATTGATCGGAAGCAGAGCCTCGCCACGCGTCTTGATTGTGCCGTTGCGCAGCTGTTCGGCACGTTCGCGGATCACCTGCAACTCGGCGGAGCACACTGGCAGACGTTTCAACAGCGCCAGTATGTCCGCCTCCTGGTTGGCCAATTTCACCTCGAGTGGCTTGGTGCTCGCCGGCGGACGCGGCATCTCCAACGCAAACAGACAGATGCGAAACCCAAGGTGATAGTGTTCCCAACTCTCGTAGAGCACAGTGCAGAGGAATGCGCACTTGGAGAGCGTTGATGAGGCAACCACTGTCAACTGATGCGAGATGGGATTGACGTTCTGCTTTTTACCTTTGCGCTTTGGCGCCGGCGGCAATTCCATTAGCAAATTGGGCGGATTGGCAAGCATCTGTTCGGCCAGACGCACAGCCAGGATGCATGCCTCCCGGCCATGTCCATGGGCGTGCAGACCCTCCGCGCGAGCCAACAGTATGTCCCAGGCATCCTCCGAGGGCCGCACATTTGAAAATATATGCGGCTTATCGCCAGTTAATGCGGCACGTTGTCCACCCGTGTTGTTCTGGCTGCTGTTCGCGGCACCGACAACTGTTGCTGCTGTTGAAGTGGATGTTGCAGTCGCTGCTGCTGACACTGCTGCTGCAGTTGCTGGCACAGCTGGTGGTGCTGCAGATGTTTGTGCCTGGTCCATGACTGGAGTGCTGCTGTTGCTGTTGGCTACTGTTGCTGCCAGTGCGGCCCGGGCTGCTGCTGAAGTGCTTGGCCCAGGCGTCGAGTCACTGCCAGTTGCTCCTGTTGCTTGTGCTGCTGCTGCTGCAGCTGCAGCTGTTGTTGCTGCAAAAGTTGCTGCGACCTGGGCAAACTCATCGCTGCTGCTGCTAAAAGACTCATCCTTGGACAGGCGACGTGACACCTGCTGCTGCTGCTGAAGTTGCTGTTGCTGCTGTGCATTGGGAGCGGTTTTCAGCATTGATGAGCTGGAACTATTGCTGCTGCCGGAGGCTGTAGACGCAGACGACGAAGCCGACGATGCGGATGAGGTGTCTGATGTGGAGCACGCCTGTTGCCTATAGTCCGGTGTGCCAGGCACAACAACAGCAACAGCTGCTGCTCCTGCTGCTCCTAATGCTGCTATTGGCATATCCTTGCTCTGTTGCGAAACAGCTGAGACAGCATCCAGACTGCTTTGCGAATCGGATTCGGTCAGCGATTTCTGATTCTGGCCAGCCACCGGACCGCGTTCGGTGCAATAGTTGTGACTGCTGCTGTTGTCGCCGCCAAAGTCTTCATTCTCGCAGAAGCCCTCGCTGCTGGCGCTAGACCGATTGCCATCGCCACCGGCACCGGATGCAGCAACAGATGCCACTTTTCCTGATGCTGTTGTTCCTGCATTTACTTTGGGTGTAACGACAGCTCGGGGCAGCATCTGCTGCTGCTGCTGTTGATGCTGCTGTTGTTGCTGCTGGGGCTGCTGCTGCTGTTGCGTCGGATTGGCGGCCAATGCAATTGCGGCGTCACGGTCAACGCCCATGCCACAGCCGGCATTAACACTGGCCAGCAACAGGACAGCATTTAAGGACGATGACTCGTTGGGTGAGCCAAAGAACTCGGCACCGCCAGCATCGAAACGGTCGCGATATCCACTTCGTTCCGGACGCTGCTTGAAGGCGCTCGCATGCAGGCCATGATCGTTGGATGTACTAAAGTAGTTGTAGTGCTTGTTGTTGCTTATCAGTGCCTGGGTGGCGTTTAGCTGGCTGGTGACACCCGTCACGCTGCACGATTCGCCCTTGGGGTCCGTATGCTTGAAACACGTGAAGGGCGAATAGTAAATGGGATTTGTGTCATGTGTGTAAGTTACGCCCGGTATTGGGTAATCCTCCCAGTCCAAATAACACGCCTCAATTGCCGGCTTGAAGCCAATGAACAGCTCCGTTTCGGATCGTGAATTCTGCTGATGTTTGTTTGTGTACGACGATGGCATCATACGACTCTTGACCACACGATCCAGAATCTTTAGATGCCAAGCCGTAAACTGAGCGTGCAGCATGTCGCGCTCATCGGGTGCCAACCCCGGATTCAGTGCGGCCAGACGCCACAGTGCCACAATCTCGTCGCACAACGAACTGCACGCATGCTGCAGCGCCGTCGAGTTTGAATGTGTATTGGAGTGCTTGCCACCGCTGTGGCCATGGGAGCCCATCATGAGTGCCAGCTTGGTTTGAAACCACCAGATCAGCATCTGATCGCAGGCCATGCACTCCTCCGTTATGATCTCGAGCAGCCGGACCGCATTCCGATCGCATCGTCGATACATCTCACGCACAATGGACAACAGATTCCACATGCCTTCTGGTTCGCGACCGCGCAGTGGACGCAACAACGATGTCCATTCAGCTGCCGCAGGTGGCGCCGAATTAGTCAGATAGTTGACATCGCTGTGAAATGCGAGATATAATATATATATTAAAAACGATAACACATCACAGATCACAGGTAATATTCATGGATAATGTTCCAACTAATAATTGTTGGATAACAAGTAAAAAGGGGACTCCTCTTACCTGAAAACAATCGGCGCCGGCAGAATAAATTTGATGAGTATGCGCTTGATATTATTGTGGAGCGTTTTCTCGTCCAGATACCAGCTGGTCTGGTCATTTATCGACGCCCCCGCCGTCGGATCGGGTGCCCCACAGACGGTATTTATTGCCGTCGGCTGGGCACTGAGCAGTTCATCCAGCAGTCGCTGAGCTGTTGGCAATATCTGCTGCGGTAGCTCACTGATCAGATACTGGGCAAACTTTTGTAGCTGATCGCGCTGCAGGCGCGTTAGCGACTCGGAGACGGGTGCGCGAAGGCAGACCTCCAGCGGCTAAACATCACACAGATTAGCAAAGAAATAAAAGATGCGAGGATTGTTATTGCAAGATAGAAACGTAATGCATTGATTAATGCATTTGCAAATTGGAGGAGGAGTACGTACACAATGAATGCGATGCAAGCAGACGGCAACCACATGGGAGCACCAGTAAGCGGATGAGCTACAGGTGCAGTTGCAGGACGAAATCCGGCGGCGATCGAATGTGACGGCGACATTAAAAAATGTGCGCGGCGTTTGGCTAACAACGCTTGCAGACAGATGAAAACCTGGTTGAATTCAATAAATTGCATTAAATATATACAGAGAGATATGTAATCGTATTGCACTTACCAATCTGCAGTGGATCCTTTACGGCGCGCATGCGAAATAATTGGTCGCCGCGATTGAACTCATCCGCCGAGCTGTTGGACAAGCACGAATACAACCGTATGTCATCCTCATTGTCCGGGAAACTCCAGAATGCGATGCGCAACTGCAGCTGCTCCGGCACGGGCGGATAAACGTGTTCGACCAGCTCGAATGGTATATACGAGGCGACACATCGCGCGGCGAGCTCGGCAAGCGACGATACCTCTGCAAATTGAGGTATTTTGTTGTTGAATATTAAAAAATGGTAAGTAAATTCCTAGCAGTAGCACTGCACACAAAAGGAAGAACATTCTAGTCGATGGGCAAACTGATTATTTAATTGATATGGCAACCTTACAGCATAGATACACTCCCTTAAATAAATATATTCCCTTCATTGTGTTAGGGATAATCTAAACAACAACCAAATTACATGAAGAAACACCGAGTTGCAGCAGACGCTGCAGAGGTAAACACGAGTCGAGTTCAGTTGTTCGAGATGTTTGAAGAGCTCATTTCAATGTTTGTTGCATACCACAAATACATGCATATTTATGGATCAACGTGCACCGCAATTGACTTGTAAATAAACAAAACAACAAAACAACAAAACCCAACAAATTGACATGCAAATAAACAAATGGATAAAAAGGCAACACATCAACATCAACATAAGCAATAACAACATTACAGCTACATATACATACATACATACATACATACATACATACAAACATACAAACATACAAAAATATAAAGGTCGTGTCCATCCGCTTTAGAGCGTAAAACAAAGAGGCAGAAACAATGATGAGTTTATTCAGTTTATTTTTGTTTCTTTTTGCCTTCAACACGACCAACGACCAACGACCAACTGACGCAGCATTGACAACAACAACGAAGTTGGTCGCGCGCACAGCCGACAAGAAAACAAAGTTCAAGTTCGCCTACACAGTGCATATGTGCATATATGCACACATATATACATACATATATATATATATAAACAGCTGAATTTAAGTTTTTAAGGAAACCTGTTTCGCTGTCTTTCACTATCAATAAGACTGTTTGCTAATGTGGTACTTCTTTCGATATCGATTTGTAAGTTTTTGTCGGCTGTCAATACACACACACACACACACACATACATAAATACGGCCAGCGCATCGCTTGTTTGTTTTCGTTCATACGCTTTTTTTCCTTCGTTGGCTTGTTCGCTGTCGCTTAATTTCAGACACTCTGGCACCATTTTATCCAAAGTCATTTTTCGCAAGCGTCAAGAGTTATTATTCATGCCTATTTCACTTTGTATTCGCGCTAACCATTCGCTGACTCTGCAACCAGTAGCAGGCAGGCAGGCAGGAGCAATAGCAAAAAAAAAAACAACTGCACGCATTTCCCTCCCTCTCTTCTGTTGCAAATCGAATGTCGCATTGTTGTTGTTGTCGTTGCTAGCGTTGCCACTTTAAATGAAATTGCTTCGAGGACAGAGTTCAGGTTATCAAAACAAACAAAAATAAATACGAGGTCAAAATTCCGCAGCTTGGAAAAAGTGTGTTTCTCGTGGCTTGCTCGTATTTCCGGATGTGCATGGAAACCGATATGCTCACAAATTGCATATATATATAATGGACAAATAAGTTAGTTCAAACGTTATGCGTATGTGTAATCTGTAATGTGTGATGTGTAATTCGCTGCGGTCACTTGTCAGCCATCAATTAAATGTCGTATTGGGATATTTATTTAATTTAGCATGTGGCAACGCCAAACACACATACGCACAAACATATATTGTCAATAATAGTTGTTTACATTACCCTAAGGGTATTTTAAGTCGTTCCTCCTGGGGCAAAGCAGGTGCTGCCACCGATGTACATAAGTATGTATGTGTGTGTGTATGTAAACAATTACACACACTTATTTGGGAATTATCCTTGAAAGGTTCCTTGACACAAACGACAGCACAAGCAAATTGCAAAAGCGACATCACATTGACGTGTTTTTTTCTTCTTTTTTTAAGCGTTGTTTTGTTTTTCTTCTTTTTTTTAAACTCAGACACAGTCCACAAACAACACAGGTTTATAACCACATGATGTACATATGCATGTATGTGTGTCTGTTACACGCACACATACAATACACAAAATGCAGCTGGCTGTGCTCGCTCACCTAGTAAGATGCGTGGCCCCCAATAACAAAAAAAATAAAAATAATAACAACAAAAAACTAGCGTACCAATGCATGCACACACACACACACACACACAGTCAGCAACAGCAACAAAAGCAACAAAACAAAGAGCAATGAAAAGTAAATGCAGCGCAGTCGCAGCGCTGCTGAGATTATATGTTGATATGGTGCGGCGGCGCACAGCACAGGACGCGAACGTAGAACACAAAAAAATGTGAGGAACGAGACTCAACACACACACAACCATTTATATATATATATATAGATAGATATATAAAACGAGGGTATTCAAAAACAACACAGAGGGACACAGACAGAATGAGAAGGTAAAGGCGAGGTGGAAGGTAACGGACCCAAATGGACAAAGGCAGCAGCAAAATGCAAGCCGCAAAAGTCGTGATTTTGACTTTAGCGATAAACAGGAGAGACGCAGGCAGAAATTGTTGTTATTGTTGTTGTAGCTGCCACTTTAAGCCAATTTCGCATATGCATATACATCTACATACGTACAATATACAATTACATACATTTATAGTACACACACACACACACACACACATGCGAATGAATTTGGGACATGCATCAAAGAATTAATGCTTCTAACTGATTAGGTTGCAATAAGCACAGAACACTTAAATCTTCAGTTTTGCATAGTTCCAGACAAGAACAAAAGATCAGAGTAGGACACTCTTTTTAATTCTCAACCCAATTCATGTCGTTACGTATGGTATTTATTTGAGGCCAGCAGAGTTCCATAACGCTCTTTGATTTTTGTAAAAGTAATTCGATCTTAGCTAATTATACCCTGAACACATTAAAAGTGGGTAAAAAGGGTATAATGGTTTTGTGCAAATGTATGTAACAGGCAGAAGGAAGCAACTTCGACCCCATAAAGTCTATATATTCTTGATCAGGGTCAACAGTCGAGGCGATATAGCCATGTCCGTCCGTCTGTATGAACACGCAGATCTCAGAGACTATAAGAGCTAGATACTTCAAATTCAATTCGAATATAGGACTTGGATATGATAGGATCGGATTGGTGTATGAGCCATTTTAGTAAATCATTCCAAAAATGAAGAGGCATCATTAAAAATATACTCACCGAAATATCGGCCGCAATGAACGCCGGCTGTAACTGTGGCCGAGGAGTTGTTGGCAACGCCATTGCTGCTGCCAGTTCCGCTGGGTGCACCGCCGTAACCCAATGATGCACTGCCGTATGTGGCGCCTCCTCCACTGCTGCCGGTTGCGTGGGCAACGGGGCCGCCAGTGCCTGGATTGAGGCCAATACCATTGTTGCCTGGGCCCATTGTTATGGAGCAATTCGATGGCTTCTTCCAGCCGCGCCAATTGTTGCACAACGATTCCGCCTCGGAGCTCCAGCTACACAGTGAATCCTCCTCGAATCGTATGGAGTCGTCGAAACTGAAGCGATCCATTTCCTCGGGTATCCACTCGTTGCCGCCACCGGCGGCAGCAGCAGCATTTGCATCGGCGCCAGCGCCTGCAGCAGCTCCTGCTCCTGCTCCACCACCGGCGGCAGCTGCATTATTATTATTGTTGTTGTTGTTGTTACGGCCAGCGGCGGCGGCTACAGCGGCAGAGGCTGCGCCGCCAGCAGCGGCATCGGCTCTATTGTTGTTGTTATTGCTGCCGTTGCGATTCGCCAGGTTGAAGCCGAGCTCTTAAAAGTCTCGCGAGCTTTTTGTCAATTTTGATTTCACAGTTGATTTTGTGGCTGTTCCTTTTTGGATGGATATTTTGTATGTTTTTGTTTTCGTTTCTTTTTTTTTTTTTTTGACTTTCTGTTTTGTTTTTTTCCTCTCTCTCAGTTGTTGATAAAGTGCAATTTACTTCTTGGGACGCTCAGGTTTTCGTGTAAAAGGCGAAATGATGAGCGGATTCTTTGTGTTCTTTTCTTGTTGTTGTTGTTATTTTTGTTACTGTTTTCTTTTCAGTTGTCAAGTGCTGTTTAAATTGATTTCAAAACTATTTATTTACAGGTACGTATATACATATGTATATATAAATATATATATATATATATGTAGACGACAAATGCTTTGATTCCTTATTTTTTCTGCTGTTGAACTCTGTTTTGGGTGCGTGCAATTTAAAATTCGACTCACAACACTGCACGAATTTTACACACTCATTATAAAAACACAGTTTAATAATTATTCCAAAAGCAATTTGTGTTTTTTTATTTGTAAACTGAATTCCGATTCAATTTGTTTGATGAACACGAAAATCGCCTTGTTTCTGCTTTCTGTTTTCTTCTTTCTAATTCATTTTTTGTGTGTGTTTTTGTGAGCGCTCAGAACGTGTCACGCCGAAGACACATCTGTAATTGTAATTTACTTGCAATACGCACGAGCTTTTTAACTGACCGATGACTGAGCGCGACTGTTATCGAGGCGGGATGAAGCTGAGCTGAGATGGGCTGCGGTGGGGTGCGGTGGAATGCCCAAATATGCCAACCAAATATATATTTAAAAAAAAGAAAGAAACTTTAGTCGAAGACACGAAGAGGACTAGCAAGAAGAATAAGCACACACAGGCAAGCGAACACTGAACGCGTTGCGTTGCGTTGATGCTGCCTATTGTTTACTGTCGTTGTTGTGTTTCATGCTATTTTTCACGGCTATGTGAATTTGTACCTCCCACAGCAGCAGCAGCAGCGAGAGAGTGTGAGAGAGAGAGACACTGGGGGAGCAGTGACTGCGATTGTGTATGTGTGTGCGTAAGTTAGTGTTGTGTATTTGTATGTGTGTTTGTGTGGATGTGTGTGACTGCCAAAATAGAGAACGCCAAAATGGCCAATTGTTGTTGGTCACACAGTTTTATGTATATACACATACACACATCATACATACATACATAAGTAGCAATGTGTATGTGTATGTGGCTTTGTTGCTGTTTTAGCTGCAGCAGGACCAGCTGCTCTGTAGTTTTTACTGGTGCTGCTGCTAAAGTCGTCGCAGCCGTTGTCGCGCCGTGCGCGCGTCCCTTAAGCAACCTTTAATTATTTTTCACTTTTACGCTTTTTGCTCATCTCTGCCAGCTCCTTTCATCCTTCTTTATACCCTGTCGCGAAACCTGCGCGCGAGCTCGCACTCTTTCTTTCTTTGTCGCACTGGCCCGTTCAGGCAGACGGGAAATACTGAACGCACGCACGCACACACATACTTAGATACATACATAAATACACTAATGCACCGCTCCCGCACACACACACACATACACTCATACACAGAAGCGACAACAGCACAACATCAATATATTGATATACATATATCAATGTCTGTATGTGTGGTCAAATGTGTATGTGTGTGCACGAAATGCGTTAAAGAAAACGTTGAAAAAACCTTTTTTTCCCCCGTTTCGAAATATTTTTGCTTTGTCACACAGCTAATGAACTCAAATTTGCTAGTTATTAACCAATGCAGAATTTAGTTTAATTTCAGTATGCAATTGCTGCATTTTTACACAGTTTTCATGAATCTGTACGGGACTTTGTTTTTATCCATCACAAAAATCGCGTTTGCGTTCGTACTAGTGATGTAAAAAACATCGAGATATCGACTAACTTTTATAAACGATTTGTATCGAGCCTTATCGATTTAAAATAATGAGCGATGGTCGCGGAATGTGTTGTTTTCCATTCTCGTTCCGTCTGCATGGTCGACGATTGCCACATTGTTGTTTTGTGACGATTCTCTAATACAAAATCCAAATACATCACAATTCATTAATATCCAACGCTTCAGCGACGCTCTTCCTTATTGGCGCCAATACTTGGTAGAGTTGCAAACACGATCGATGTTTGAAAAAAACTTCGATGCTTGAAATCAACTTAAAAAACCATAAATTCATCGATGTTTCCATCGATATTTTTCCAGCTCTGGCACTCACGGTAGCGGGTACAATCTCTACTCCGATTAAACATATCAAAAAAATTTCGATAGAAAGAAAGCACGTAGCACTATTATTTGAATCCAAAAAATAAGCTAACTGTTTTTTTTTATAGTCTTAGTTAAGGAACTATTTCCAATAAAATAATAAATTTAAACGCATGATGAGCACTGTTAACGAAAAATTTACTTTGCAATACATATCGTTATATTACGAGCATGAATGTCGTTCTAAATTAAATTCAATTTAAGAAACGCAGTATATATTTAATATGATGCTGGCACTGGTAATTTCATAACATTTGGCTTAGAAATATTTTTGAAAATAAACTTTGCAAGCAGATGATATAAGATGCGTTTATCATTATTCACAGATGCTAATTGTACTCCAATAGTAATTTTATTAAAGGAAAAATAAGAAAATAAACCAAATTTCTTTGTGCCTAGCCTTAGTGGACCATTCAATTAAGACTTAGACATCTACATTACCATTTATACTTGAGCAAAATTTAAATTGCTTCTGCGCTAAAAATACCTGTGTACATATGTACATACTCAATGTTTTTCTGTTGCCCAAACAGCTGCAGCTCAAGTGATGCCACCTGTCGTTAGCACTAGTGATTGTTCAACTATCGCTGGCAATTGGCAATTACAGGCGTGCAACAATGCTTATCGATTTCTGCTATACAGCCGTTGACATGGTGTGTGCAGTGCCTTGTCTATCGCTGAATTGAACTAGCATCGAGCATCGATATTTCGTGGGCATCGATAGTTGGATGCAGATTCGCGCGGCATAACATAATTTCGGCGTCACTTTTTCTTAATAATTTCTAGCGGACACTCGAATCACCGCCAGAAATGCCGGTAAAGTCAGTGCTAATTGAATTTCGTCCAAATCTGTGCTGCGGCCAGATATGCCTGCAATTCGATGAGCCCATACGCAATTGCAAAAATACACGCCTTATCATCAATAATGGCGACATGTTTTTCTTGGAGAACGGCAACAGTGAATTCGTCTTGCGACATGACAGCTGGGACATGGACATTACGCAGCTGTCGCTTTTCAATGCGAGCGGCTGTCATATCACCTTTCGCTTCAATTACACCAAAATCGATCTTATCAAGCTCTTTAAGATAGGCAGCGGGCCGAAGGTGTCACACTTGATGCCGTTGGAACTGAGCTTTGTGGAGAAGAAGGATCACTTGACGCTGCACTGCAACAAGTGTCTGTATGAACTGGCGCCCGGCTGCAATTACAATCGCCTGAGGGAATTACCCAGCGGCCTGTTCGATGCAAGTGAATTCTTCTGCCACAGTCACGGCACATCTGGCCAAGAACAGCCAACGTCCAGTGTGCTGGTGCCCAGAGCCACCCAAATATACTATGGCCTCAATTACATTGTGCTCAACATGTGTGTGGTGCAGAATCGCATCAGCAACATCTCTGGAAATCTGTACTGCAAGCGGTGCATGCGGATGCTCGGTTCCAGCATTGAATCGGGCGCTGCTGCTAAGCTGTGGGCAGATGCACTGCGTTGGCTACCGTTGTCATCCCTCAATGCGAATGGGAATGACCGTGCGAGTGCGTTGACCCGCCTGCTGTTCAAGCATGCGACCGTGACACACTTGATGATCCGTCTGTTAAGCAGTCTGTGGCCGCTTGCAGGGACACAATTCAGTCCACATGGCAAACGCGCTATACTTACCACCACAATGCCGGATGGCCATGATCACTATATGCTCATCCAAGTGCGCGAAACACAGTTGGCCATACTGCGCCGCATTCCAAATGATGAGTATTTAGATAAGGGCTGCTTCCATCGCGCTTGCAAGCTATACTTTCGTGACTACGGCAGCTGTCACTTTGATCGACAGTGGCTGGAGCAATGGATGCAGCAACAGGAGCAGCAGCAACAATACGTACCCAAGCTGTCCATATCGCCGTACCTATACGCGGAGCTGCTGAAGCGTTTCGATGACAATATGTCCCTAATACCCAAACGCTTGCGGTACAATAACTTCGAGGAGAAGCTGCAGTTCACCTACTTCTTCTACGAGAGCGACGAACAGGAGCTGCTGCATCGCCAGCAGCAGCACCAGCCGTGTTCAATGAAGGTACGCCATTATTTCCAGCCCAGCTGGATTTACATTTGTCTGAATTTCATTTTGATTTGTTGTTTTTTTTTTCTTCAAAGCCAATGCCACAACCAAAGCTAGGAGAGTATGAGACTGATGCGGGTCTGGTTGCCAGCTTGGATGAAGAGGATGCGGATAATGAAAGCGATGATGAGCACTCAGATAGCGAGCTGGGGTCGATGTTGCTGCACAAATCCGCACCGATTATGGTCTATGAGAAGAATCTCGCCAAGCGCTGGCCGCACCAGAAGTAACACCAGCCCAGCAGTCAGGCGCTGGAGCCAACTGATCGGCCAGATCCATCACAATCTGAATAATTGTTTTTTTTTATTTGTTTGATGATTCGAGAAATGTTTGTTTTTGTGTTTTATATGGAATATGCTAATTTTATATTTTATTTTTTGATGATTTTATTTTATTTGATTTTATGATTTTAACTTGGTTAATATTTAGCAACAAGTATTAAGTGTAAGACATACATATATACATAATCACATCTATTCATTATATATATTATGAACTTAACGCAAAGACGAACTTTGCAACTTTTGTGATTGAAAATTTCGACTTATGTTTAACGTTTATTTATGTGACTCAGGGCAACGCACGTGTTCACATTTATGTGCCTTGGAGCAGAACGAATAAAGATTATTATTATTTTATTAAGTATGATTTTTACTTGGCCATGCGACGCATCTGCTTTGTCTGCTCGCCCATCGCCAACTGCGCGTTATCCGCCTTGTTAATCAGCGCATCCAGCTTGTCCAGCTGCGTATCCATTCTCAGACTCTTGGCTGCCTTGGCGGCCGCCACTTCTGCGGCAGTTGGCGGTCCCAGCGGCTGTGGCTTTGGTTGCCGTTCTACGGGTTGCTGCCTAGTTGGTTCCTCCCCGCCGCTGCCGCCACCTCCGTTGTTAGGTACATCACTGGCGCCACTAATGCTGCCGCCACGAGCAAATAGATTGGAGAGGCTGCCGCATGCGGTCTGCTTGAAGCGATTTAAGCGCTGCTGCGTACTGTTCAATATGCTATTTAGCTCGTCCAGCTTGCCGCCAGCGCCACGCAGTGATTCCTCCTGCTCCTCCAGCATCTGTAATCATCACATAATTATCTTGTAAATACTTGGTAACAACTCTCTTGGCAAAGTGACTCGGTTCGATTATTTACAAAAACAACGAAAGCAACAAAGATGTTTGTGGCTCAATCGCCAATGTTCCATTTTGCCCAATCCTTGATGAAAACTGCTGATGCAGCATCAACTTGGCAGGCAATAAATGATGAAGATGAAAATCGACTTACGGTTGCCTCGGCGACTTCCATTTCAGCCATTTGCTGTTCGATGCGTGCGCTGCGTTGTCGCTCAAATTCCGCCTGATCCGGCGGCTCTTGTCCCAGCAGTTCGGCTCTCTGGCATTCCTGCTCGTAGCTCATGTTATGCTCCGCCATGACGTGCGATTAGTGGCTGTGCCCCGATTTGACTAATCAACAAACAACAAAGAAACACTTTCACATCGATTTTTGAGCGACAATGGCTGAGACAACATCTGGGCCACAACGCATGCGCTTCGTGGAAACTGGGATTGGGAATTTGGCCCCATGACAAAAAATACAAATACAGCTGATTTCACACACACCCACACGCCCACACACATATAGCTGGTAGTTGTTTTAATATTACAATTTGTATACAAATTGGATATACATATACATATATGTATATATATATAGATAGATGTATAATTAATGCTAGGGCTCCGGACAGCGCTCATAGATTTGAATGTAGGATTCAGTGAGTGTGATCATCTGTGGTAGTATTTCGGTGACATGCAGATCCTGCATCTCATACCACTGCCCGTTGGCCTTGTGGAGTATGTGAACGCGATATGTGCCCTTCTTGGGATCACCATCGTGCACAATGTTCGCAACCAGATTGTATTTGGTATCCTTGATCCCCTTATCCCGCTGCTTCATGCCCAAAATGTCGCCAAAGTCCACATTTCTGCAAATGGAAACACAATTAATGGACAGAAATATGAAGTTAATTTACGTCCACTTACTTGATGGGAAAGTTGACAATTGTTGGATTCTTTTCGAGAAAGAATGTGTTCTTTGTGAAGCGCTTGATATACAGGATTATAAATTGTGGCAGTCGTGTGATCTCGAAGCGCTTCATAAAATTATCCTTATACGTTTTGTATTCCTTTTCGGCGCTGCCATTGAATTTGCCCAGCAGCTGATACAGATTCACCTGCGGTATTATATTCTCCCGGAACTCATCCGTAAAAAGTGGCGGTGGCGGCAAATCACAGGTTAAATAAATAAAATTCGTCTGCTCCACCTGATCCTTGTACTCATCCGTCCCGAGCAGCTGCTGCTTGGCTGTATCGTCCAGCTCAACGGGCGGAATTTTACGCGTATAGATCTTCATTTCGCCCAAGAATATTTTATACAATATCGATGAATTTGGCTGCTTATTGCCCTTGAGGGCGCGATGCAGTGTGTTGAGGAACCAGGATAGAAAATCAATGGGATCGCCCTGTTCGGTGATTTGGAAACGTTTGCTTGACCACAGCACTACCGCCTGCAGCATCTCGTGCGGTGAAACGTGTGCCTTAAAATTGCGCGGATTCCACATTTTGCGCATCAGTTCGCCGAAACGCTGCACTAGCGTAAACATTGAATCACCCGGCGGCCGCTTGATAGTCGCATAGCTCTGCTCCCGGAGAAAGTAATCGCGAAGCGGGCTGACATGCGACAACGCATGGAGGACCACATTGCAATAGTCGTTCGCCTTGATGTTGTTCAGACCTACGACTCCGGGCAGATAGAGGATGCCGTCAACTGTGCGCGAATGCTTCGGCTGCACCTGGTCCAGTTTGCTGATCTCGTTGCGCAAAAATGTCGGATTGAGCACATACTTGATGTCGTCCAGCGACGAATCGATGATCTCATAGTTGTCCGGCAGGCAGTAGAAGCGCAGCGTATGCAAATTGAGGAACACATGATGCGCCTCGCCCACCGAGTGTGTGTAGGCGTGCGTATTGTTGCCACGCCCCTGGAAATATTTGCCGCAGACGAGACAGGCGTAAACGTTTATCCGTGTCAATGAAATCGAGCACAATTTCTCAAAATCAAAGTCGAGCAGATTGCGATTGATCGTGTCCAGATACGGGCAGACACGATACTTCGGATTGAACACGGACGGCGTCTCTGCATATATACAAAAATATACATGTAAACATAAATATCTTCTATGTATATATATATAGGTTTATTCGCTATTCTCACCATCGTCCTCCAATAAGTGCTTGTGTTTCGTCTCCAGCTTGGCGCGCTTTGCTGTTGTTCGGTAATGCATAAGTTTATATTTGTTTCTACTTATTCGGACAACTCATAATTACCTGCGGATTGCGTGTGCGCCATATCCACAACGATTATCTTTCAACCTATATTTATGTATTGATTACGATTACGGAAATGTCCATTAATTGTGTTATTTTGCCGGTGCTTGTTTTTAGTTAGCGATGACAATTCCAATCTATCGATATTGCGACTACTAACGATAACGACAGCTGCGATGCTGTTTTTCCCACTATTTCAATTAATTTTTCGATAGCACAATCGATAGCACAATAGATAGCAGAATCCATAGCACAATCGATAGCACATCCGATCAGGCTACACGTGTGTTGAATTAGTAGAGACAGCAGCAACAAATGTTTACCTCAAAATAATCATGGGCAAAAAAGTATATAATGCCAAGGCGCGGCAAAATCCACAAACCATTGTCGACAATTCGGCTGTAAAGAATGTGAGTTAGTATAGTTTAAGAGTATTATCGCCTGTATACACCTGTTACACCATTATTTCAATGTCGTCAACAACAGATCAAAATCATAACTGAAGATGTTGTCGGAGACAGCTGGAGTGGCATTCCCACTGGTTACGATGAGGCCAACGCGCTCGTCCTACCTTCACAGAAGCGCTCCACCAAAATCCAAATCGAGAAGCGACAGAATGTCAAGATTCTCTCCAAGAAGCAGCGTAAACATTTGCAGTCCATTGTCGACAAGAAGAAGAAGAAGGAGGGCGTAAGTAATGCTTGTGGGGTAATCCCTTCGTCGTCACCCATCTTAACACAAATGTCTGTTTGTAGCGCGCACAACTCCTGGCGGATTTGGCTGCAGTGCAAATACCCGCAGCCGAACTGCTGCAATACACATCGATCAGCCAGGCGCAAACAGTGGGATTAAAGCGTTTGCAGACCCTTGACGAAGTGCTGGCGAAAAAGCAGGCGCGACAATCACAGCAGCTGGTCGAACAGCACCAAAAGCAGGGCAGGCGTGTCAATGGCATCAAGGGTGCTGGCAAGCGCAAATTGCTCATCGAAGAGCAGGAGGCGCTGGATGCCAAACGCAAAAATCCAAATATAATAAATGCCGACGACTCCACGGATGAGAGCGACAGTGAAAGTGATAGCGACAGCAGCCCAACTGCACCAGAAACGCCAGCTAAATCTGAACCTGAAGCGGTGGCCATTGAACAACAGCAGCAGCCAGACAAGCCGAAACCTCAGCCAAAGCCAAAGACATCTCCAGCAACAACGGCACCAGTTATACCACATCAGACAGTCTATGTGCCCGTGCATCGCACGGATGAGGTGCAGGCGGCGCGTTTACGTCTGCCCATCCTCGCTGAAGAGCAGCAGGTGATGGAGCTGATCAATGAGCATCCGATTGTGATTGTTGCCGGTGAGACGGGCTCCGGCAAAACCACACAGGTGCCACAGTTCCTCTACGAGGCTGGCTATGCCCAGCACAAGATGATTGGCATTACGGAGCCGCGCCGCGTGGCCGCCATAGCGATGTCCAAGCGTGTGGCGCATGAGATGAACCTGCCTAGCAGCGAGGTGTCCTATTTGATACGCTTCGAGGGCAATGTGACGCCAGCGACGCGCATTAAATTCATGACCGACGGCGTCCTTCTCAAGGAGATTGAAACTGATTTTCTGCTCAGCAAGTATTCGGTTATTGTGTTGGATGAGGCGCATGAGCGTAGCGTGTACACGGATATATTGGTGGGCTTGTTGTCGCGCATTGTCCCACTCCGCCACAAGCGCTCCAATCCACTGAAGCTGATCATCATGTCCGCCACGCTGCGCGTCAGCGATTTTACAGAGAATACGCGACTTTTTAAGGTGCCGCCGCCATTGATCAAAGTGGAAGCGCGACAATATCCGGTGACCATACACTTTCAGAAGCGCACACCGGATGACTATGTGGCCGAGGCGTATCGCAAGACGCTCAAGATTCATGCCAAGCTGCCCGAGGGCGGCATTTTGATCTTTGTGACCGGACAGCAGGAGGTTAATCAACTGGTACGCAAGCTACGACGCGCATTTCCCTACACGGTGCAGCAGAAGGAGCAGAAGGAGCAGCAAGATCACAAGCAGCAGGAGGAGCTAGAGCCAGAAAAGGAGTTTGATCTCAAACGCACCATACGCAATATGCGCAAGTCCAAGAAAAAGTTTCTCAATCAAATCTCGTTGCCGAAAATCAATTTGGATGACTACAAGTTGCCCGGCGATGATACCGAGGCGGATATGCATGAAGTTGCCGATGATGACTCCGATCCGGAGGAGCATGATCTGCTGGAGGATGATCACTTAAACGAACTGACTGATACTGCGTCAACCAAACAACCGTTGTGGGTGCTGCCGCTCTACTCGCTACTCTCGTCGGAGAAGCAGCAGCGCATCTTTCAGCCAGTGCCCGAGGGGTGTCGTCTGTGCGTTGTGTCCACCAATGTAGCAGAAACATCGCTAACCATACCACATATCAAGTACGTTGTCGACAGCGGCAGACAGAAGACGCGTCTCTACGACAAGCTGACCGGTGTCAGTGCCTTTGTCGTCACCTACACATCCAAGGCTTCAGCCGATCAGCGTACGGGTCGTGCCGGACGCATCAGTGCGGGCCATTGTTATCGCCTATACTCCAGCGCCGTTTACAACGACCTCTTTGCCGACTTTAATCAGCCGGACATACAGCAGAAGCCTGTCGATGATTTGATGCTTCAGATGCGTTGCATGGGCATTGATCGTGTGGTGCACTTTCCCTTTCCATCGCCACCCGATCAGCTGCAGCTGCAGGCCGCCGAGCATAGATTGGCTGTGCTGGGCGCCCTGAAGCCGATAAGTAGCGGCGTCACAACGGATCTGCCGCCAGCTGTCACCCAGCTGGGTCACGTCATCTCCCATTTTCCTGTCTCGCCACGTTTTGGCAAAATGCTGGCGCTGTCCAATCAGCAACAGTTGCTGCCGTACACTGTGTGCCTGGTCGCGGCGCTCTCTGTGCAGGAGCTGCTCATCGATACGGGCGTGCAGAGGGATGACGATGTGCCATCCCATTCCAGTAAATTTCATCAGAGGAACATGAGCTGGGCGGCCGGTGGCAACTACAGGCTGCTTGGTGATCCCATGGTGTTGCTTCGTGCCGTCGGTGCAGCTGAATATGCCGGCACCCGGGGCAATCTGGCCGAGTTCTGTGAGGCGTACGGGCTGCGTCCCAAGGCCATCAATGAGGTGCGCAAGTTGCGCGTCCAGCTAACCAACGAGATCAATCTGAATGTCAGCGACGTGGAGCTATGCGTCGATCCGCAACTTAAGCCGCCCAGCAATGCACAGGCCCGATTCCTCCGGCAGATACTGCTAGCTGGTATGGGTGATCGGGTGGCGCGCAAGGTGCCGCTCGACGAGATTACCGATAAGGAGGAGCGGCGACGTCTAAAGTACGCCTACAATTGTGCAGACATGGAGCAGCCAGCGTTTCTACATGCCACCTCGGTGCTGAGGCAAATGTCGCCCGATTGGATCGTCTACCAGGAGGCCTACGAGCTGATGCATGGCGACAGCAACAAGATGTTCATACGCGGCATCACCGCCATCGAGCCCGAGTGGCTGCTGCTCTATGTGCCAATGCTGTGCAACATACGTCAGGTGCTTGACGATCCAGCGCCACGTTACGATGCGATAAAGGGCCAAATCTATTGCTATGTGGATGCCACATTCGGCAAGGCTGGCTGGCAGCTGCCCCTTGGCGAGGTGGAGATGCCGCTCAATGATAAGGCCTGCTGGTGAGTTCATTTACGAAACCGCACACAACTCCATCCATTAATACATTTGACGTCCATTGCAGCTACTTTGGCATGTTCCTGCTCGATGGGATCGTTTGTCCGCCACTGGCTGCTTTCAAGCCCAAACTGAAGTCGACGCCAGGCTCACTGATCAAGAGCTGGTCCAGTCTCAATGACAAGGTGCAGCGCTTTAAGTGGGCGCTGACCACCAAACAGATTCACACGCGGCAATCCCTATTCGATCAGTGGAAGACGGATCCCAATTGTAAGCATATATTACATATATAAATACAAATAGAATAATTATTAATCCGAATATTCTTCATATTTTAGTTCTGCTCGAGGAGTATCAGAATCTGCTGTACGATGTGGCACTTAGCGAACTGACACCCATTTGGCCACCTAATAAACCAGACCCAGTTGCCTTAGCGTAGCAGTCAATTATCCCTGCCACGTGACTTGGAAAGTCGTCAAATGTAATTAAATGTTTTAAGCCAAATTTGGATTGTTTGAAAACTATTGGTTCTGCTCTGCAAGTGATATTTATTCAAGGGATGAGACCCATAATCCTTGAATGAAGATCTACTCCTCAATAAGGACGGCTATCAAATTGGTTTCACTATTTATAAAAGTTCAGTTATAAAAAGAACTATCAATTAAATGAACAATTCTTGGCATTTGTATAACAAGTTTCATTTTTTATTTATATTTTAAATGTTATTTGTAGTATATACATATATACTTTATATATATATATAAAGTATTCAATTTGTTTAAATGGAACTAAAAAGAATTTCAGAAGAAAGAAAAACATTAATCGAGTGGGAGGAATTAAAATGTTGTTAACAGCTAAGTTTCGATAGTTGTTCCAATACAATATATGTTTTGATTTTTTTGTTTTGTTTTTCTTCGTTATATGTATGTATGTATATGTATGGATGTATGTATGGATGTACGTATGTCTGTAACTGATTATGCATTGCGTGCCTTTACACATACACAGACCGTCATCAATCATCAATCATCGTCATCATATCATATCATATATCATTAACAATCAATTTGTTTGCCTGTATTGTAACATTTAAAGGTATTTGTTTCGTTTGCGTTGCGTTCGATAATCGATGGATCAACGAGTTTCAGATACAGCTGAATGAATATGGAATTAACTATACATGCATTGGGTAGGAAGGGAGAAACATTCAATTGCTGGCAACATTTTTTTTGTTCGGGTGCTGTTCTTTTTCTTGTTTTTTTTTTTCATTTTTCATTTTTCTCTTGTGATATATATATATAAATATTTTTTTGTTTTTAACTGTATTTCTGTTTAGTTTTTACAATATGCTTAGTTTGTGTATTTGGAAAAGTTATTTGGGCATTTTTCTAGTGTTTTGTTTTGTTTTAATTTATAGCGCATGCACATCGCACCTTGTTCATACATATATTACAGGGTATTCATTTATTGATCTTTTTTGATTTTCTTTTCTATGATATATTCCTTTAGCTATGTAAATACTCGCAACCATTATTATTATACATAATCAGAATTGTTTTTAGGGATTTTAACGTGTTTTTTTTCTTTTCTTTTCTTTCGTTCAGTTTTTCTTGATTTCGTGTACAATATAGTTGTATATCTCTTCATGCATATGTCTAGCGATATACGTGTGTACTCATGTATATGTTCATATAATAATAATATATATACAAGTACACATTCATATATCTATATAATATTTATGTGTGTGTCTGTATGTTTGTGTGTGTGTGTGTGTGTGTTTGTGTTTTTGTATATTTAAGTATGAATGTGTGTGTGTGTGTGTTTTGTGTGTGTGAGTGTGTAGAAAAAATCAGTCTAATGTATTAAGGCAACGTGAGAGCTTTACAATTTCATCAACATTATCTCATCCTTAAAATGTCAGTATATCAATATATATATCAATATATATTTGAATATATAAGTCTATATATATATATTATATACACATTTATCATTCATCAACATTAACATTGTAGTCGTCAGCAATTTTTCTTGACTTTCACTTAATTAATTTTGTAATTGATTTAAATTTACATTTACTTAAAATTACAAATTGTAGTTTTGTTGTTGAATTTTTTGTTTTTAATTTGCCAACTTAGTTTGTAGTTAAATACTTGAACATTAATGTATATAGCATATATATATATATATATATATATATATATTTATTTATTTAGTGATAGGTTTTCTTTTTTTGTTGTTGCTTTATATATTAATATTAACAATAAAATTTTGGTATGTTTTGTGTTTCGCTTTGTTTTTGTTGTGGTTTTTAATTAATTTATATAAATTCTTTGTTAGTTCTTATCAATTGTTGTTTTGTTGTTGTATATTGGCTAGGAAAGCAATAAAAGGTAGCTATAGAAGAATAGGGATTAAAACAATATGACCCAAGACAAGGGCAAACTCCAATTCCGAGTCCGAGTCTAGGTGCAGGTATAATATTTACGTAAAAGTAATGAAAAGCATTTTGGTTTTGAGTTTTCTATTTTAGATTTAACATTATATCTTTTACAAGTTTTATATATGCATATGCCTATATATCTATATGTATATATATATACATATATAAAATGATATACATCTATCAATTTGTAATACTAACGAAAAATTATAATTTGTTGTAAATTTTTGTTGCCGATATATTTATATGAATGTATATTATGTATATAGCAAGCATAGCTAAGTTAGTAACTATACTACATATATGTAAATATATATGAGTGTATATATATATTTTATTATAGGTTTTCAACTATACTACGATTTTAGTGAAAAAGCTAATCCAACCGTTTCATGATCTTCTTTTCTTTACTGATTTCTCGGTTTCTATATACACACGCGACAATATAACAAATCTACAGCTAGCCATAATCGGTATTATATATGTATATATGTGTGGCATATTGTATGCATGTTTAGTTATACAAATACATTTCTTTAGTATTTACAATAATCCATTTTGCTGTACAAACTAGACGCAGTCGTTTTAAAAACACTGCATTGATTACTTGGAAGTATTTTGTTGTTGTTTGTGGTTTGTGGTTTGTTGTTTGTTGCGGTTTTCTTAGATCCGAATTCGTTTTAGTTGGGTTCTAACGCTGGGCTATAATATATCATGGTTATATATATATATATATATATATGTATATATATGATATAAACAGCTTTAAACTGTTGTCCCATTCTCATCGCTTTCATTGTCATCATGTGAACTTTTGTCCTGTTGCTGCTCCTCTTTGTCTTCATCTTCGTCGTCGTTTTCTTCTTCTTCTTCGATTTCAGGCGGTTTCGTTGTTTCTGTATTCTGTTGCTGCTCCTTCGCTCCTTCCGCGTCATCCTTCTCGGCCAGCGGCACAGGTTGCGTCTGCAGCTCCCCCACGTCTGTGGCCAGCGGCGAAGTTGCTCTTGTCGCTTGTGGCTTGTCTCTGGGTGCGGGTGTCGGTGTGTTCGCACCACTTGCCACTGGCGATAGCTTCTCGACTGTGCAGGGCGGCGTGATGGGCTCGCAGGGTGGCGTCACCTGCTCCATTTTGTGCCGTTGCTTGCGCAGCTCATCCCCGTGCTGCTCCTCGAGCAGCGCCAGCTGCACCATATTCTCCTGCAGCTGCAGGAACAGCTCTGGTGGCATCTCACCCGTATAATCGAACGTGGCAAACGATTCCGACGTGTCGATATTGTTCACCTGCTTCTTCTTGTCCGCAATCAGTTTCCACATGCTGAGCAGCGTGTTGAAGCTCATCAGATCGATGCCGGGTGGCACAGCACCCGGATGCCGTACCACTGCAGCGTCCGCAACGGCATTGGCATTGGGATTAGCAGCCATATTCGATGCCACATCGTCATCCTCGGAGCTGCTGCTGCTCACGGCTCGCATTTTCGGCCTGTGCGCTTTGCTGCCACTGGGCCCGCCCATAATGGGCGTGACTCTGGCCAGTTTTAGCTGCATGCTGTACTCGTAGTCGCGCTGCATCGAGCTGCGTCGCGAATTGGCCAGCTCCTCGTTGCTGCTGGTCATTATTTGATTATACTCACGCAAACCGGGCTCCTCGACGGGCACATAGTGCTCGCCAATCTCGATGAGATAGACGCAGTGATTGACGTGGGAGCGAAAGAGCAAATCCTTGTGATTGGGTATCCATACGTGCATCACATGCCCAACCATGCCGGCGGTCGGCTCCCAATCCTTCCAGCTCAGCCGACCGCCATTGGCGCGCATATGTTCCGTTGGCCACATGACAGCATCGATGATGTCCAGACAGTCATAGATCTGTAAGCGATTTGCAAGTCATTAGTCTCTTTCAGACTTAATCAGAGATTTAAGGATTCAACGAACGTACCCCAGAATCATCCACAATGATCACCTTCCTGTAGATGTCAATGCGTGGTTTGCGTGGCGTTCCAACTGCTACTGTTGTTGACGTCGATGCGACCGTTGTGAGTAGTGCACCAGATGTGCTGCCCGGCGCCGTCTCGTTGGCCATGAGACAGATGGGTCCTTTGGTCTTGCGGGGATAGTCACCGGGCGTGGTTATAATGGTGCCAACGCCCATTCCGACACCCAGGCTACCCGATGAGGAGGACAGCTTGTTGGAGCGTGGACTTGGTTCGTTCTCGGCCAGTTCGGGGCGTGCATTGATTGGATCCTTGGAGGGCAGCGATTCGACGCCACCGCTGGCAATGGGCAACGTGGCCCGTCTGGCGCTGGCCTGTAACTGACCACCGCTTCTGGCACGCTGCCCACTGCTGCTGGCGCGCAACGTGGAGCCCGAAGCGGCCTCCTGATCCCGTTCGCGATTCAAGAGGCCGGCGATGAGTGTTGTCGAGGTGGGCTTAACGGGCATTACGGCCAAACCACCGCGCACCACCGCCAGTGTATCGCTGACATAGCTGCCACCCAGGCTGCCCGCCATGCCGCTCATACCCGGCACATTGGCGGACCGAACGCCGTAGTAGCTGTTGACGGTGAGCGTGTTGTAGAGCGGCGCCGAGATGAACACTGGCGCCAGATCCGTTGATTCGCCGCCAGTGCTGCTGGCGGTGCCCGGCGCACTGCCCGCACCGGCGCCAGTAATGCCGGCAGAGACAACTGTGCCGGCACCGGGTGCCGTACCAGCTGTGGATCCAGTGGCGGTGCCAATGACGCTGCCGCCGCTGCCAAAATTGCAGGTGCCCAGCTGTATGGATGCCTCCATGGCGGAGCCGGAACTGCAGCCCTGGCGGCAACGCTCTCGTATGCGATGCCACCAATCGAGCACCGTCTGCCGAATCGTGTCCAGAGTAATGGCGCCGCCAATGACCTGACACAACTGGGAATTGGTGTCCGCATACGATGTGGTCAACGGTGAAACATAAATGGGATAACCAATCGGCTGATCGCAGCTGGAATTGATGATGTTGCGCAGCGCCTGCTTGGCATTCTGTATGCTGCCCCGCTCCGGATTGCGATTGCGCAGATAGATGAGCTCCTGCTGCTGGCCGGCCCACAGACCGCGCACGCATTCCCGATTCAGTTTGATGACGCGAAAGCTGAGGAAACGCTTCGTCAGCCTTATGATGCGATACTCATCGGAGCCATCCTCCATGACGTGGCGCAGCGCAAGCAAATTGGGCGCACCGCGTAAGACGGCGCTGCGCCAAACGGGATCCGCCTCATGGGAGATGACCAGCTCCTTGGAGCAGCTATCGATCGCCTCATAGAGAGCGTGCGGATCGAGAAACTCATCCGGATTCGTAATGTGATCCTGTTGCAATTTGAGTGCCATTTTAACAGCTGGCGCCACCACCGAATGCAGCAGCTCCATGTCCGCAAAGACCCACTCATCGCGCGGCGACGTTATCCGAAAATCGCCCTTAAACAGCGCATGCAGGCCATGGAGGAAGTACTCCACGCCCGTCAGCGAACTATGCGAGGCGGTGGCCAGCGAGCGACGCGCGAGCAGACCCAGCGCCAGGCACAGCGACACCAGCGGCGCATCCTTGGCAACGCTTGCCACTTTCAGCTTGAGCGCCGGTCGCTGAGCATTTTGCAGTGACGTCGGCAGCGTTGGCGGCAACATGTTGTTGCCCGGATTGCCCTCCTGCTGATTAACTGTGGGCTGCGTCCGTGGCGAGTCCTCTTTGCGCAGCGCTTTGCCCGGCACCGGCTTGGACAGCTTGACAAAGACATTCTGATCCATGTAGGTCACATAGTTGCCCAGACCGGGTGCACTCTCCGACGTCTGACGCGATATGTTGGCAAAGCTGTGCGAGCTGCTCAGCTGATCGACGCCGCCCAGCACACTGCTGCCACCGTCCTGAACGCCACCGACACCTGGCACCGTGCCGACGCAGCCACTGCCGCTCATCGTGGCGCTCTTCTGGGGCCGCACACTGCGCAGCTGTTGCTGCGATTGCGACTTGGATTGCGGGGCGCTGCTGCCGCCATGCGACGACAGATTTGGTGTGCTCTTCGAGTCATTGTGAGCTGGCGTATTATTCGCCGTAGTCGTGTTCGTGCTGCTGGTCTGCGCGGCAGCTGGGGTGGTCGTGGTGCTGCTGCTGCCACCGATGGCTGCTGCTGCACCGACAATGCTATGGCCATTGCTTGCCGCTCCTGTTGTGGTTGAGTTGACCGCAGTGGGCACTGCAGCCGAATTGGATGTGGCGGGTGTCGCTGTTGCTCCTGTTGTGCCTGTTGCTGAAGCTGCTGCTGCTGCTGCTGTCGCTGGTGGCGGTGGCTCCTTGGCGCTTTGCCCATCCTTGCGCTTGTCCACACAATAGTTGATCCACTTGAGGTACACGTAGCAGAAGCTGGATCGTGTTATGCCAACGGCACGAAAATCGAAATCCTCATCCAGATTGAAATTAAATATGGGATCGAGATCAACAAATTGACGGTTCAGCGTATGCTGCAGTGCCTCCTGTATGGGTCCCGAGGCTAGCCACTGCTCCAGCTTTGGATTCTTGACCACATAATATATGATGCTCTATGGGTGAAATGGGCGAGAAGCAGTTGTGTGAAAAGCTTGCATTAAATGTTGGATGAAATGCTCTACCTTTATATAGTATGTGATGAGCACTTTGCGGTACTCGAAAACCTGCAGGGTGGCGCTGGCCAGATTATCGGATATGGAGTAGCCCTCGATGACGTATTGGGCGGCAACCACCTGCCATGCCAGCCAGCGTGTCGAGAACATTGCATTGGCGCTGAGCAGTCGCGGCAAATGGCCGGGATCACAGCAACAGCAGCCATCATTGTCCTCCACATCCTCGGTGATGGCCTCCACCTCACGTTGCTGGCAGTAGGTGCCTCGAAACTCCAAGCCGCGCATCTGGAACGTGCACAGCCCGTTGCCCAACTCAATGATGTGCACCAGGCAATTCAGATCATCCGAGGCGAGCACTAAATCGAAACCAGAGCGAACATTAGTTACATTAGTTCGTTGGGAAAGGTGTGTGTTCTAAAGCTGCAAACTTACCGAAGCAGTCGCCCTGGTTGACATTGCCCCAACGACCCATGAGTAAATCGCCGCACAACGAATGTTGCAGGGAGCGCGTCAGATGCTCATAGAATATGCTATTCAGATTGTTGTCGTCGGCGCCCAGGTCGCGTTCCAGCTGTGAGCTGAGACGCGTATTCGAGTGATCGATGCGACGCGTGTTGTAGTCCCGTTCCCAAAACTTCACCGGTCGCACGTACGAGGTGAGAAAGATGGCGCTACCCAGGAATGGATTGAGTGGCGTCGATAGCAGAGCCGAGATGCCCGCCTGCAGGAACAGCATCGCCGAGTGCGGCACACTGAAGGGCTGGGCAAATGCATGGAACGCAGAGCCCCAAGTGATCTGCCACGGTGCAATGTACGTCACAATGAACTGCAACTGGAATTTGGAATTGGAGAAAGGCCAAACAATTAGCAATGATTAGTTGCGCATCAGTTTTGGAAATGCTTACCTTAAGCAGAAAGTCGCAGCATTTGCGGAATGCGAGCGATACGAAGAAATAGTCAATGATGAAGCTCTCCGTTGCCATTGCGAAGTCAACGCGAAACAGAAGGACGGTAAATATAATGATCAGATATTGATTCGTTGGATCCGAATACGCATTGCGCACAACTATAGAAAGTGGGAAAATGGGAAAGAAACATGATAATTATTCTTAGAAGCAACAATCAGCAGACTTAAGTTGAAAGTAATCAATAAGCCGAGACGTTGAACAAGCAACAGGCAACACCCTCGGCGATAAGACTGAGAGAATCCGCAGTATGAGTCACTCAGAACGTGGGCCATGCCTCGATTCTAGTGGGAATTGCAATGATTCCCACAAAAGCGGACTACTGTGTGCCAGTAGTACAACTTAATACACTCTTTAGTACACTCTCTCTCTCTTCCCTCTGAGGGAGGAATGGACTCAGGGAACGCTCGGTCCGCACCAGCAACCGTGGCCTTCTATACAGATGGTTCAAAGGTCGGAAATCGGATTGGCGGAGTCTCTTTTGCCCCTCCTATCGGAGGAGAAAAATCAGGGAAAAGAATAGGACCAGGTCAAAATGACAAATGGCTAAATGCCAACTGTGGTCGAATAGCATGCCAAACCTGGCCCAATTTAAATAGTCGCACATTATTCGTGCAATAACCGGACACTGGTTAGTGGGTATTTATGCCAAGAGGCTCAAAGCACCCCACAATTCATTCAGCAGAAGCTGCAGAGACGAGGAGGAGGAGAACCTAATCAATAAGTAAAGCGGATCTTAAATATGCCGCACAGAAGGAGTCGAAAACACTTTCCTATATTCCGTATAACCTCATCAAATAGAGGAGCAAGAGAGATACACAGACAGAGAGCGAGAGAGAGAGGAGAGTGATACATATATATATGCAAGGAGAGACTCACATTTGAGCGCACAGACGGCGACGATGAGAGTGCCCCAAGGCACTCCAAACTTATCAGCAATCAGCTGCGAGTCAGCGGTCAGCGATGAGATGGCCAGCAACGGGAAGAGCACATTCCGCTCGAGCAAACTCAAATAGATGTAGAACTTCTCGAACCACATTATTTGGGGCGCATTCAGCACCTCGAATTGGCCAAATTCCTTTTGGCGCAGCAGCGGTCGGGCGAAACAGAGCCAGGGCATGTGCTTTCTCATCTGGGGCACCGCATAGTGGAGCAGCAGGCCGAGGGTGCCGATGAACACATATAGCACCACATTCAGATCCGGTTGCAGGACCGTAAAGACGGTGCTGCAGTGCAGGACCAGGACGCTGACAGCGAGCAGTGTCATCACAACGAGATCGTTTTTCAGACGTGTCGTCACAGTCGCCTGCAGCTTGCGCGGCAGCGGATCGGGCAACTCGTTGTCCGGTTCGCCGTTTGCGTTGTCCAAGTGTGTTGCGGTTCGATTGTCCGCATCCGGTTCGGCATCAGTGGGTGCGGCATCCACGTCCGTTGTGGCGGTGCCGGCGCCAGCGGTCAGCGTAGACACATCGCCAGGATTTGTGGTTGACGAACTGGAGATTTTATCATCCTGAACATCATGGACGCCGGCTAACAGCTCGGGCGCAGTCTTTGATTCATTTGCACTTGCCTCGAATACGTTCACCTGACTGGTCGTCACCTTGGCCAGCTCACTGCTGGAGAGCTCTGCGTGCGGTTCATCCTCGCCAGCTTCGCCGCCAATGGAGGCAAAGGAACTGGAGGCGGTAATCGCACGTTTGCTGCTGCTTAGGGTCTTGCCCAGCGTTTGACTGCTGCCCAGCGAGGATGCCTTCGATTTGCTGTGCTTATTGTGAACGAGCTGATATTCCAGCTGTGTTTCTTGCTCCGCTTCCGGTTCCTCATCTGGCTCCTCCTCAGTTTGCTGGATATCTTGATGGTGATGGTGATGGTGGTTGTGGTTGTGATGCTGCTGCGGCGGCTTTTGTTCCTCGCTTATGGCCAGTTTTTCTAGAGAGCTAAGTTCTATGTGCTCATTGCTGTTGGCCGTTGAACTCAACACCAGATCTTGCTGACGTGTCCTGCTTGTCACCGGCGTTGGTTGCGCTGTCGACGTCTGCTCCGACGATTGCCTCTTGCTGCGGCTCAACTGCTGTTGTCCCTGACCCTGGCCCTGTCCCTGGCCATGCCCCTGTCCCACTTGGCTATGCCGGTGTGTGTGACCCTTGTGGCACCTGTGCGCATGATTAGGTTCGTCCTCGTCGTCGCGATAGGTGCTCACAATGCAGGTTTTGATTAGGCGCCATAGGTGACTGAAATCGCTAGCGGAGCGCGACAGATGGTAGCCCAGGGGTATCAGCATTGCGCAGAATATTGAGAAGAGTATATACTGAGTGCCCCGATGCTCGTCCAGCGCCGCATACAGCGGACCATACAGCAGCAGCACGGCCAGCACCGATCGCACCAGGCAAAGAAATGAGCCTGCAAATAGGTGGAGAGTATTACCAATGACATCAGTAGCCTGTTGGAACTGTTGGCTTTGCATCGAGGAGAAGCAAAATGACAAACTTACCCAAGAGACTGCTGGCTGCATTGCCGCCAAAGAGATGCATATCGAGCTGCTCGAGCAGGTACATGAGAAACGTGTTGATCTGCGGGCAGAGGCCCACCGAGAAGATGATGGGAAAACAGAGGAGGAGGACATACAGCGACTGCAACAGCAGCGATACCACGTGCGCCGGTGAATAGTGCATGCCAAAGAAAACCAACTCAGCCGGCGGCTGTTCCGCATAATCCGCATCGAGACGCTTCAGCAGCAGCAGCAGGCCACCGCACAGACAAAAATAGATGGCACGGGAATATGCCACCGTTTTGTTAAAGCCATGCACCGGCGAGGCGGCATCCGGCTGAACGCTCTTCACCAGCGAGTATTGGGCACCCGCAATGACCGCACAGAAGAGCAGCACACAGAGATCCTTGTAGTGATTGTGTTGGAGTATCGCCGCGCCCAATATGGCAACCAGTGTGCAAAGCACACTCGCCAGCAACACATGCAGCCAGTGCAGGTCCCGATCAAAGAGCGCCAACAGCTCCAGACGATCCATGGCTATTTTGTACTCATGCTCGTGGCCGCACCATTTGAATCGATACTTGTAGAAACTCTTTGGCGCCACCTTCTTCTCGGCGGCCAGCAGGCATGCGGGTCGCCAATAGTCGCAATAAGGCGCAAAGTGTCCATCCACATTGAGCATTGGCTGGCTGAGCTGGTGTTGCTGCTGCTGCTGTCGGCTTGCCGCTGCCGCTGCAATGGCCGCCGAAACGGCGGCATCGGCATTGATGGCAACCGTGCCGCTAGCCGTTGCAGCCGCCGCATCATTCAGCTGCTGTTGCAGCACATCATTGCGGGTCGCCTGCAATTCGCTGCGCAGCACATTGAACATGCCATGAAGCGATCGTTGGCCAGCTCCCGATACGGCTGATACACCGCCTGATGCTCCACTGGCCGCAGTTGCTGTTGCAGTTGGGTTGCCGACACCGCCGCGCGCCGAGCTGCTCATGAGCATGCCCAGCGAGGCGGCGGCTGCTGGCGGTAGTGGTGGTTGCGGCACACCCTGGTGCGATTGTGTGGCAGCCGCCTCGGCAGCAGCCGCTGCATTAGCCAACTGCTCACACACCAGTTTGGCGTCCAGGTGCAGTTTGTCGCGAGCGAGGGCGCGCTCGATGTGCGTCATGTGCTCCACGGAACTGCTGGCGGGATAGCTGCCCTGCAGCGCCTGTATGGCGTCCTGATAGAACTGGAAATGCGCACTGGACATGTTCGGCGGCACAATGCTGGGATTGGCCGGCACCGGCGTGCCATCCGGCAGTATGCCAGCGATGGGTCGACCGCGCTCATCAACGGCACCGCCATGCATCAACCAGAGCATCTTGTGTATGTCCGCGGTGAGGCTCTCGGTCAGGCTGATGCTGTGCGTCGAATTTGAGGAGGATGAGTTGCGCGAGGCGGACGCAGGCAGCATGGCGAGCTTGGTTTGCGGCTGCCGTTTGACCAGCGCCAGCTCATTGTTACTGCTGTCCAATTGAGTGCTGCTGTTGCTGTCGGCAGCAAGACGCCGCCGACGCAGTTCGTCCACCTCGCGATACTTAACCACTTTGGGTATGGCGCCGAGACTGCGGGCTGCCATGCGCGATGTGCTCGGCTGTTCCTCATCGTCCGGCTGTTGCGATTGGTTGGCCGGCTGTTGATCCATGCCGGCCAGCAGCTGATCCTTGGAACTGGCACTTATTTGCTCACAATCACTGGATGGACAACCCGAATCCGCCTCGCTCCGTATCAACTGACTACGACTCTGAGCTGCCACCGCCGCCGCCGCTGCCACCGCTGGCTGCTGCTGTTGATGATGGAGTAGCAACTGTTGCTGCAGCGCTGGCTGTGACAGTTCCTCGCGCAGCGCCTGCTCCGCAGCCAGTTCGCGAGCGCTCTGCTGCTGCTGCTGTCGATTGCTGAGCAGCGGCGAACGTGAGCCCGTATTGTTGTCCGTCTCCTCATCATCGGAGGCAGCTACTGCGACAGCTGCTGCAGCAGCAATAGCAGCAGTACCTGGTGCAGCGGCTGTGCTCATGCTCATCTCACGGCTTTTGAGTACATCGTCCAATTGGCTATGCGTCTGCTGCAGTTCGCTGAGTATGTGCTCGAGGTTATCATCGAAATCCTTAAAGACATCGTCATCATCATCGGCCAAAATGCCGCCCACATCCGATTCGGCGCTGTGGTGAGTCTGACTGCAGCCCAGAGCACGAGTTCGCCTTCGCAGCGGCACATCGTCCAGTTCATCATCGTCGTCCACGTTTTGATTGCCATTGATCTGATCGGTGTCATCCAGCTGTACGCTGCAGCTGGCCGACTCCTGTTCGCTGTTCTTCTCATCGAGATGCTCCACAATAGGATAGACTGGCGGCTCGATTAGCGCCGTTGTGGAGCCGCAGACGCTTGAGCTGCCAAAAATGACGCTGCTGCAGCTGCTGCCACCACCACCACCACCGCCAGCAGAGCTCTCCGTGTAGTTCTGATCGACCATTCGTGGCGAATACAGATTCAGATGCTGATTCCGCACAAGACTTTTGCTGGGCGGCGGCAGCGGATTGCGCATCTGTTGCTGTCCGCTGATGGCCTCAACGCTGTTCGGATGCGGGCTTAGATTGGATACAGACGGCTGCGGGCAGAGCACCTCGAGAGCGGCGCTTTTGATGCGACGAACACCACCGCCACCGCTAGCAGCACCAGCACCACCACCACCATTACCACCACTACCATGTTGACCGCTGGACAGCAGCGTTGACTTGGAGACGCCTTGGCCGTTGCTGTGCTTGTGATAGCTGGTCGCATTGGAATGTCGTCGTCGCTTCATGGCGGCAGTGGTGCCGTTGCGACTGCTGCCTGGGCAGCCGCTGGTCGTCTCGGTTGCCGGGCCGGATTCGGCGCGACCCGTACAGGAGCTGGTGGAGGCGCACAGCTGCAGTGCGGACATTGTGCTGTTGGGATCCTTGCGTACAATTGCGCCACCCAAATGAGGATGCAGATGATTGTGATGCAGCTGGTGATGATGGTGGTGATGGTGATGCTGGGCTCGAAACGGTGCCTGCTGCTCAATGCCCAAATCTGATTTGGTATAACTGTCATCCTCCAGATACACATCCGATGAGGAATCTGGAAAGGAATCATTTCAATATAATAATTGATTCCAGGGGGAATTAAGAAGGTTTACTTACCGAGTATCCAGGATTGCAGTGCACGATTGCAGGCATCATTGGCAGCGCTGCGGTTGAGGCCCATGCCCAGTTCCATGTCCTCCACATCGTTGACGCCGCTGCCAATGCTGCTGGCATTTTGATGCTGGCCATGCGGCTGCTGCTGGAGATGATGATGCTGATGGTGCTGCTGTTGCATGCACTGAAGGAGGCCGGCGCGGCACATCTGCATCACTCGCTCGTCGTGCGTTTCGGAACTGCGATGACGTTGCAGGCGTGAGGAACGTGTATTTGGCTGGGCCATAACAATGACAGCTGAGGAGGAGGTGGTGGCAGTTTCACTGGCTGCAGTCGAACCGGCGCCCGCCTGAGCGCTGGCTATGAAATGCTGGCGAGCATTGGCCTGCGGCCGTACCGCCTTCGTGTGCAGAAAGCTTGGCGCCGCCGTCGTCGCCGTTGTCGTTGTGGCAATGGTATCCGACTGATTGCGCATGAGTTTGGCGTTAAATGTCGAGTCCGCAGCACCGCCCGCATCCAGGCTGCTCTGCCGCTCCAGTCGGCGTCGATGCCGTCTACTGAACACCTCCGAACACTTGCGTGACAAATGACCCGTACGCGTTGCACCTGCCGTTGTGCCACTGCTGGTTCCGGCTCCCGAAGTGCTTGACATCTGCTGGCATCTGCTGCTGCTATCGAGACCGCTAATGGTGCCGCTCTCCGCTCTACTGGCACCGCCAACCACGTCGACTACCTCAGGATAGACGGTTAGGTACTTGTTGTACAGCTCATTGGCAGACATGTTGTTCTGGCCGGCGGCAATGGTGGAACGTATGGATTTGCTGACGCTGGCAGATCCAGCCAGAGATTGCTGATCCTGTTGGCTGCCGGCGGAGAGCATCGAGGGCGCATAAAACATAAGCTCAATGGACTCGGAGCTGTTCTTGCGATGGACATCAACTTTAAGATCTTTAAATGGAGACACTGTAACTTTATATTGGCAAATACACACACACATATATATATATATATATCGACATATGTATACCCATACATATATTTTCTCGAGCAAACCCTATGGCATATATATATTTTTTTTACGTACCAATAATGCTGTTTACATTGTCAATGGACATGATGCTGTTCTCCTCGCTGGCCTCATTAATAGCCTGCTCCTCGGAGAGACGCGAGCCGCCGCCAGCGGCACGCATTACTTTCATCTCGATGCCAAGCTCCTCGTCGCGACCGTGCGACGCTGTTTCCTTGGTGACCTTGAAGAACTGACTCTTGAGATTCACCTCGGACATAGTCTGTGCCCGATCGTACAATCGATGAAGCGCCAAATTGCTCAGCTTGACCAGCAATATAGTGCTGCTGGTCAGCACACAGTACAGGCACCAGGTCAGCCATGTGCTCGGAAAGTACTAGAAAATCGAACGGTGAGTTAGCTTATTTGATAAGGCCGCCTTGCTCCAACCAACCAAGGTTAGGTAGGACAGATAGCTCAAAGGCACAGTAAACACTCACCAAATAGGCGACAAAGGGCGAACAGAGCAGGTAGAGCCATAGATACAGGTGTACCACATTGCAGAAGACGCCCTGATGCGGATCGTAAAAGTAGCCGCCGGTCAGTGAGGCCCACACGCCCTGGCGCAGTATCTCCAAGGTCTGTGAACCCATGGTGGCCTATACTGCATTACTGCTATTATGCCCCGCACACGACTCTCGGCGGTGACAGCGGGGACAAGCTGGGCCAAAAACCGTAAGGATCGCCGTCTTATCGCCACTTAATTAACAACGAGTCAGTGTTATTGTTATCGGGAGCTTTGAAAGCTTACAAACGCCAGCGGAGCGAAGTTGAAATTTGAGAGCAAATTGTAAATCGTTGGACGTTTCAGCAGGGGGGAAAAGTGAAGGCGTGAGTGTGTGTAAATTATGAATTGGCACAACGAGAGGCTGAGTTGGGCAAAACGAAAACAACGCAAGCAAAACGAAAATAATAAATATGAAAATCGAGGTGTTGCTGCTGAAATTCGTAACCGTATTCTACAGATTTCATGCACTTGCTGTCAGCACTTGCACTCCGAACATTGAGATTACGATACAAATTCACATCGATTTCGATTCAGTTGCTGTTGTTGCTGCTGCTGCTGTTGCTGCTGTTGGTGTCTTCGTGGATGCAGTTGCACCGCAGCCACTGTTAGTATGTGATGGTTTTTCCGTTTTCTCTTTGATGCGACAGTTGTCATTGTTGTTGTTATCAAAACATCGTCTGCATCGTTGCATCTACTAATTTGAACTTTTCTTTATTTGGGGTTTTGTTCTTCTTTTTTCTTTTTTTTTTGCAAAGTAACACTCACTCCCTATGCTTCCTCGTTTCATATGCTTTTTCTTTTATTTTGCCTTGTCTTCGTTGTGCCGTCGCTATGTCAAGTTATCGAAAAGTCCTATCGTTATCGAGCGCCCAAGTGTTGGAAAAAGTTACTAACAAAATCAAGAGATTGGCGCGCACTCGCATATATACAATAGAAGAAAAGAATATTTCGCATAGTTTGTTTTTACCAGTTTATTCTTGCAATACACCGATTCTTAAGCTACGATACTATGATTTAAAAAAAAAAATAAAAAAAAACTTTATTCTACGCGATACATCACAAAGTTAACATCACCATTACCCACAGAACTTTTCGAGTTACGTTTTGATTAGGTTGCTATTTGGTTTTTGCTTTTCAGTCTACGTCCTCGTTGTGGGTTACAGCACTCAGTGCAGGCTATAACTAACTATATAATTAGCGCTCTTCACTGCTGCTGGCATCCACATCGCTGCCAACAAAGTCATCCTTGTGCTCATAGTTATGATGATGATGGATGTGCTCCTCTTCCTGTATGATGGGTACATGCTCAATGGGGTGATGGTGCTGATGGTGCTGATGCTCGTGATGATCATGATGATCGTGATGATCATGATGATCGTGATGATCGTGGTGGGAGGAATGCTCATGCTTCTCGTGGTGATGAATGTGTTCCTTAGTCTGATGGATTTGGATGGGATGATGCTCTTCATGTATAATTTTCTTCTCCTCCTTTAGAACAATCGGCTTGTGATGATGATGCACATGCTTTATCACTGTATGCACATGTTTCTCGATCTTTTTATGTATTGGAACATGGATGACAATCTTCTTCTTCTTCTGTTGGCTACTTCTAAAGAAAACAACAATAACAAAACATTGAGAAAAACCACTTGGTATATTGGTATGCATATTCCAAACATCGTTTACCCAGCATTTGTTTCCTGGACGCAAATAAAACACAACACCAGCACAGCCAAGACCGATAACTTCAGCAACTGCATAGGGGAAGGAGAGGTGCAAAAAAAAAAGGAAACAAATTTTGAATCCAAATCCTGTACAACTTGTGAACAGCTCTTTTCTGTATATTCATTCGGTTGCCTCAAATAATGTTGCTTACCACACAACGATTTTCCATTTTAATTATGAGTTTATGAGGCGTTGAAACACAGACGATGTGACCGCTCGAGTGGCTCGATAACGAATGATTGCTGGCACACTGCGGCCAAATTATTTTATAACACGATCCATGATCACGATGAGGCCTAAACTGGAATTTGGCGTGGAATGCGCCAGCGTCGCTCGATTTTCGCTTCCGTGCGCCGGCCTCAAGCGTCAAAAGCAGCGCGAGGCGCACGCGCCGCGATCCAAACAACCAGCAAGCAGCAATATATGATTTGCTCGTATTAAATCGCATAGTCGATGAAGATATTGCAGTTGCAACATTATCATCGTCATTATGTGTGTGTGTGTGTGTGATGATTGTGGGTGTTTTACAGTTGTTTCGTTTCTGTTCCCATATTTGTTGGCTTTTTTTGTTTAAATAAACCTTAACGTAGGTGCTGAGTACACTAGACCACACCTGAGTCGTGCATAATAATGATAATATAATCAAGAGACAGGATAAAAATAATGTACGCCCCTTTTCAATGTTTTTTTTTTTTTGTTACTATCTCTGCTGCATTAGCGAATCAGAGTTTTGTTTTGTTTTAGTTTTCCCATTGTTTTGATTTCCTTTGTGGGATTTCTGATTGTTACATGAAAACTTCTGTTTCGGTTTTCGTATAGAGACGGAAGACACATCCATACAAATGTACATTGTTTCTTGGCTTGGTTGCACTTGCACAAAAGTCAGTCAACGGAAATAAGTTGAAGTGTGCAAAGTATATATTTATAAAATAGCAACATACATAATAAAAAAATTAAGATATATTTACAAAGTACAACATAACTATATTTTAAGGTAAGTGCACGTAACTTTCATAATAAATAGTTGTAATTGTATATTAAGCTACAACTAGACCGTTCAAATTCGTGTGTTACGCAATGACACGAAAACATAAAATTTACAACAATAACGGTAATTAAAAACCACATTTATATTTGGCATGCATTTTCCCATTCCCGTGTGCAGTCGAGTTAAGTGCATTTTCACCCATCGTCTTGTAAATAATATACAAAATATCAATTTGAATAACAATCGACATGCACATGCTATCGATATTGCGTTAAGCAACACTGTGCGGCACATACACTACCAAGAACCATACACACAGTTCACACATAGTCACCCACACGCAAGAAGCAGCTGCAAGGGGAGAAAAAAGCAAACAAATTCTTCGAAAACGCTCATTTAAAGGTAATTACAAGTATTTGAAAATTTCTTAAGAGCTGCAAGGATACTTTAAGTAAACGCAAATAGCTCCCAAGATTATCTCCAAACTCCATTGTGTTGTTGCGTGCAAAACTGAAATAGATAAGAGTGTGAGACGTGTTCAAGCCGTCATATGAGTAAACTCTCGCCCCATCTCTGTATGTGTTTGTGTTTGTGTTTGTGTGTGTGTGTGTGAATGAGATTCAAATGGGGCTGCTACGCCCCTCCCGAGGAAGTGGCCGTAATATTGAAATCAATAGCATTACATCGTATTGGGCTGTGGCATTATGTGTATATATATTTGATTGGTACTTTATTTAAATGATAAATTGTAATTCGATTTTTATGCGTGACGAGTCAAACCAATGTCAACGTTCGCAACTGTAGCTTAAAGAAAAACTAATTGGATTTTGTTTTTTTCCAGCTATCTGCAGCAGCAAGTTCCAAGCGTGAGAGTTCCGGTGTAAGAAGAACTGCAAGATGACCGATTCAAAGTATTTTACGACCACAAAAAAGGGTGAAATTTTCGAGCTCAAGTCCGAGTTAAACAATGACAAGAAGGAGAAGAAGAAGGAGGCGGTTAAGAAGGTGATTGCCAGCATGACCGTTGGCAAGGATGTGTCTGCGTTGTTCCCAGACGTTGTCAACTGCATGCAAACGGACAATCTGGAGTTGAAGAAGCTTGTCTATTTATATTTGATGAACTATGCCAAATCGCAGCCGGATATGGCAATTATGGCGGTCAATACGTTTGTCAAGGATTGCGAAGATTCGAATCCGCTGATACGGGCGCTGGCCGTGCGCACCATGGGCTGCATACGCGTGGACAAGATCACCGAATATCTGTGCGAGCCTCTGCGTAAATGCTTAAAGGATGAGGATCCGTATGTGCGTAAAACAGCGGCAGTTTGTGTGGCCAAGTTATATGATATTTCAGCGACAATGGTCGAGGATCAAGGCTTCCTGGATCAACTCAAAGATCTGCTCTCCGATTCGAATCCGATGGTGGTGGCCAATGCCGTTGCCGCACTCAGTGAAATCAATGAGGCCAGTCAGTCGGGCCAGCCCCTGGTCGAGATGAACTCGGTGACGATTAACAAGCTGCTGACGGCACTGAATGAGTGTACCGAGTGGGGACAAGTCTTCATACTGGACTCATTGGCCAACTACAGTCCGAAGGATGAGCGCGAGGCTCAATCCATTTGCGAGCGGATTACACCACGATTGGCTCATGCCAATGCGGCGGTTGTCCTCAGTGCCGTCAAGGTGTTAATGAAGCTGCTGGAAATGTTGTCCAGTGATAGCGATTTCTGTGCCACGCTTACCAAGAAGCTGGCGCCGCCGCTCGTTACGCTGCTCTCCTCCGAGCCAGAGGTGCAGTATGTCGCCTTGCGTAACATTAACTTAATTGTCCAGAAGCGACCGGACATCCTCAAGCACGAGATGAAAGTGTTCTTTGTCAAATACAATGATCCAATCTATGTGAAGCTTGAGAAATTGGATATTATGATTCGACTGGCCAATCAGAGCAATATTGCTCAGGTGCTCAGTGAGCTAAAGGAATATGCCACCGAGGTGGATGTGGATTTTGTGCGCAAAGCTGTGCGAGCCATTGGACGATGTGCCATCAAAGTGGAGCCGTCAGCGGAGCGTTGTGTGTCCACGCTGCTGGATCTGATACAGACGAAGGTCAACTATGTGGTCCAGGAGGCCATTGTTGTCATCAAGGACATCTTCCGCAAGTATCCCAATAAATACGAGAGCATCATCAGCACACTGTGCGAGAATCTGGACACACTCGATGAGCCGGAGGCGCGTGCCTCGATGGTGTGGATCATTGGCGAGTATGCGGAGCGCATTGACAATGCCGATGAACTGCTTGACAGCTTCCTGGAGGGATTCCAGGATGAAAATGCACAGGTGCAGTTGCAGCTGCTGACCGCTGTGGTCAAACTCTTCCTGAAGCGACCATCGGACACTCAGGAGCTAGTGCAGCACGTACTCTCCCTGGCCACCCAGGACTCGGATAATCCAGATTTGCGTGATCGTGGTTTTATCTACTGGCGTCTGCTCTCCACTGACCCGGCTGCGGCCAAGGAGGTAGTTCTTGCCGACAAACCGCTCATTTCGGAGGAAACGGACCTGCTGGAGCCGACGTTGCTGGACGAGCTGATCTGTCACATTAGCTCGCTGGCCAGCGTCTACCACAAGCCGCCTACTGCTTTTGTGGAGGGTCGCGGCGCTGGTGTGCGCAAATCTCTTCCAAATCGCGCTGCTGGCACCGGCAACGCCAACGCCGAGCCGTCCGAATCCGGTGCCGGCTCTGAGGCCATGGTCATACCCAACCAGGAGTCACTCATCGGTGATCTACTCTCCATGGACATCAATGCGCCCGCCATGCCCGCTGCTCCAGCTGCAACTACCAGCAATGTGGATCTGTTGGGTGGCGGCCTCGATATACTGCTCGGTGGACCACCAGCTGCCAATGAAACAGCGCCTGGTGGCGCCACCAGTCTGCTGGGTGACATCTTCGGCCTCGCTGGCACCTCGCTCTCTGTTGGTGTGCAAATACCCAAAGTCACCTGGCTGCCAGCGGAGAAGGGCAAGGGATTGGAAATACAAGGCACATTCTCGCGCCGCAATGGCGAAGTCTACATGGACATGACGCTCACCAACAAGGCCATGCAGCCGATGACCAATTTCGCCATACAGCTGAATAAGAATAGCTTTGGTCTGGTGCCCGGTTCGCCGCTGCAGGCACCGCCACTGCCTCCAAATCAGTCAACCGAAATTAGCTTGGCGCTGGGCACCAGTGGACCCATTCAGCGCATGGAGCCGCTTAACAATCTGCAGGTGGCCGTTAAGAATAACATTGACATCTTCTACTTTGCCTGCCTGGTGCATGGAAATGTCCTGTTCGCCGAGGATGGTCAGCTGGATAAGCGTGTGTTCCTTAACACATGGAAGGAGATCCCAGCCGCCAATGAGCTGCAATATAGCCTGAGCGGTGTCATTGGCACCACCGACGGCATCGCCTCCAAAATGACCACCAACAACATTTTCACAATTGCCAAGCGCAACGTTGAGGGTCAGGATATGCTCTATCAGTCGCTCAAACTAACGAACAACATCTGGGTGCTGCTCGAGCTGAAGCTGCAACCGGGAAATCCAGATGCCACACTCAGTCTCAAGTCGCGCTCTGTGGAGGTGGCCAACATAATATTTACCGCCTACGAGGCAATCATACGTTCTCCTTAAGTTGATCCAAGCATCTAACAATAGCAACAACAGCATCTACAGCAATAACAATAATAACAAATTATATTCGAACAGCCAACTACAAATCGAAATGGAATTATATACATCCATAATATATTAATTATTGTAGTTATTTGAATGTTACGTGAGAAATCTGTTAAAACAAAGAACACCTCAAGATTCCAAATTAAGCGCAAAGTTGAAGTGTATTATTATTACTTACCTATTACGATTACATGCATATATATACATATATTTATATTCGCATATATTCCCCCAATATACATTTATAGATGGGCACAGGATATACGCATATACGTTATTATTATCGCCTACAAATGTTTTTCTTTTCCCCCCCGTTCAAAACTTTTGAATGCACGATAAAATCGATGTCATCGTTAGACGCATATTTCAGATTTAACCAATTTTGTGTAAAGCGCTCGGACAGGATAAATGCAAATCAGGGTTTATCATTCCAGTAATTTGATTATCTTGAAAAGCGCTTAATATTAAGTATAAAAATACATGTTTGTCTTGTACCATGTGCATGTGTTTAGCAACAAATTATATAATATACATAGCACACATATATAATCAAATTAACAAGTATATACCCTATTCTACTCGTTGTTGCTTGGGTATTATGGGCTAGCGAACAGGAATGGGATCGATTCATTCTCCTGGCGGAGACCAACACTTCATTTATGAATGCAATTATATAAGATGAAAACAAACTGCCTTGAATAGGTTCGCATACCCTTCTCTCCCAGTTGATGCTAACAGGGTATAATCGATTGTGCGTCTCTCATTTACATACCTGCACACACACAGATTGTCATACGTAAATTCACCTGAGCTTACACTGCCGTTATCCTGCGAAAGCCCAACGCAAAGCTTTTACCAACTAACGCAGGCAGTACACGACTCCAGAGCTTTTGGACATTCACTTGAGGGTTGCTACATGACGCCAGCTAATGCTGTCCCGCTCTCGCAGCCTTGGCTGCCAAAGGGCAGCACACCGCTGTGTTGGGGTTGTCCCTGTCGGGCGCTCGTTGTGCGCTTCTGCCACACGCGGTTTTGTTGTACCACAAGTAAATTTGTCTTGGCCCCGATTGTAACGTCCAACTCCAACTCCATATTACAAATAAGTGTACACAATAAAATGCGAGTGCGAATGCATTAAAAAATAAAAAGAAAAAAATAAGATAAAGTGAAACAAAGAAAAGCCCTGCCAAAAGTCAAAAGCCAAAAGCCAAGAAATCAACGTCCAACTGGAAAGAGCCCACTTCGCACAGACAGTGAAGGATTGTCTGCTGGACATGCTGGTGCTGCCAACTGTGCTTGAGACCAACTCCGCCCTATTTTGAGCTGCAACTTTGACATACAAATCGCTGCTACTGCTGCTGCTGCTGCTGTTTCTGCTCTGCCGCCTGGCCATGGGTCGCAGCCCGATATCTTGCCCCTGATCCCACGATCGAATTAACAAAAGAAAAAACTAGCTAAAAGCGAAAATAGTGCAGTGTAGAGCACAATGAGTGGAGCGGGAAATGGCAGTGACGCCAGAGACGTTGTGGCTGCAGCGGGAGGTGGAGCTGGTGGCGTTGCCGGAAAAATTGGAATTGGAATTGGAATTCGAGTTGGAGTTGGAGCTGGAGCTGGAGGCATGGAAAGCAGTGCACTACATTCGCTGGATAACTATGATGTGGCCTATGATGGCCAGGAGCATGATGACACCAAAAGCGTCTCTCATCTCGATTGGCCATTTTTAATTAAGGTGCGTATCTAAACCCCTTTTGAGGTTATGTTTCTCTGTATGCAAATAAGAAGTGCGCTCCATGCAACACTTTGCTCTCTTTTTATCTTCAACTGTATATATATATATACATATGTATATTTGTGAGTGTGTGTGTGGGTATTTTATGTGTCAACAGCCATGTTAACTGAATCATCATCAATGAGTGGGGCAGGCCAAGTGGCGCCAAGTGTGTCAGTCAGTGGCCCTGAGTGCAGATGCACCCATGCTTCACACAAAGACTCGTCCTTGATCGCATTACGAGCCAAGCATATGCAAACAAACCTACTCACACACACACACACACACACACATATATATATGTATATATATCTGTGCAGCAAATGAGGACAAGGAAGTTGAGTTTGAGTTGAACTGTCTTCGCACTATCCGCCACTGAGCAGATAATGTGTTGGCATGTTCCCAGATGATAATAATAATACTAATGTAGTAATATAGACGATAAATAATTACACATACCAATTCCAATATCGCCAGCCAATTGCAATTATCAATCGCAAATAAATCTGATTTCCCCAAGTGCCATATTTTCATGCAAGCTTAAACCCAATAAATTCAACATTAAAGACACGTTTAATATTTCTGGACAATTCTTATTTGTTGAGTTTCTAATTTTCTTTCAGTAAGTTCAGCATTTGTATATACGAGTACACTTTATATTTATTTATATTTCGAAATTGAAACCTACAAAGCCAGTTTTTTTGTCAATACTGCGAATTATATTGTAATCAACAGCTGCACTTGAATTTAAAACCGAATTTTTTGTTCGAGTGTAGAGGTAATTGAATATGTTATTTGAGTGTATATTTTTTTTAGCCACCTGCAAAAAACTCGCCCTGTCACCGAAACCTGTTTCTCAACTTTGCATGGCTGAGCGATTTAATTAAACATTTCCGTTTCCATTTCCGTATGTGTGTCTTTGCTAACCATTTGTCTCCGTCTCTGTCTGTCACACAGGGCATCCTGGAGAGCAGCCAGACATGTTCACCCACAAGCCCAGACACGCTGGCCGCACTCCTCTGGGCCATCATGGCCGTGTTTGGTATTGTTTACGCTCTGCTGGGCTATCGCTGCCTGCGCGCTGTTGGCTTCCTTAGCGGACTGATGGTGGGCGCCAATGCCATATTCATTTTACAGGACTTTCAGATAACGTGGCTGGGCAAGCCGGCCGACTCGGCTCTGGCCATAGTTGCCGGACTGCTCGGCGCCGTTCTCGGCTCCACATATCCAGTGGCCTCTGTGCTGATCAGCGCTTTTGCCGGTGCTCTCCTCTCGGGCGCTGCAATGGCCGTCTGTGTGGCCACCATGCCGGACAACGAGTTTGGGGTAAGCTGTGCAAAGTAAACTACAATTTATAAATTGGTTAAAATTCACATTCTGAAAGCTCCGCTTAAACTACTCCATTTGGTCCACTTACAAAGCTGTTCTTGTATCTCCTCTCCTCCGCAGTATCGCGAGATTTATGTGGCTATTGTAGGTGGCGCCGTCATTTGCTCAGTGCTGACGCTGTGCTGTGTCAAATATGTGACCATATTGACATCCAGCATTGTGGGCACAGCGATGATAATTGGGTCCATTGATTTTTTCATGCATAGCTTGGAGACGATTAACTGGATACTCAATATGAAGCCGCATCCATCGCCACCGCCCTGCTATGGCGGACTGCTAATCACTGCCTGGCCGGTGACCATTGTGATTAGCATTATGGTGCAGTGTTTCATCACAGCTTGGCGCGTGGATCATCGCAAACGCATCTATATGCGACACCATCAGCAACATCCCCATGGACCGCATATAGCGCACGGCCAGCAGCCGGCACCAGGCAATCCCCATGTGCCCATGCGGCGGGCACAGTCGCGCACCCGGGAGACACGCGAGGAGGCACGCCAGCGCAAATTCCGCTATCTGTATCAGGTTCGCACGGCACGCGGTGACATCATATCGCAGGTGAGTGCAATGGGTATAAGATCCTTGACAGAATGTCCTCTTATCATATGTAATTTTGCAGAACTTTGTCTCGGCACTGCAGAAGCGCATTCAATTGAGCGGCACGGAGACACCGTCGGAACGTTCAATCAAGACGAGCTCCAATGAGCGCAACACTTTCCGCAGCGATCGCACCCACTTCACCACCATCCACGATCCGGAGCTGTGCGACAAGATCGAAATCGTACGCGACATTGGATAACAAACAAGCAATAGCTACATGTAACTATATCCGTAAGGGGGAAACAGCGAGCGAGTGCGTTTAGATACAGGTCAGAGGACACAGGTCGGGGGCAACTAAACGAGCAGAGATGGACACATACGGATTTAGTAGAGCATGTAGCTAATGGGTTTTAAGCAGCGACACGCACAGTAAAAACAGCTGCAAGCAAACAGACACAAAAATCTTGCGAACGTGGTAAAGATAAAAGATGCCAACTTGGCAGATGAACAATGAACAATGAATAATGAATAATGAATGATGATGACGAAGAAGAAGCTTTAACTTGATAACTACAGAATACGGTTTAGAAAAGATAGATGGAGAGTAACAATTGTCGGCTGATTTCGCGGAAAGGTCTTAAATGTAATGCTGATATTTCAAAAATATCTAGACTAAATCACATAAAAATCAACCGCGAATAAGCTGGATAGAAAACAAAAAGCCAAAACGCACATTTCAAATGGAGATATGGGAATATAGTGAACAATATACGATATATGTATGAGAGTTGGGCTGAAAAGTATGAGATCTAGACGAGAAGCGATAGCCCCTGAAGTAAATGCATTTGGGGGATTTGTTTTCTCATTTTTACTAAGATCGATTACGTTTCAGCCCAACATCTAATAAGTATATGCATTCCTAGCACTTTAAGAGCATATTCAACGTAGATATTTAATTTAAAGGTATTATCATATAAAAAATAATAAACAAGAAACTCATGTTCAAGTCTCGCTTAAAACAAAAAAAAACAAAACTAAAATGTTACTAACAGGTATATATAGACGAGTCAAATATAGCCGTGTTTCATAAGTTAGATTGACTTGCGTTCTTATTAGAAAGTAAGAAAGTACACAGAAAATTCGTGATCGTAACGTATATCGCAGAGTGATGAGATAGGCCAGTTGGAATAAAGCATTGTTTCTCTTAAATTTAATATATACGAAAGGATATATATTAAATCATATCTAAGTTTTGCGTATTCCTCGTGTGCTCTCTGTAAACTGGAACTAAAACTATATTATCTAATACAAGCGCTTAAAACATAATCAATAATTGAGGCGCAACAAAAAAACAGAAGAACATTTTACTACTGATTTTGTATCTGTGTTATAATTCTACGAGTTCAGCATGTATTTACCAATTACATTTACACGCATATACTTGAGCTATATATCCACTTATGTATGTATGTATATCATTATTCAAGCATAGAATTGCTCCCGAGCAATGTTTAGAGAACTTATTCAATTTGTGAATCGCTCTAAGAATACCTAAATATATAAGTACATAGCATGTACTAGTTACAACTGATGTTTCCTTCGATTTTGATCAAGTAATCCATAAATACATATATATACACATACATATATATTATATATGCATACCTATTAAGTACAATAAATTATATCCAGTTTATAAGGGAACCGAATTTTAAAACCTTACGCCAAATCTGTACAGTTCATTTGGAAGGTATGGAAAACACAAAGTAGAATGAGATTGCCTATTAGGACTTTAGTGAGTAAGCCAAAGATTTCGATTTATTGATTGCCCAAAGAAAGTTATGCGTAAAAGACGCAAAATGCGAGCGCAGAAACATTTTAACAACATTATCATAAGTTTAAGCTAAGTTTAAGTCTAAGATCCATGCAAGCTGCAGTACAAACTCAAATGAATCCGATCGATTCATCAAGTTGAAGCAAATCTGAATACATAATGAAATAATTACTATACAGCGTATAGCCCGATAAGGTCAGATTAGACATTGACAAAAACACACTCAAACTCACACACTTTATTCATCAAGCTTACAAGCCGTGTTATTTATTAAAAGTTGAATATTTTTGAACCTAAACCAAATGCTATATCAAAATTGCTGCCGTCCGCAATTGTTAATTTTTCGAAATTGTATCTAAAGAATTTTTGTTAAATGTTTCTGGCAACTGTTTTATTTGTTTATTGTTTATCGTCATTATAACCAACTAATCTTAAGTTGTTTAATTCATTCATAGTAGGGTGCAATGTCTAATCGGGTGTACTCAAACGCACAGCATTTAAAAGGAGTAACAAAAGTAATGAATAAACAAAAGAACAAAAAAAAATAAACTATTGTCTAACAAGAGTTGCTAAATATTTGAGAATTAATAGTTAATATTGATAAATGATCTAAATAAAAAAAAACAAAAACCATTTAATATGGTGTGCATACTAAAGTAGTAATATAAAAACACTTCACATAATTAAAACAATAAAAGATATAACAAATAAAAGCAAAACTTTAAAATCTATGAATTCCGCAGAGGCTAGGCACAATGACACAACCAGATTATAAACAAAACGAAACAAACAAACAAATCAAAGTAAAATAAATAATGCGAGCCGAATAAATAACCAATGCGTTTTTGATAGTGATTAGGAGAGTAAACAAACTATTCGCTGGCGTTGCACTCGCAACGTGAGCATTGACAACGGCGAATGTTTCCTCATTCGACTGTGAACTCCGCGAGCCTAAAGCATCTCTGGCCGATGGCGGACCAATACGAGGTACTCGAATCCCTGGCGCTGCAGGAATCAGTTGAGACTGAAATCCTAGACAAGTGCCGCCAGTCCCCAAACGGGGCCACAAACATGGCAGAACTGTTGGCCGACAAGCGTTCGCACATAGCCATGCCGGGCATTTACCTTATGGCTGCCATGAACTTGGTAAATATCGGCTTATAAGCTGAGATTTATACTATACATATATAAATGCACACAAATATATGTAACCTAAACTTTCCTATATCTCTCTCATGTTGTAAACAAAATTGCTTGTCATCTTGCAGTGCAGTCAGGGCAAAGTGCGTGTGCAGCAGAAGGGGCAACATCTGACCGAGGATGCATCTACTGCGGATAATTTGATCATCACGTTGCTAAACTAATAACTCAACTTGCAAATGTTCTTATTACTGATTAATACACAGTTGTTGCCCGGCTGAGTTTTTTTGTTTTTATGTATTTCATGTCATATTTCATAGACCATATTAACGGGTTGCACGAACAAATAAAACAACGATGACAATTTGTAACAAGTATTTATTTATATTTGTTGCTATTCTTTTTCATTTCAATTGGTTGCAATTGGTGTAGCCTCCCCTATACGGTATTAACTATTTGTAGTGCATTATTTGCTGCTTGCGCTTGCTGATGTTGTTGCTGTTTGGTATTGTGGAGTTGGTGTTGTTGCTGTTGTTGTTGTTGCTATTTGTATTGAATGGTTGACGAGAAGGGCAGGCTGCTTAGATGCGGCCCGGGAATGTGCCGCTCTCGCGCTGATCGTCCCACTTCTCAACCCAGGCATTGGGGCACATCGTCTTGTAGACCTTCTGGAAGTAGTTGCAGGGCGCAAAGTTCTCGCCGCGCTTCTTCTGGCAACGATGGAAATCAATGTAGGATTGATAGCAATAGCGCGTCACGTTCTGGTTGGGGAAACGTGGATCAAAGGGAGCGGTCTCCATCTTATAGGCGGACATGTTGTCGGCTGACGACTTATCGCTGTTTTTGTTTTTGGACATGAAAAATTGCATATATATTGACTTTTAGTTAAACAAAACGAAACGAATTGAATCGAAACGAAACGAAACAGAATAAACGCAAAACCAAAATCGATGGACAGATATTGACAGATTGATAGATTGACACATAAACCAGGGCGCAAATTGAACACAGGTATTGAGATAGCGATAGTTTATATAGTATGTGTGTAATGGAATTATGTAACAACAAGAAACGAAAGGCATGTTTTATGGACAAAATAGAAAAGTATAAATATGAAAAAGAAAAATGGCAATTAAGAATATTCATAATTATATTAATTAATAATATTGACAATAATAATGGTAATCGTAACAATAATTGTCCATTGACAATTAATCAATTCAAATTAAAAGTCAAAGTCAATTTCAAATTCAATTTTCGATCGTTGTGCAAAAAAGAGAGAAAAAGAGACAGAGATACACAAAGAATCATAATACGTTAGTCCATGTTTCGATGTTTGTATGAACGATCTTTCATAAGATAAGTGATAAGTGTAAGTACAGACATTATATAAATTATATATATATATATAATGTTGCAGAATACATATTTATATATATCATATTGTTAAAAAGTATTCTACTTGTAGACTTAAAAAAATGTACAAACTACGGCTTAAGTTCTACACTATTGTTTATTACATATTATTATTATTCATATCCATATTCATATTCATATTCATAAGTGAGGCGCTGTTCGTTTATACTCATTGCTGCTCCTCTCCCCATTGCCTCCGTTTGTGATCCCAAAATTGCAAAATATATATGCTGGCTACATATTTATATATTATTGTTAAATGATTGCTAATTCTAAAGGAATTGAGATATAGTATCCCTACTACGTATCAAAAGTTTCCCATTTCTTTTAATTCCTTTCTTTCGTATCAAATGGCTGAGAATAAGAAGTGAGTGAGCTGAGGAGCCACCCTTCTAAATTAAACAAAAAAGAAAACCAACAACAAAATACAACTGCTGAGCTATGTTGTCATGCTTATATCTAAATAGTATATATATATATATATATAGACATATACATATATATGAATGTGTGTGTGTGTGTGCAATCGCACCGTTTGGATTCTGTAAATTGCCTGCATTCAAGTTCATTTTGTCATTTTGGTATATATATAAATATATATATATTTATCTTGCTTGTTGCATGTTGTATGTCTGTGCATGTGTGTGTGTGTGTGTGTGTGTGTGTGTGTGTGTGTGTGTGTGTGTGTGCATGTGTTCCTGCTGCTCCTATTTGACCAGTGGACGCTTGCCGTTGTCCGTATCGCAGGCATTGCTCTTGTACTTGTTCACTTCAGCCAGATAGAGCGACCAGAAATCCTTGGGATCCACATCTCGCTCATTGGGCGTCTTCAGCTTGGCCACAACGCCCGTTTTCAATATCTTTCCACCACGACGACGCCCCACCATTGGCGGCGGCGGCGCCGATTTGCCAGCCGCCGCGGCCGCAATATAGGGAGCAGCCGGGCTACTGGCCGCGCCGGCGGCAATGGCTGGCAGTGCACCAAACACATTAACTGATGCTGAATTATCCAACTGTTGCTGCTGCTCACGCAATGCTACTGTTGCAGTGGCAGCTGCTGTTGCTGATGCTGCTGTTGCTGCTGCTGCGGCTGTTGCGGCATCCAATTGCAACTGCTGCATCTGCGGAGACTGATACTGTGGTCGCTGTTGCTCCTCTTGCATTTTCTTGAACAGTTCCATGAAGGAGCCATCGTTGGCGAACACTGGATGCGATGCCTCTGGCTTGGGCGGCGGATATACTTTACCGTCGCGAGCGAGAGTCTCGCGCAGCTTCTCCTCGATCTCGCGATGTATGCGCTCCTTGTCGAAGGGCTCATCCGTATCCAGATTGTAATAGGCGCCCACAGCAGACATGGCCTTGTCGTTGCATTTGCCAGATGCATTTGCTGATGGTAACGGCATGCGCACTTCATCCATGCTGTCTTCCATTATCCCTCCTCCTCCTCCACCACCTGCACCTCTGCTCTGTTTGCTGCCATGCGACTGCTGTTGCTGCTGTTGACGTCGCGAGGGCGGCGTTGTGGAACGACTGCGACTATCCCGCTGATAATAGCTGCTGCGTCTGGAGTAGTCCCTCTCACGGTCCCGCTCCCGTTCTTTTTCCCGCTCCCAGGAGCGATCACGTGAATCTCTTGTGTTGTGGTTGTGGTGACGATGCTGCTGATGACGCCGCTCCCGATCACGGCTATGTCGTCGCCGCTGGCGCTCCACGGAGCGACTGCGACTGTACCGCCTGCCACGCTCAACGGAACGGCTACGTTCGCGTCGATTGCTGCGCTCATGATAGCCACCATTGACACCACGCTGGGTGCCGCGTCCACGGCTGACGCTGCGCCGATTGCGCTGCTGCTGCTGTTGTTGTTGCTGTTGCAGTTGCTGCTCCTCCTCCGGCTGCTGCTGATAATACGGTAAGCGTGCCGCAGACATGTCGTTTTTTGCCCAGTCAGAGTCGGACTTCACTTGCGGCGTTTGTTGATCTGCAATTCAAACTGTGCCGCGTTAAATCAATCAGTTGCAGTTGAGACGATTTGTATGCGGTATACCTATACACAAAATATACAATTCTTTTTTTGGTTTGCTTGTTTCGATTCGATTTGGCGACACCTTCTGCTCTGTCGTCAGTACTTTAAGACATACGTACATACATACATAATTACATATGTATATTTATTGTGTTTTACAATTTGCTTTTTGCCTGTTGCCTGATTGCCACCTGCGTGCTTGTATTACTACCCCATACGTCACAATTTTAGGTTGTCATCTTCTGACATACACTTTAATTATTGTATGTTTTATTTAGTTTTGTTGCTAGCAGCGAGCAGCTCACATTTGTTCTGCAATTTATTGTGCATGCTCTTTGTTTAATCATCTTTCGTTGCTGTTAATAACAGCGATGAGAAAAGAAAAAGAAAAAAAAAACGGGCAGAGTTGCCACACTGAGCCGCGTTGATTTTGTGCGAACTTTACAATTAGAAGTTAGTTTTTTCTGTGCACAACACACTTCCAGAGGACAACACAAATGTACCCATGACAATGTGAGTAATGCGAATATATATATATATAAATATATATATATGTGTGTATGGGTGTGTGTTTGTGCAGTTGGCATAACTGAAGGCGGACTACTTACTGTAAAACACACAAATAGCATTAAAGTACCAGAGAATTAATGGCATGGCCGGTAAATCATGTGTCTACAGTATAAAGTATACAATATAAATACATACTCACACAGGCAGGCCAGGCAATTTGAATATTTGCACTGAAACTCAAAATCTTATGCAATTGCAAATTGATTTGATTTCGTTTGGACTTTTTGGGTTGTAATAAGGAATTATAACATTTACTTGTATGCTTTTATCCCGAGGATGCTGTTGCTGCAACTGCTGCTGCTGTTGCTGCCACTGTTACGATGACCGTTGACTGATGCCGCTGCTGCTGATGTTATTGATTGCTGTTGTTGTTCTTGTTGGTTGTCCTCAGATGAGGGGCTGGGGGCAGGCACCCTTTTTTTTTTTTTTTTTTTTTTGCAGCCTGCCAACCTCCAGCTGGGTTCTGTTGTAGGGTTGTCGGGTTGCGCGCGGGTGTTGGTGCGGTGCGTCGCGTGCGTTTTAATGTGTTTTTGTGCTTGCTTGCTTTGGTTGCTGCTCTTTGGCTTTGCTTTGTAACTTTGCTTAACTGAAATCGGTTGGGAGCGGATTTTTGTACGTCCTGCATGGAAAAATGAACTTGAACGCATGAATACAAGACGTTACTTGGACCAAAACGCTGTGCAAGGAGTCAGTTTATCATAATTACATTTTTCTCATTTTCTTTTTGTTTTGTTTTTCTTTGTGGTTTTGGGGGATACAGATACGGATACTTAACTTAACGGTGATGGGTGGGGCGGGGGCGGTGTGGGATGGGTGGCAGCTTCGAACCAATTGCGTTTTAGCGCACATTCCCAACTTATGTAACTAACGCTAAACGCTAAACTTAGAACGCTTGCTTAATACATAACTTACTTATGCCAAAGCATAACTTGAACTCACTCACTCAACATATTTGCCGTAAAATTAAATTAGAAGTTATGTAATTCTTTTTCGTTGCCTTCTGCTAAAGCCTTTATAGCCAGCGGCATTCGAAATGTGTATGTGTGGGTGTGTGTACGTGTGAGCGAACTTATGACAAATACTAGTGTTGTGTGTTGTTGCATAAATACAATATTTGAGCCACTGGCTTACAATTTGAGTGAATTGCATTCTGATTTTGTTTGTTGTGCGTTTTCATTTCTTTTTTCTTTGGTAAAAACATACCTTTGTTGTTTCGGAAAGTACGAAGAAAATTTTCCAACTGCTTGGAGTTTGTCGCTGTTACGAACACGAACTGGGCTACGATAGTGTTTGTGTGTGTTGCGTGTGACAAAAGCGAATTAAAAATATCGGCTAGAGCCGAGTTGCCAGATGTTCACTAGTACAAGTTAGTTTTTAATTTGACAGCATAGTGCTCTGTTGGCAGAATGCCTTATCGGTATCGATTATCGAGTGCTAGCGTTAACATTTCATCATATCAAGTCACATCTATATGTAATAAACGCGATTCAACGCCGTCAAGTTATGGGTGGTTCAATATAAGCCCTTTCGTTTGTTTCGATGATGGACAGCAATCTAACCGAGCGAGGGGCCAAGCCAAGAACCAATAGAAATCAACAGCAGCGCAGCAGCCAAACCACCCATCGAGTTGTGCGAAAGGTTCCGCCGCGTGCTGCCAACACCGACGGAAGCAATATTTACATTACAAGCAAAACAGACTTTAAGGTAAGCAGCAAGTTGTCAAGCTGTTGAAACTATTATTATTATTATTCAACGATAAATGTTGTCAATTGGCACAGGCACAACAGAAACGATGCGAAGATCTACTGAACTCGGGTGCTAAGGAGATCTATTTGCACTGCATGGGCTATTCCATTACACGAGGTATCAACTTGGCACTGCGTCTCATCCAGAACTCGGAGGGGGCACTCAGCTACGCAATTAACACGTCCACCATACAGCTGGTGGATGAACTGCATCCACTTTGTGATGAGGACGACATAACATTTCGCAAGCGCAACAATTCCGCCTTGCACATTAAGATCTACAATAGCAGCCTCTTCGATATTGTCGTACCCAAGCTGCCAGCGCAGCCCGGCTACACAACCACCACCAATAAACAGCAACAGACGTACCGCAAGCCCCAGCAGCACCACCAGCAACGTCAGCAGCACCCGCAGAAACAGCAGCAGAAACTAAGCAATCCACAACAAAAGTAACAACGATATCATGTTCAAATTATCGGAGCTTGTGCGTTGGCTTGGCCTAACAGAGTTTGAGATATTGGTAAATCTGTGTGGCCTGCTGGTGTTCACCATAGCGCTCGCCTTAAAGATTGCTGGCACATTCAACAACGTGTTCCCCGAACTGTTGTGCGACTGGTTTAGCATATTCAGTCCGCTGTTCTTCATCGATATTTGCAATGCGTATTTCTGCGTCATCGTTGGCATTCGCATGTACCTCGACGCGGAAAACAAGCGCAAGGCCCTGCATCGGTTCATGTGGAGCACATATTTCCTCGTACTTATCGCCATCTTTAAATATCTGTTGTGCCTCAAACTGTCGGGCAAAACGGGTCTCGAGTACAGCGAAGTCTTTTCGCCCATCTTCGTGCTGCTGCAATTGGTTGCAGTGCGCGCCTGCCAGCTGCCTAACTCTATTTAAAAACTGAAAATTGTAAACTGTATATCTATATGTATATCCATGAGAAATTATGCCTATGATTTATTTTATGTATTATTGTACGCAAGTTGTGAACATAGAAATACATACAAAGTTTTTTGTATAACCCACAATGGAAATATGTTCAAAAACTGCCTTTAACATATTTCTGTTACGTCGATACATCGACAAATCGAATATCGTCCATATTGTGAATGAGTCAAACATCGATAGTTCCACCACTGCGTTTGGTATTTTCACATATTCATATAGAAAGAAAAAATAAATACGCTCGATATATTAACATTTTCATGTTACCGATCGATAGTTCGCGAATAGACGATTAAACTGTGAGCGAGTCCAGCTAACCGATAATATAATCGAGTGTCTATCAGTCCCATTACTTTGTTCGTTTTGTTTTATTCGTTTTTTTGTTTGCCCTGTAGTGACCAGAAATGTCGACATTAAATCGTCCCAAGTCGCCGCACACGCCCACGACAATCAAGAAGGGCGAAAAGGAGGATAGCTTTTGGGATAAATTCAGCACACTCGGACGGAAACGCGGCACTCGCGAAGGTGAGCTCCCAATTTGGGATACCGCAGTGAAATCTTCTGAATATGGCCCCATATGGCGAACACTCAGCTCCAACGCCACGACAAATGCACGATTACATGGCCCCATTGAGCCATGCAACAAAGAATCTCACACGCAGCACATTTTCAAGCGTTTGCTCAACGATTCTGTAAGCAGATGTGCACTGTGTCTGCTGGCGATAATAAAAAACATTGCGTCATTTACATATTGTGACGCACACAAACAAACAAAAAGACTCTGATCGCATTGGGTTGCTGTCGGTGTGCACTGTGTGTTTGATTGTGTTAGTGTTTGCGAGAATTGTTTGGTGTTTCTGGGGGTGGGGGGCTATCATATACACTATGACGTCACCATATATTGTTTACACTTGTGCTCTTGGCTACTCGCTTGCTGACACTGTCATTTTTATTGTTGTTTGTTGCACAGTCAAGAAAGTCCAAGAGGAAGGCAAATACGCAATCGACTCCCCAGGCTCGCCCAGTCAGTTCGACATACCGCCCGAGGATTATGCGCTGCGTAAGTACTAGATGAGTAGCCTACTCGAAAATGGAACTTAACTCGCCATTCTCAAATCATTCCCAATAGGCGAGCATGAGCAGCGCGCTGTCATCGATCCCCAATCGAGTAACGATCCGGAGGTGCTAAAACTGCAACAGATACTGATCGATTGGATCAATGATGAGCTCGCCGAGCAGCGCATCATTGTGCAGAAGCTCGATGAGGACATGTACGACGGCCAAGTGCTGCACAAGCTCTGGGAGAAGCTGACCGGCAAGAAACTGGACGTGCCAGAAGTCACACAGTCCGAGCAGGGTCAGCACGAGAAACTGAACATTGTGCTTTCAGCTGTCAATCACGTAAGCTACACAATACTGTGTAAAAAATATTTATATTTAAATATATATTTATAAAAATAATATACCATTTTCAATCGATCGATTTTGAAAACTTGCAAGAGTTATGACAAGCATTCATTGTTCTCCCCTTGCAGACACTTGGTTTCCATCAGAAGATACCGAAATGGTCGGTGGCCAGCGTGCACTCGAAAAATATTGTGGCCATATTGCATTTATTGGTCGCTTTGGTGCGTCATTTCCGTGCACCAGTTCGCCTGCCAGAGAATGTCTTTGTCACCGTGGTGATTGCCGAGATGAGCGCCGGTTTTATGAATGCACAGTAAGCAGTGATTTCTAGTTAACTTCAGTGTATAAAAATGCATTCGTTTGTTTGGTTTGTTTTTGTTTTTTTTTTTTGTGTATAGGAAATATCAGGAGCAAATCACGTCGGAGTACGATGATCTGGGCATGCGTTGCGAGAAGGATGCATTCGATACGTTGATTGACTGTGCACCCGATAAACTGGCCGTTGTGAAGAAGTCGCTGATTACCTTTGTCAACAAGCATTTGGCCAAGCTGAACTTCGAGATCAACGACCTGAACACAGACTTTCGGGATGGCGTCTATCTGTGCCTGCTGATGGGTCTGCTGGGCGGGTTTTTTGTTCCGCTGCACGAGTTCCATCTGACGCCGCAGGATCCCGATCAGATGGTCAACAATGTGGCCTTCGCTTTCGATCTGATGCAGGATGTCGGTCTGCCGAAGCCAAAGGCACGCCCCGAGGACATTGTCAATATGGATCTGAAGTCAACACTACGTGTCCTCTACAGCCTGTTCACCATGTTTAGGGACTACGCTTAGCTGATCTAAACGTCATCCACATTCGGCGTCTTATAACTTTGTTATCAATTAATGATTAATGCATGCCCAAATCGTAAATGGAATTCAACTTCAATGAAACAAAACGAAACAACCCGTGCGTCCTAACTATTTATATTGATTATATGTGTGTGTCTAACCCGTTGCAAGATGCTGGCCCAGTTGGCCGGCAATAAAGCTAACCCGCTCGATTGTTAACTTGTATTTACCATTGATACCATGCCGTAGTTGTTACTAAATGAATTTATACATTACATTTTAATTAATAAATGTGCCTTTGACAATTTAAATTGTTTGTTAGTTCTTTTATAAGTAAGTATAATCAAGACATGCAGACAAAAAGTCTTTTATTTTGGTTGAATTTATAATATTAATTAATACCATGCAATTAATTAGAATTTTTATCGTAATATACAAGTATATACGCAAGCTAATAGCTATTTAGCTTCATGACTTTTCGGAAACATTTCAGAAAGTGGAGTAATATCAAAACACGAATGTTGTGTAATTTTGAACTCGAGTTTTGCGGCACATAATGGCGGATTGCAGCAGTGTGCATTAACGCCGCGCACTTTTGCGCTTACATAGCAAATCGGCGTTAACAGCGCTGTTAACATAAGCACTCAATATTGCGTTAACGAAAACAGCTGACTGCCTCTGGCTGCCTACCCATGTGCAATTACATCAATCGACGTCACAGCTATCATGGTAAGGTAGCTCGAAATCGAAACGGCGCCCGATTCCACATATATGTCGTCTTCAAAAAGCCGATTTGCGAAAATTGCCAGATCACGATCATAGGATGTCCACATCGACATTTAAGCAAAATTCATCGGAACCGGAGTCACCGGCTGAAGGCACACAATTCAGCGGACACAGAAACAGTAAGCCGGATAGCAATTGTCGCACCTGCAACGATTTCAAGTCATGGTCCAAGCAACAGCGCCTCAACATCTCGGGCACGCAGCCAACAAAGGTGACTTTGAATCAAATTCATTGGACTCCGATTTTACATATTCCCTGCACTTATGTAGGGGGAAACACAAATGGCGGCCAATGAGAAGCTGACTGTTGAGGTTGCTGCGCCGCGAGATGACTGTCCACTGGACAAGAGCCGTTTGGGTGTATTCACATGGGGTCTGCTGCATACCATGGCAGCATATTATGCCGACAATCCCACTGACACTGAGAAACGTGATATGCGAACATTCTTCGATGTACTCTCACGTCTATATCCATGCGATTATTGTGCCAAGGACATTCGTAAAGAGTACGTCTGCAAACACGACAAATAATGAATATATATATAAATTGTATACATGTTGTCTTTGCAGCATTGCAGTAAATCCAGTCAATGTGGATTCGCAAAAGGATCTCGCACAGTGGCTATGCAAGTTCCACAATCGTGTGAATGATAAGCTTGGCAAGCCGTTGTTCGATTGCAGCAAAGTAAATGAGAGGTGGCGTGACGGCTGGCTGGATGGTTCCTGTGACTAGAACTACACATGCAACACACAATACACTCTGCAACTATCCGCCATCCAACCCCTTCCCTCGAACCCTAAACAAACAGCGATGCTGGCAAAATTGCAATCATATATTTTGTACGTATTCGTCAAACACATTCGGACACAATGAAGATGGGGCTCATTTTAAATCCGAAAACTAGTGAAGCTGCTCTGACTTCTAGTTTAATTTCACAGTTGAAGTTGGAGCAAATTATTTGACTGATTATTCCACGGATTGAACGTTTTGTAATTTGCACATATTATAAAAATGTATGTAAGGAGTCAAGAGTTGGCCCCGCAAGAGTTACATTGTGGAACAAAATTCGTATTTTCTGTATTTATGTATTATAACTACCACTTACAAAATGCCCCTTGTCTTATTTGGTGCAAATAAAGACGACAATCGCATTGCATATTTGACTACAGAAGTTGCATCATTTTGTGTACGAACATAAGTGGAGCAATGATTAATTGCTTTCAGGTGAATTTCACAATTTAAATTAGTTGTCACTGTAAATTTCACAGCTAAAATGCACTCTAAGCAAACGAATAGATATATCAAGAAGGTCAATGAGCAAAAAGTTTATGATTATTCACTTCTCGGAGCGAGAGATTAGTCACTCAAGTAGATGATATAAAATATGCTGCGATACGATAGCAGACAAGTTTATGATTATTTTTTATGTTTATTTCAAATGTGGCGCCAAGGTTTGCAGTGCTGCCATATGACATGCCAGTTTTTGCACACTTAAATGAGCAAAATCGTTTCTTAGCGTCATATTTTTCATAAAAATCGAGCAGTAAAATGTGGAACTAAAATGCATTTCAATAATTACATGAATACCAAAATAAAAATAAAAATTAATTTTTAAATTTGTATAATTAATTGTGCTGATTTCCGCTTCAAGATAATTTTATTTGAAGTGGCAACCGTGTTTCTATACTCTCAGCATTTCCGCTATAACTCATTCGTTAAGCTCACATACATTTTCTCCCTCTCTCTCTCTCTCCATCGTTTTCGATTGAACAACGGCGCTGACGCAGATATCGGTCTGCTTTTCGCGTGCTTTTTCAAATCGGCCAACAATTCACATTACGTTGTCGAGCTGAGTAGACGTCCCGGTCTTTTGTTGGTCGCTTTAAATATAAAAGTTTGCGTCGACGCATTTAATTGACACTACTTGCAACTACCTAACGACTATTAAAGAATTAAAGTAAGTTCTGGGTGATCTGGCAGTTAGCAACGGAAAAGGAAACAGACATTGAAATCATGTACATTTCGCAAATAATTGACAAAATCAAAGAGAAGTTACAGCTGAGCGTAAGCCATTAAATGATGTTCATTGCTGTATTTGTTGTTGGTGTGAAGAAGATTATTTCACAAGTTTTGCACACGATGTCCGTACATACACATACATATGTACATACAGCTGTATTGGCACGAACAAATCACACACACACACACTGTTATATGTATATACACAAGCATATACATATTTATATAGACGTTTCCGTGTTTTTGCAAATTTTAGCCGGCAGCAGAAAGATCGTCATGGCGGCAAATTTATTGTTGGCATTCTTTGTACATTTTGTTGAATTTCAGAGAAATTTCGCATAAGGCACATACTGCCAATTATAATTACGTTTAATATCAAATAATATTGATGGTATGCAAATCGTGCCATTTGCCACATATCACAAATACAATAGCTCCCCGCCAGCCAAGAGAAGAGACTCAGTCTGCAAGTCATTCAGTTATTGCATTTTTTACTTTGCTCTCATCTTCTCCAAATTGGAAACTTTTTGGGACCGCCGCCATGTTTGATTGGATTTCGCCATATTTAATTTGCCACTTGCAATTTCAAAGTGTGCTATGTATGTGTGTGCTGTATTTGCATAACTGTAACTTTTGCTTGTGGTTCGCAGATGCCAAAACTTCAGAAGCCAGCACCCGAATTCTCCGGCACCGCCGTGGTCAATGGTCAATTCAAGGACATCAAGTTGAGCGACTACAAGGGCAAATACCTGGTGCTCTTCTTCTACCCATTGGACTTTACGTTTGTATGCCCCACGGAGATTATCGCCTTCTCGGAGCATGCGGCCGAGTTCCGCAAGATAAACTGCGAGGTTATTGGCTGCTCCACGGACAGCCAGTTCACCCATCTCGCCTGGATTAATACGGCACGCAAGCAGGGCGGTTTGGGCAACATGGACATACCCCTGTTGGCCGACAAGTCGATGAAGGTGGCACGCGACTATGGCGTCCTTGACGAGGACACTGGTATTCCATTCCGCGGCCTCTTCATTATCGACGAGCAGCAGAACTTGCGCCAGATAACGATCAACGATTTGCCCGTGGGTCGCAGCGTCGAGGAGACTCTGCGCCTGGTGCAGGCCTTCCAGTACACCGACAAGTATGGCGAGGTGTGCCCAGCCAACTGGAAGCCAGGCCAGAAGACCATGGTGGCCGATCCCACCAAATCCAAGGAGTACTTTGCAAGTGCATCCTAAGTGGATGTGCTCCCCAAAGCAGCTCAAAATTTATCTTGCCTTTTTTTGTGTATTTTGTTGACGTGCGGCGCCTCAACACCGGCTGTTGTTGTTCGGGGAACAGAAATGGAGAGAGGAGAAGCGCATCGAATTGCGCCGCACACAGCACACATAAAACAGAGGCTGCTCATACACACACACACGTTAATGATAATAATATTACATATTTACATATGCTACAAGCTAAGCTGGCTAAATGTAACAAATACCATACCCCCTACACCCCACCCCACCCTCTACACACACATACACAACACATATATATATATATATATAATTTAAGCAGAAAGTAGTAGCAACAAGTTCTGTTTGATGCAACAATAAATCCGTATTGAATAGTAATTAAACACGTGCTTCTCTCTACGCTTCCTACGCCCATTTATCATCAATTATTGTATCACAGCTTTTGGCCCGTTGTTGCCGACCAACCAGCCGGCTAGCCAGCCAGCAGCAGCAGACGTCGACAACGGCCTGGTTCAGTGGTTAGTCGTTCGACTTTGCCTTATCTGGCGGCTGGCTCTCTGCACGTTCCAACTTATGAATTAAGTTCTGTCTGGCCACGATAACAATTGTGAAATGTTGATAAAGACTCGCGTAATAATAAATACTATTAACATACAAAGATGACGCGCGCCTGATCAGCGTCTTAATTATCTCTCCATGCGTCCCATTCACAAAGCAGGTAGTTCTCTGTTCTGTGGCCCACTGCCCAAGTGCCGTTACCGGTTTTTCTTTTCCTTTTCATTTCATTTCGTTGCGCTTTTTCGTTTTGCAGCAGCAGCGGCAACAGTAGGCGATGTGCATGCGATAACACAGTGCTCGCTCGTTAATGTGAACGCCGCATAGCAATAATGTGACTTCAAAATTGCAATCTGAATTTTTAAAATTCATATATTGTTATGCAAAATAAATAACGACAGATTCAGCTTGAAAATAAGTTTTGCAGTACTAGGCATCAAATTACGATTTCTGGATGTTTGTACTTTTCAAATTTCTACTGTATTTATTTTTCAAGCCCCCCAGGGGTCCGCTTTCGCTTCGAGTCAGCATCAAAGCGCTTGTCTTTGTTCTTATTACTATTGCTTTTGTTGTTATTGTTGTGATTCTAGCGCATCACGCGTTATGCCATTTAAGACAAGGTCTACTTCCCCGTCTCTTTTTCCAAACTAGTTTCTTACACAAAAACATACAACAGAGAGGGAGAGAGAGAGAGAGAGAGAGAGAACACGCAGGCAAAGGCACATGCTGCTATCTCCGTCGAACCTTCCAGAAATCGAAACCCTTTCAAATACTTTGCCGGCTGTATTGCTTTTGTATAATGTATGATGTATGCATGTACATACACATACAAAAAATAGATGCATATATATATATATACATAAATATATACATATGTATGTACATATTTTACCTCTGGGTATTTCAAACGGTGTTTGTCAGTTGCTGAAAAAGTTGATAAATTGCTTATTTCAACAAGTGTGTGTCTGTCTGAGTGTGTAGATGTGTATACAACATTTACTCACAGTTTGAATTTGTGTGTGTGTGTGTGCACAATTAATCCTTGACTGTAACTTTAAAATACTTACAAATGTTATTCAATTTATATGTACATTTGTATAATTGTATATCTGCAGCTATCAGTGCAAATGATTGTAATGATAAATTCTCATTTGAAATTGCGCCCAAGTAATGAAATGCCTTTCAAAACAATTATCTTAATTATTGCGTAGCTGATTCACAGCAGGTGTACTTCAAGTTCTTGTCTATCGCAAATTAAATAAACTTTGCTCGACTTATGAAAGCCGCTGCAAAAAGGCGGGAAACAACAGCAACATTTTGAACGGCATCAATTTCATAAGAAATGGCAGTAAACTTCGACTATTTCCTATGCTCAAAAACAAAAAAAAAATCGTAATCTTCATTATCGTCATCATCGTTATCATTAACATCAGCGGATTGGGGGCGCTTGAGGTCGTTAGAGCTAAAGCTCTCGCAAAATGAAAGGTCTTGCAATCCAAAGGTCATCTGTGGCATTACAGCCAGTCAGTCACGGCAGGCGAGTAAGTGAAGATTGACGTTTTTTTTTTTTACCAAACAAATCGATAAGCGTGTTTCCAATTTCGAATGTTTATGAGTTCATTCCATAGTTTTGTAGACAAAAGAAATGCGCAGATAGAGTAACCGCAAGTACATATGTATATAGTACATATATGATATATGCACTTCTCTTCACATACAGCTGTGTGGTTTGTCGAGCAGTATATATTATTATTGCTTTTTGCCGCAAATATTTATGGGGTGCTTTGATACAATAACAATACAATATATATATATATATATATATATATATATATATATATATATATATATATATATATATATATATATATATATATATATATATATATGTATATATATATATACATATATATAAATGCCTGCTTACTGACATACATATATACATAGTGAGGAACTGATAAGGGTAGAGTCGCTGTCGTAATATTCGCCATTAGAATGCCGTGTGGAAAAAAGCATACAGAATTGCTTATGTACAAAATGCATTTGCACATATTTCATATTTTGGCGCCGGCCATTTTGGATCAAATATGGGCAATTGCACACGTACAAACTGGTAATTAAATATGCTCACGGCTCTGACATGGACAATAAGTGCGCTAGGCTGGATGTGGGTGTTGTTGATAAAGAAAAATAAAAATGAGTGGCTTTGGGCCCCTAATCAATCAATCATCAATCTAGACAGCATTCCTTGGCGACACGCAACGCTGGTGTTTAGTTGCTTTCGCTTTAGCCGGGCTTTTACAATTGGCACTTAATCACAGTTCAATTATCGTTAATTACTATTGATCCAAGTGCTTTGCGTGTTGTGACCAAAGTGGCAGTTGTAAATTGAAAAAGTAACCACTTTTAATTAAAGGCGACTTCGACGAGTTGATTATCGATTATTAATATCCCCCAAAGTATGCAGCATATTTATTGTAAGTAGTAGGCGAGCTGCCAACGTGTTTCAAATACACTTTGTTAATAAAATTATGCATTAGGCACGCCAACTCATGCGCTGTTTAAATATTTTAAATACATTAAATAACCATTGGCAATTCTTGGAATTGGAATTTGTACTTTTCTGCCTATTTGATTTCCGGTCCTTAAGTCAACCCGTTTAATGAGTTCTTATTCACTTCTACCTCAACCAAATAGCTTTATAATTTTATTCTCGGTAGCATTACCTCATAGACAAATATATTTTCCCATTTTAAGTATACGATTGGAATGTCAATTGAATTAAAAACTCAAAATTTGCCCAAACCAACTTGATTCACTTGATTATACTTTTTATGATGGTAAACTTCGACTGGGATAGCTCACAGACGAATTTACCGATTTGTAGATTCGCCACATCTAGCTTAAGGGATATGTGAGCAAAGAAAATTCGATTGTTATTAAAAATTATGTATTAATCATTTTATTTCGCGTTTTCTTGTTTTGTTTCATTCTTTGCTGTCTTTGAATGAGCGATGATGGTGTTTTGTTTTTAGTTTATTTATTTTTCGCGACGGGGAAATAAAACAATTTTTACATATGTAAAACTCCCCACACACACAAAATAACTTTTAAGATCTTCCTGGCTCGTCCTACTTGCTCCAGAAGAGACAATTTAGAAGAAGAACCCAAGGATTTTGCCTCCCAGATGTTTTCTCCTGGCCTCTTCGTGATCCATAATGCCACCGGATGTGGTCAACACGACATAGCCAAACTGACGCGACGGCAGCAGATTGTTGGTCCATTTCTCGATGTCATTGATGGGGACATCGAAGCGCGGCGAGATGACGCCACATTTGTTGAGGCGTCCGGTCAGATTGACCACGATCTTGCCGGAACGATGATCATCAACAATTTCGAATTCGCCAATGTATCCGTGCTTCATCATCACAGTGAGGAACTTGATGATGACTTTGGAGCAGGGACGCAACAGCACCTGACGCTTGCCGCGCTTCTCGGCATTGTTGATGCACTTCAGGGCATCGGCCAATACGTTCATACGCACCATGGCTGCAATTAGGTACAAATTAATATATTTCTCACACCAAACAGTAAACAAGATTAAACAAAAACCAACAAAAAAAAAAACACGTGCAGATGCGTTGCCTTGAAAATATATTTTGTGCCAACCTCTCCCCTACCCTCCCTCCTTTCCCACAAGCAATTTATCGACGAGGAGTCATGCACAGTGTTGCACAGAGAAGTTTGTGCCCGGGACTATGTAAACAACAACAATGCATTGCAATGCTTGCCAATTCTTATGCTCAATTATTATGCGTAGAAATGCAATTCGATTTGCCTGGTATTCTGGCGTTTAGTTAGTGGTGCCCACTTTCAGAAATCCAAGTAACAGCGACAACAAAAAAAAAACAGCTGATGCTGTCAAACATGGCGGCACAACGGCAGTCTTTTTAACGTTGCCTCACAGAAACAATAAAAAAAATATATTAAAAAAATTGAGTGCTGCCGTTTGAGTTGCATTGTTGTCAAATGCGCGCAGAAACCGGCAATGTTTGTGAATTGTATGTAGGCCAACTTTTTGCTGTTGTGCCGACGCCGCCAAAACATTGAACTTCAATTCATACACAATAAAAAAAATAAGTTTTTGCACATAATTTTCAAGGCACACGCACAAAATTCATAGCGCAAAGGAATCCAGCGATCTTTTCTCAATATATGCTATGTTTGTTTCAAGTTTTTTGGTAAAATCTAACGCGGATTACCTAAGATTTAATTTTGTGATTTTTAACACAAATTTACACGACCGCGAACGTATCGGAAAAGAGGAAGTCCGTCTTGCCGCATTTGACAGCTGCAGCTGTCAGTGGTGAGCGCACACGCAGAGTTGCTCAGAGCGCTGAGTTGCTTTGGAATAATTCAGTGTTAGGCAAATTTAACCATCACTAAATCGGGTTTCTGTATTTGTCAACACCACAACTCTAACAAAATGTCCAAACAGTGAGTATTTATAATTTTTATTGTATTTCTTTTTAAACTTAAGCAAAATCCCACAGATTTGGCCTTATAATACCGGGACAGCAAAAGAAGCAAGCAGTAAATCCAACACGCCCCCCAACCAGGCCATCTATATTCGATGAAAGTAGCAACAGCTCGGCCAGTGATAATGAAGCCGGTGCGCCTCAAATGCGTCCCACTGGGAAACCTGGAGTGATTAGTGCGCCCAGTCTTATGGAGCGTCGCAAGGCACGCAACATGCAGGAGAAAGCCTTGGCCGAGGACCCAACTATTTTCCAGTATGACGAGCTGTATGACGAGATGGACAATAAACGCGAAGAGGCCAAGGAGACTAAACGGCTGGAGCCTCGAAAGGCCAAGTACATTGGTCGGCTGATGGAGCATGCAGAGCGACGCAAACTGGAGAACGAGTTGCGCATTGAGCGTCAAGTGCAGAAGGAACGCGAGGCGGAGGGCGAAACGTACAAGGACAAGGAGACATATGTGACAGCGGCGTATCGCAAAAAGCTTGAATCGATACGGCAGCTGCAGGAGCAGGATCAGCGAGACGAATATCTAGAAGCTATAGGCGATGTAACAAAACAAAAGGATCTCGATGGTTTCTACAGGCATATCTATGAACAGAAATTGGGCACTCAAGAGTCGGTGCTTAAGCCAAAGACTGCGCCCAGCACCAGTGAAGTGGCCTATAAACCGATCAAGTCTGATGTGGGCAGCTCAAGCAAAAAGCGAAGTTATCGAAGGCGTCGCTCCTCTGAGGATGATGAGAATCCAGTACCGAATACACCTGAAGTCACAGACAAGGCCCATCTGCCCAACAACATTGATGCCGACTCAGACTTTAGCATCGATGAGTCCAGCGATGAGGAGGAGAAGCAGCAGCAACAACTGCAGGCAGAAAATGCGAAACCAGCAGCGAACAGAAGTGTTGCCAAAACGGCACTCAAATTAAAGGCGTCGCACAGTCCACAAACAGATTCCACCGATAAGGAAAAGCAGCCCAAACCTCAACCAGATCCAAAACCAGAACCCTCATCTGAATCCGAATCCGAGAGTGCTTCGGTTAAAGAGGTCGGCGAGGATGTGCCGACAGTTGTGAAAACGCCCATCGATCGCACTCACATTTGGCGTAAGCGCACCATCGGTGAAGTATTCGATGCTGCCCTCGCCCGCTACCATGAGCGCAAATTGGCCAGATCTGCATGATCCTCATTATTTGTAAATGAAACGGCAAACCCGAAGCATAACTATGCCCGAATACAGACCCTGTTTGCTTATTATTTTATTGTTAAGTAGAGACAAACTTATATAAATATATATATATATATATGGACATGAATTATGTGTGCGCTTCCTTTGCGCCAATATTTTGCTATTAGGCATTTGCATAGCCCAGAAAAAACGAAAAAGAAGAGAAAGCGACAAAGATATTCCTTTTTTCCACAAAAATAAGGGATGAAAAGAAACTAAACAAAGAGCTAGTTGGCGTAAGTTTATTTTTTTTATTTATTTAGTTTTTCCTTTAGCCGCAAATTCTGCAAATCCCTTTTATAAATAGGTGTGTCCGCCATAAAAGCGAAAGCCGACATAGCTGAGCTGCTGACATCGTTGAGAGCCGTTGCCATCAGTTGCCATCCTTTCCAGCGCAGCGCGTCTGCAATGCAACAATACACACACACACACACACACACACACACATGCACAACCACATACATAACATATATATATATATATACATATATATATATATATATATACATATATATATATATATATACATATATATATATATATATGCATATATGTATGTGCATAGGAACGTGGTGCTGTCAGTAGCATTTCTTTACTTTTGACGTTGTCAACGTTCGTGTTTACGTTCACCTCCTCTTGTGCGTCCTCGTGCTCGCCCTCGTCCTCGTCCTCATCTTCGTCCTCGTCCTCGTCCTAGTCGTCTTGTCAGTGAAATTAATAGCGAAATCCATTTTCCATTTGGCAACGGTGGCTTCGTTCCACCTTTGTGTTTCGCACACTTGCTGTTGGCGCTGACTGCATTTGGGCCACCCAACCAACTGTCTCGCATGTGCGCTCTGTTTTATTCATGTTACTTACCACTTACCTTACCTATGCCTTCTTGCAAGTGCATCGCGTCTTTGGTCCTCCTGCCTCTTGGATTGGGTCATCAATCACATGTTGGGGTTGGCATTGCTTTCTTTTTGTTGTTGTTGTCGTTGAGATTTGTACTATATTTTAGGCAAATTAATATGAAATTCGCTTAGCCCCCAACCACCAACCACCAACCACAATGGAAAGAAGAGTGGGGAAGCGCTATAATACTATTACATAGTATCTTGGCATCTCTCTCTACGCCATGCAACTGATCTCAACGGAGCATTGTATCTCTTTCTAAAATGCCTTCGTTGATTCTCATTTTCCTTTAATATTCTTCCATGTGCATTCTGTGCAAAGGCAACAGCAATAAATAATGTAGTTCACACACATGGATACATAGATACATAGATGCATGGGTTATTATCTAACCCCGTGTGGCCCAATTGTGTTGCTTCGCTGCAGTTACTTCTCCCAATTGCCCAATGACCTAATCAATTTGTGATCATAATTACTTGGCTTTGGTTTTGGCCATCCGCCTTTGGCCTTTGGCGCATTCCAAAATCGCACAGTTTCAATCTGGGGCCAGGACAAAGCAACCACAGGCACTGGGCAAACAATGCTGCCGACTGCTGCCAGTGCAGGAATAATGCCGAGTAAAGGCTTAAAGATGTGATCATTCACGTGTAAATTCAATTATCAAAATTTCCAATGCCTTGCCTTGAGCTGCTGCTGCTGCTGCTGCTCCTGCTCCTGGTCAGTTGGCCAACTTGGAGCCCTGGCTTGTGCATGGACGTGTGTGCGTGTGCGTATATGTGTCTGTGTGGCTGTGTGTATGCCTGCGTGTGTGCGTGCAGTGATTTATATGTGCAGCGGACGTAGACCAAGTAGATGGCAGGCAGAGTTGCAGGCGCGTCCAAAATTTCGCTGCAATGGACAGCAACGTGTAATGAAAAACTGCGCATGGTAGAAGGAGAAGAAGATGTGGTTGGAGGTGTGTGTGTGCGGGGGGAGGGGGTAGGGTATTAGGGGGGTGTATTAGAGGCTGTAGGTCGGCTGCTTGTCGTCAAGGCGACATGAAAACCACACACACACACACACACACACACACACACACACACACACACACACACACATGCACACAGCGCATCTCTTTGTATCTGTGTGTGTGTGTGTGTGTGTAAGGGGGTGTGCTTGTGTGTGTGGGCGTTGGCTGCCTAATAAGCAGGAAATTAAAATGTTATATGCATTGCTGTTGCCCCTTGGCTGCTGCAGCTGCTCGTCTTTCAGTGGCATTGTCAACTCTGCCACTGCTGCTGCTGCTGCTGCTACTGCTACTGCGGCTGTGGCTGCTGTTTTCCTTTTTTCATTGTGGCTTCTGCGGGACGCGCGCACGCCTTGAAGTATGCATTATTTTTACGTGTCAGTGCGCATTTTTGGCATAATTGAAGCACAAACAGCGCTGCCTGCCTCCCTGTTCGGCTGCTGGCTGCTGGCTGCTGACTGCTCTGAAGGTCGCTCTGGCGACATGACATTGCGTAAACGCCACCGACTCAGCAGAGTCCACCCGCCCCCAAGAATTGTAGACTACTTCAAGTTTTGCCAGTTGGCAGTTTCACAGTAAGGCGAGCATCGAATCGTTTTGTCGAACTACGCTGATTTAACAATAACAACAATATCAATGGCAAAGTCTTGTGGCTGGTTACTGTCACCCGACATCATCCAACACATATGCAATTACAGTATTCACTCGCTAGCTGTAACTATAACTATAACAAGTCGCAAACGTCTTCTACTTCATTTTAAGTTGAATAATATTAACAGATTAGAAGATTAAAGCATTTAATCAATATTTGACTAGAGGTTTGAGAACCAACAACAATTCTAATTTTATGGAGTTAGAGCTCTCATCGGCAAGTGATGAATAATGACTTGGGCGACAATTTTGTGAAATAGGTTTCAGCATCGCCTGCTGCATCTTAAGCTTGAGCTTGAGCTTCAGGTTCAGCTTGAGATTCCATTTCCTGCTCGGTGTTACGCATGGGTGTCACTGACTGCCTACCTACTGCGCCTGCTTCGGTTAGGTTAGGGACGTCAATGTGGGAGCTGGTCGTTCTGCGCGAAACCTAATTAAAACTGCTTTATTATGCAATTAATGTCGAGATAATATCGCATTCGCATTGTGCTGCACTGCACCAGAAACAAAAAAAGGCTCTTGACAGGGTGGGGTAAGATAGAGTATACGATGCATAAGCTGTACACAGAGTGCACTCTGTGTATAGTGCACAGTGCACCCTGCAACCCCCAAAGCCCGGTGTACACCCTGTCATCGTATTCAGTTTCGGTGTGGGTCAAAGTCAGAACTTTGGTTAGTTTTGCAGCCTTTTTGTTCGCGTCTCCGTTTCTCTTTGCTCTCCCATTGTTGACAATTATTTTGCATAAATTTGTGAGTGGCCAAAACAGTGTAGCAAAATTGTCTTTTTATATGGAGGCAATTGGCTGCCCAGTCATCACCCTGTGGGTGCCGCTGGGCGTTGGGTGGGTGGTTGGTTGGGTGATTTGCTTGTTTGAGGGCGATGTTCTCTTGGCTCTTGTCTTTGCTTTGCCCTGATTTATGCGCATTTTGTGTTTTGGCCCAAAAGGCGATGCGATGCGATCCGATGCGCTGTAAATGTCCTGGTCAGCTCCCCGGCGCCCTGCTTCAGCTTTATCTTCCAGTCTTCCCACACACTCACACACATTCACTCGCAAAGAATGCTAATTTATTGCAGTTGATTTTAATAACTTTGCCAGTTTTGCTAAGCAACAACGCCCAGATAACTGTTCTCAACTTTATTGAGTCTGTGTATATTCGGTGTGTGCGAGTGTGGAGTATGTGTGTGTATGAGTGTGAGCAGCTGACTTGGGTGTGCATAAAATTGGTACATTTAATAAGCCTTGTGCTCTCTGACTCCCTCTCTATCTTCATTTTAATTGCCTTCTGATGGCAATATACGTATATTTTGGACGTTGACACATCGCCCATTGCACCACATGTTGAAGTGCAAGACACAAGGTGATCTTATATGTAACTACAAACTGATCAGGCAATCGTCTAAATTAGTCAGTACAGGGTGTGAAGTGCCAAGCTGCTCCTAACGAACAGCGGTTGATGGACACGGTCTGAGTTTGACGCCTTCTCAGCCAGCTCGTGGAGCGTTCAGTTTGGCATGTCCCGGGTTGAATAGAAAATTCGTAATTGCAATTATAATTATCTCGCTTTCATATTATTCGTTAGGGCTACACACACATTTAACATTCAACTGCAACTCGTCGTTAGAGTTGCCCTAATTTGGCATTGGACACAAACAAAATCAGAAGCAACAACAGCAACTCTGCACGTGCTGTCTCCCTGTCTGTCTGTTCCCCAGTCACCCTATCTCTCTGTCTCTTCTCCACTGGCCATTGCCCACTGGCGGCTGGGCTGGGCTCGGATGGGGTTGCCCAACTGTCGAATTGGCCGAGCATCTGTTCATCTGCTGACTGCTGCACAGTTGTTGGCCCAATAATAGTGCAACTAATTTGTACAAATTCCCACTCACTTAATACTTTAACGGACTCGCCCCTG